GTGCGGCTGAATTGGATGCAGAGGGAGCTCTGATCTCTCTGATCTGCTCTCTCGCAGGCTGTTTACTGATGACGTCATATTCCGGCTCCCGCGGCATCAGTAAACAGCCTGCGAGGGAGCAGATCAGAGAGATCAGAGCTCCCTCGGCATCCAATTCAGCCGCACGCCGCGCCGGGGATCCAGGAGGTGACCTGGCAGGAGGGAGCACTTCCCTCCTGCCGGTCACCGGAATTTTGCGCCCCCAGAGCCAGTGCGCCCTAAGGCGGCCGCCTGTGCCGCCTTATGGACGCGCCGGCCCTGATGACACAGACACATGGGGACACAGTGTCCCCATGTCTCCCAGCCAGTGTCCCTGGTGTATCAGTGCCCCCATGTCTCCTATTGCCTCCATGTCTCTCAGTGCCTCTTGTCTCCCAGTCCCCCCATGTCTCAATGTCCCCATGTCCCCCAGCCAGTGTCTCTAGTGTCTGTGTCCCTGGTGTCTTTGTCCCCATGTTTTCAAGTGTCCCCTATTTTCCCATTGACCCCATGTGTCCCAGCCAGAGTCCCCTAGTCTCCCAGTGTCACTGGTGTCTCCGTGTCCATAGGTCTCCCCGTGTCTCCAGGTCTCCCTGTCTTCCTAGTGTCCTAGTGACATGGGGACCCTGGGATACATGGGGACACATGAATACATGGGGACACATGGAGACATGGGGCATTGAGACACTGTGATACATAGGATCACTGGGAGACCTGGGGACATGACACTAGGGGACACTGGGAGACATGGGGCACTGAGACACTGATACATAGGAACACTGAGACCTGGAGTAATCGACACATGGGGGCACTGAGTCATGAGGGCACTGGGAGACATGGGGCACTGGGAGGAATCCATCTATACAGCAGAATCAAACTAAGTAGTTTTTTGGTGATTTTACAGCATTTTCTCTTATGTCACTCCTTGTGATTTACATCATGTGATGTCACCCATACATATTTAATTATACAAATTAGTAAGGCCGATATGTTTTTCCAAGAAAGGTGGCAACCCTAACTACATTTCACATACTCTTACTTAAATATGGAAACTTAAGAGGGATGTATGGGAACAAAACTTGTGTGGACTGGCTGACAATGAATATAGATAAAGGGACACTATAGTCACCAGAACAACTACAACTTATTCAATTTGTTCTGGTGAGTAGAATCATTACCGTCAGGCTTTTTGCTGTAAACACTGTCTTTTTAGAGAAAATGCAGTCTTTACGTTACAGTCTAGTGATAACTTCACTGGCCACTCCTTACATGGCTGTTAGAGATCCTTCCTGGGTCATGGCTGCCTAAAATGCATCCAAACATTCAGTGTCTCCTCCCTCTGCATGCAGACACTGAACTTTCCTCATAGAGATTCATTAATTCAATTTATCTCTATAAGGAGATGTTGATTGGCCAGGGCTGTGTTTGAATCATGCTGGCTCTGACCCTGATCTGCCTCTTTGTCAGTGTCAGCCAATCCTATGGGGAAGCACTGTGATTGGATCAGGCCAGCACTTCTAATCATGTCAGCAGACTGCTTGTTTTTATGAGTTTAACAGCATGCAGAGTTACAGCTTCAGGCTTGGATATAGTACGAATTTGCTATATTTATGGTGGCATGAGGGGCCCAGGGGGGCTAGATGGTGGTATTAACACTATAGGGTCATGAATTCATGTTTGTGTTCCTGACCCTATAGTGATCCTTTACGGTAATGATGACTTTGGTCTCTCTAACACTGTGGCATGTTCCCTTTCTTCTACACTCACTACATACAGCTTTTCTCTGTCCCAGACTATATACCAGCAGCTTCTGCCTGCTACTAAGAAGGTAAGGAGACAAGTGGACCAGCGAGTGCTAGGGGACAGTCCTTAGAAAGCGTTGAGTGAGCGCATCATTAGATGCATTTATGCCAAGCTCAAGGTGCTGTCTGCATAGTATGCCCTTAGTTGGCCAGCTGCATGATTGGCAGGCAGCCTGACATGCATTCATGCCAGGCTGGCCTTCTAATTCTTTGGGCAGACATGTCCTCTTTTTGGGCATGTTCGCCCCTTTTGGCAGGTTACGTGATTTGTGTCAATGGCACACCCTTTTACGTTCCTGCTTGACTGGACACTGCTGTTAGGGGTTATGGATTTACTTGAAAGATGAAAACATAAATTAGAGAGAGATTAGCCTAGGGTATGTGTTTTCTTATAGCTGCTGTTTTCTATCTCTCCAGCACCATCTCCATCAGATACATGACGCTTTACTGTTTTTGATCGATGTGATTCTGTAATTAGGCACATCATAATTGTCAGCACCAGGCCCACTGGGCTCTTAATCTGGCCCTGCACGCAGCAGATATGGAACTGCTAAGGACGGAAATAAAGGCGGTAACCGCACTTACTCAGGCCTCCGAAGAAGATATACTAGACCTGCAACAGGAGGTGAAGGGGCTAAAGGCACATGTTTTACAAATGCAGGCATCTCAGTCCACCCTCACCACAAGAGTGGAGGACCGCAATAGACGCACTAATTTAAAAATTAGGGGGATACCGGAAAGTGTGGACTCTACCGAACTGCCCCACTACCTTAGACACTTCACAGCCACACTTCTACTGCACGCCCAAGCCAAAAGGTTTGCACTAGACGGCTTCTTTCGGATCCGAAAAGCCAGACAAGCTCCAGCCACTGCCCCTCAAGATGTCATCCTCCGGTGCCACTTAGTGGCGGACAAAATCAAGCTCCTCGCAGCAGTCAAGGGAAAGACAGCGCTCGCATTTGAATCATCCCATCTTACCTTTTATCAGGACATAACCCGAAACACGCTGTTATGATGCAGATCCCTGGACCAAGTTACAAGCCAACTGCACAAAGCCAAAATAGAATCTAAATGGACTTTACCAAGGACTCTAACCGTAAATAAAGAGGGTACCACACACAGTCTCTCATCGCTTCAAGAGGCTGGACAGTTCCTACAAACGTTGGGGATCCACACACGAACCGCAGCGCAAGCAACCCCCACGACATCACACGCCTGGGACCCAGAGAGAACGACTTCTTTTGTCCCTAGGAACAGGGAGAATCACGGGGACCTGACCTGAAATGCTTAATCGGAACAAGCATTCACCACAATACTTTGTCACGTTATGTTTTATTATATTTCTTTTGAACATTTACCTTAATTGTTTACCTTATGATACACTATAAGAATTACTGTTCCTCTACCAGACGAGACATACCCTGAAGCGTAGGTCCAGCCCTAGCCGGCGTCACAACCATAACAGAAGACCTTGCCCCCCACAGGAATACCGCAAGCTCCCAGGAGAATACATCCTCCCTCCCCCCCCCCACGACCTCCATGGTAAAGGGTCAATACTTAACCTACCAGATGACAACGACAGCAACATACATGCAAACAGGCAAAAACGCGCTGTACCCACACAGACTTAACACTACTACCCCGAAGATGTAATCTTAAGTGACGACATTCACCCACACAACCAGCTCCACCTCAGGACGCACAAAGGGGGCTCATACACACAATCGGCTAACCCCCCTCCCCCCACACCACTACCTCCCTAGAAATTGATGGGAATAGCTACAAACCTAACGTATACTCTAACGTTACCTTAGTTTGACCCCAGTTGACTCTTGTTTTAAAATAAAAAAAAATGTGCAGAACTCGCAGATATCACACACTGGAACTCATGACGTATGCCTAATTACTATGTGATGTCATAATTGAATTATAAAACCCGGAAGGCTGTTGTGGCCACACGGGCTGTATTGTAACTAACCGTGCACAAAAAAAAAAGAATAAAAAAAAAAAAAGGAAAAGCAATATAACCTCCATGTTAGTATAAGGGAAGTATAATATCTCCATTATGCATGGCGGTTGGCTGCATGTCTATCCAGTTACTAACAGAAATATAAGGAGGGACCTAGCACAGGTATCTATTGTGCCCTCACTAGTGGGCATTGAGTGGCTTGCTAAAATTTTATAATGATCTAATATATAGATCACTCTCCACTCCCCTGCCCCCACCTGTGGCTAGCAGGTGGAGGCTCTATTAAATAAAAAAAAAATTGAGGGAGAAATCCTAGTGTCCTCCCAGCCCTCCCCCACCTAACAGTCTCCCATGGGCAGTAGAATATCCCTCCCATTAATCAATAACCCCCACGTCCCCCTCTTTTATTATATTAATAGCCCACACACATTAGTATGTCCTCCATTTATTATTCAATAGTCCCTCAACAGAAAACCTAAAAATTTTCAACAATTTTTTGTTTTAATGCCCAATAACGCCAGTTGTTGGACAGTACGTGCCCAATCAATGTGATTAAATTACCTCAGCTGATATTTTCAATGTAACTGATAATTATCCGATTCCAATAAGCCTTTAAGCTATTTAATTGATGCAAACCAATAAATGGCTTATTTGGAGGCTATAAACTACCGATAAAGATGAGCGTCTCTAATTAAATCAAGTCAGAATTCTATAGAAATTCTAGGGATCGAGGCACATTTTGAGCATCACATTAACAAATTTAAGAAACTGGAATCTTTTGTTGTTGTTGCACACAGAATTCCAGAACTCTTCCATCAATCCATCCATCATTGATCCATCCATCAATGCAGCACTAAGTTCATAAATAGAAACTTCCATTACTTCTCCTGAGCTAAGCCCTGCAGTGCAGTGCTTAGCCCACTGCTTGAAAGCGAACACCTTATACTAAACTTAAAATGGGGGGCAACCAGGGCACCATAACCACTACAGCGAGCTGTAAAAAAATGCTAGGGCTTGAAAGGTAAAATCTTTAAGGAGATAAGCTGTGACCTGCTCTGTAACGTATCCCATATACTCCGGCTGAGTATATGCGTTATAAATCTCCCGAGTCTTAAGTGCAATAGTGATTTTAGCTCCCAGTTCCGCAAACATCAGCCTAGACTTGATGAAAGGTAGAAACAAATGTGTTTAGTAATCATGGCCAAATGGCCCACTTATATACAAAACAAGGATGCAGTAAAACACTCCAAGAACACTCCCACAAATTGTCCACAAATTCCAGTGTCAGAGTGACTCTGCATAAAAACATAAAATATCAAAATACATAATAAACATATAGAAAACCAGCACAAATATTATATCCCCGGATAGCCTGGATCTGAGCGCCCAAGTTGTCCAAATAGCGCTCAGATCCCACAAATACAGTCGAATCGCCACCGGAGTAAAGATTTGATCGACCGCTCATGAGGCGTCTGCCCAAATCAGTTCCATAGTTTTAGTGGTAGTTGTCGGTCAATTTCAGGAGTTCCAAACCGACCAAAAAGACAATTGGTTCCCCTGGCTCATAGGTAGCGTTTGTTCATCTTGTTCGTACGAACAAACCTACCGTACAACGCTCTCCTAGCTTGTCGCGGAAAGCAGGCGTTCGTCTGGTTTCACCGGTAATCGTGAGGTTGAGTGTCCGACTTAGAGTTCCAGACACTCAACGACCAAGTCCCGCTGCATGCGTTCGTGCAGCAAGATGGCTGACATTTTCTCCAGCACGTGGCGTTCGGTTATACGAAAGGCGGACACACAGTGAGAGCACTTAATCCTGTGGTTTCTTTGTAGTTAATGAGCAAGGGGGATGGTCAGTGTTCGGTAGATTTATATACCGAATAAAGGGAAAACATGAATGAGGTTCAGGAACCTGTTAGTGAACTTCGGAGGAGGCCATCTCCTACGCAGGCAAAATAGTGGGTTTTGTCACATGCTCCTTTGCCAGTTCTACTCCATAATATGAATATTATGATAAGAAACGTTGTGTAGACAATTGCTTTGATTTTGACACATCCGACATAACTACAAAACTAGTTAAAGCAATACGATGTTTTCCCCATTGGAGGCTTGTGTATTTACAATTGGTTGGATATATACATTGCCACAAAAAAGCAAGACAGCTTCTCGGAGTGATTTTCAGAAGGATAAATGGCAGCTGCTGGACTTCTCTGTCTCTTTTCATTAATCCATTTAGTTTGAGATTTGACATCGGTGGCTGGATTCTGAAAAGGGAACTGTGTCATGTGTTGCATCCTGTATTTAACAAAAAAAAAAAAAAGACTGACAGGAAGTTCTGGGATTGGTAGCCAGAAAAAAAGGGCTGTTTTTAGAGAGAGGAAACTAAAGACATTAAAAAGCCACGACGCGAGTATGCATAGTTCTTGTATAATCAAAACCATGTACAGGCTGAAAAAGAAACATTCCAAATGAAAGTGAGGACTTATAATCAGATCACACTCCACAGTTTAGGAACAAAACCTGGAACGGATGAATAAGGCACTTTTTAATGAACCGCTTCCCAGTGCTATCTTCTGTCTCACCTGAAGCCCTGTTCAGGTAAAGTTATACAGCTACTGTTCTTCCCTCCTGTCTGAGCTTTTTTTATCCAGGATATTTACTGATGTGTGAATTGTCAGGAATTTAAAGTGAATTCAAAGCGAATTTAACATTTTAGACCAAAGTAGCCGATTTGAAAACATACAATCATTTGGCTATTTTGGACAAAAAAATTACATTCACTTTGAGTTTGCCAAAATTCAGACTTTAGTGAATAATCCAGTATGTCTTAGAATTGCGTGTTGCAAGAAGCTTATCTATGCACTTAATGGGATTCCATACTAAGCAGTCATTGGACTTACTATACTATCTATACAGCATCTATCATCCATCTGCCTCAGAATTATCTAACTCTTCCAGTGCCAGAGGGGTTTGGGACTCACACTTTCCTATTAGTAAAACCTGTAAAAAAATTGTATTTTAGTAACGCAGTGTATTGTCTGTTTTTCTTTTTTTTTGGTACATCCTGATAATGAGCATGTCACTTATCTGGTTTGTAGTGTTAAACTGATTACAACCTAATAAAGCTGATAAATAGGTTAATCGGTAGTCATTGTTGTTATATGGCAATGTGCTAACAATGTATAAGCAATGTCTTTTTATAGATCACTGATAACAGTCATAGCTAGGGCTAAAGATGAAAAAAAAATCAGTTGTGCTCATTGAGTCTGGCCACTTTGAAGCCATCTTGTTATGTTATACTTACATTGTCTTTTTTCTGGATTAGCTAATAATATTGCAAACATTTTCTGTATCTTTAGTGTGTCTTTATCAACTATGTCTTCTGTAAGGCAATCCCATGTATCTACTGCCCTTTCAGTAAAGAATGTATTTTCTACATCCTTATCCACTTACTGTGTTCCATCTTACATGGACCCATATTGTGTTAAGAGCCTCTTCTTAATCACTTGGTTAGAATACAAAATGGGATATTATTCCATATTATCTGGTCCCCATTATTAGGAAGAGGTACATAATTTTTCCAGAGCACGGGAAACTGCCAACAAAAAGGTGTTTACTGTAATTGTTCCTGCTATGTTCAGAAAAGTAGAATGACTCTTGTTTAGATGTTTATCAAAATATGATGTTTATGTCTAAATTGTAATTCTGGAGTTCTAACTTTAGATTATAAGATTGTTTGGGCAGGGTCCTCTTCACCTACTGTTCTTGTATGTCATACATGGTTTGTTAGAATCAAATGTTCGTCTAGTTTCCTCTTGTACAGCGCTGCTAAATTTGTTGGAGCTATATAAATAATTGTAAAAGTGGAGCAGTCAGCAAGAAATTGGATTGGTTTCCACGGTGATTGCTCAACTTTGCAGCAGAATTACTCTTTATACATAACACATATATTTCATTGTTTATTATTTTACACTCCAACAATGGGTCGCCAAGCTATTGTCAGGGACATCATTTGGGTCCAAGACAAAAAGGTTAACAGCCACTGACCCTGTCTTTATATTTTGTTCATTTATTCTTCAGGGTAAATTTACGCATCACAAAAATATTGTTTATTAGTATAGTCCTTACTAATACCACTGGAAGGATATGCAAGGTATCTACTACTTATACTGCAAATAGTATTTTCTCACGTTACCTTTTTTTCCAAAACCAACCCCCTTTGCTGTAGCACTACTCTTTTTATTCCGCTCCCTTGATTTTAATAATACATACAGAGATTGCGAAAAATATTTGCCCTGATTTATAAATAGTAATACTAATAATCATAATGTATTTTACTTTTAATTCACAATTATTTATAACATCTGAAAAAATGTCCACAATGACGTACAATCAGTATTGGAACACTGGATACAGTACATGATTTAGTCTACCATAAAAGTGTAGAAGTATATATTGTATATCATATTGACAATGTGCAGACTAGATAGAGCGTCACAGATGTGCATTATTTTGAGTTATTGGGTCTGTAGTTAACCAGGACACCATAAACACTGTCAAGATAATATGGATGAGATATTTTACTCTGCAGTAAAACAAATTGACCTAGAAAACCTTACTGTGTTATGTGATCACAATTCAAAGACAAAAGTGTAATCTGCCAGTCGGGATCCCTTTAGATGAACTATGCATTTAATGGTGAATACAATTTTAAAAATGTGTTTATTTTCTGCATGAGTAATGCTATTATAAGAAACATACAATGACTGTGGGCCTCAATTTAATATTTTTTGGATAAACATTTAAAATTTTAACTTTTTTCCATATATTAAATTATCACAAAATATATAATTTATAAAAAAAATCACTGTCAAAAAATATTAAACATTTTTAAAATATGTTTCAAGATATTAAAGAATTTTAAACATTTATTCAAAAATATGAAATAATTTGAAAAAATATTAAAAAATTAATACAAGGCCATATTACAAAAGCAAAAAGACGCTGAAGGGTTTGATAACCCTGCTCAGAAGAGCTTGCTATCTAATTAAAAGTAAAATTTCCTTCTGCCAAGAAATGCTATAAAATGACATTGCCATTCCAGTACAGCATTGTGAAGGTTAAATTAACTAAGATAGCGTGCTCTGGCTGTTTCAAGATAGTGATACATAAAACTATTGAGAATTTTAATAAAACACACAGCCCATTGCTAACGTACGTACACCTAGCTATCAGTTTATACAAAAAAATTATGTGACAGTAATGCTTTGAAAAGATTACTGTTTGTAAAATACTTGGGGACAAAAAGGCATTTACTATTGCGTTTTCTTTTTTCCATTAAAATGATTTTTACTGGCAAAAATAGCATTTTATGAACGTATTGCAATGATAACAGGATAAACCTTAAACCAAAAGCAGGTCAAGGAAATTTATACTGTAATAAATAAACTTGATGTTTCAAGGTGTGAATCCTCAATTCTTGAAAAGTCTCCTTGTCTGTAAAATGTAAAGAGAGGAGTTATATTGGGAAAGAAAAGTCACTTCTCGCAAAAACATTATGTCCAGGACACCCACCGACATCCGATCTTTTAGGGTCTTGATAATATTCTGAAATATTAATTTCTAAAACATTTTGGGCTGTATTGTTTTAAACTCTATTGTTTAGTTTTTGTACTTTCAAGGACTTACAGACTGTTAAGCATAGTTTTGATTGTCTGCTCTTGTGACAAGGGCCTTCATCAGTCATTTGTTTTGTATTCCCTGTACTGTACTTATAATATCACAGCAATGTATTTTGATGTTTGCAATTAAAATGTAATTTTAGCCAAAACACTGATTACAAACAAATAAGAGAATCAGTTGAAAAGGATTCTATTAACTAACTTGATGCTGTAAAAGGTTCATCAAGTGTTTTTTTTTCATAACTTGAGCAGATTAAATAGAGGCTTGCTTTGTTTGTACATTATTGGGCAATTTAGTAATGTCAATAAACAATTTAAAAGTGGAGAACCTTCCTTGTGATTGCATTTTATGTTTTTGAAATTAAAACAGCTGTTATGACACTTCAAAGATAATGAGAAAATTACTATAAATTTGCCACACTGTAAATCAATTGATGGTATTATAGCTCTCATTATAATGACAAAAGCCACTAGAGCCCAGGCTACACTGCTGTCACTGCTGTTATAATGACTCCAGGTACAGTAGTGTACTCCATGTAGTTGGTTTAGGGGGATTTGTGGTTAAAGGGAAACTCCAGTGCCAGGAAAACAATCAGTTTTCCTGGCACTGCAGGTTCCCTCTCCCTCCCACCCCCCAATTCCCCGTGAAAACCCCTTCAGTAACTTACCTGAGGCAGCGACGATGTCCCACGTCGCTGCTTCTACCTCCACCGCCGCTCCTCCTTCTGACTGCGTCGGCCGGTGGGCGAGACTGATCCCGCCCACCGGCCGGGGAGACCTTATGCGCATGCGCGGCAATGCCGTGCATGTGCATTAGCGCTCCTCATAGGAAAGCATTGAAAATGCATTTCAATGCTTTCCTATGGGGAAATGAGCGACGCTGGATGTCCTCACACAGCGTGAGGATGTCCAGCGATGCTCTAGCACAGGTTTCCTCAGTACAGTGATGACAGTATCTTAGCTACGTGTAACTAACTATCTGATACTACAAACACATGTACCTACATATGCCTTGTGGCAATCTTGGCCTGCTAAACTTTTATTTTACTGGAATTCCATCACATGAGCACCATAACAGAGCATCGCTGATCGGCTTAAAGAAGTCAGCTGATCATCTATCCCAGTCAGAACCCCCCTTTTCACAAAACGGCTTAAGAGACGTAAGTATGTGTCTCACGCGGTTTGGGAATAGGGAGATAATAATTGGCTTAGAGCTCTAAGCAAATTAGCGACCCTAAAGCCCATTGCAGCCCAAGGTGGTATAAAGCGTATGTTGGAGGGGGCAGATCAAAACGTTGAGATGGGTAAGACAGCGCCAAGTACCTCCTGGCACCATAACAGCTTAATTTCAATGACGTTGTTATGGTGCCTGTAATGTTCCTCTAGTTTAATCACTGCACAGTAGGGCATCATTTTCTGGGAGTTGCAGTTACTCTATTAGGCTGACAGCAGAACTGCAATTTCTCAAAATCTGTGCTGTACCATCTGTCAGGATAATACATGTTTATGTGTGTCTAGGAGAAAGTTTCTTCTGTGATGTATTGTAAGGGAATGGGACTATGACTACAGATAACATTATAGACCAGGCACATCAAACAGACTAAGGCTCAAAATGTGTACTCTACAGTAGCCTTTGGTGAATGAAAATTCAAGCCTAGTGTGTAAATATTCACCCCTGGTGATTGTGCCATGGATCCTCCAGGCTTGCAGTGGCAAGTAACCATTGGGCCCGACTAGTATAGTAAGGCTATAAATTATGAGCCCTGGACAGGCGCACAAGGACAGGGAGTCTCCTTAAACCATAACCTATGCAGCATCATAAGTTGTTGTGCTGCTAGGTGTATCCCTTTATAGAACATATTTGGTCAGTATTAGCAAATTATGCTATTGAAATACATTTTAATATTCATTCCTGTTTACCCTCTTTTTATGTCGTTGTCTGCAATCTTTCTATCTATTTTGACAATGCTTATTGAAATAAGGCTAAATTATTTCTTATCAGTACAGGTCCTGCAAAGGAACATTATATAAGTGTAGTAATATATAAACCTATGGGTACCTTTCCCTAAAGTGTTGTTAAACCAAACTGAAACCTTTTGGCCACTGTTTCTTTTAATTTAAATGTGTTATTAAGAGGTTTTCAATGCAACATGACAATGTAACAATATTATACAAAGCTGGTGTTTGCTCAGTGTATTTCAGTAATGCATAAACATTCCATATTCTGGATATAGTAAACATAACGATCTCAATGGTATAGTTTCAATATAAATATTACTTAACATATAAAAGTGAGAGTTTATATAAAACTTGCATAGAATCACCTACATATCACAAATCAGACCTTGGGAGTCCATCTCGCGAAAACGATTTTCAAGAAAGCATCTTTGCACAATTCTCCCAAAATTCATTGCTTGATATGCAAATGGTCAGACAGGCAACATGTTTCCCCTTTGATTTCAGCACTGTCTGCAATGTAAAACTGTTTGAAACACAACCTTTTTTTTTTAACCAATGCATGAGTTGTAAGCCATGAAGACCAACACCAACAACTGACTATACACAAGATTGACCTTTCCGGTCTCATCAGCACAGTTTTTGGTCCAGGTCTTGAAGTTTTTCTGACATCTTTTTTTTTAAATTCTTTATTTTTTCATAGCCAATAACGAAGTGCACTTTTGTGACAATGCTAAGGCTTTCGCAGAAGCCGCTGCATGAATGCATATTCGTGCCAAGGTATAGGCTTACGCAGAAGCCGCAATAGAAGTACATACTTTGATAAGTGTATAGGCTTACGCAGAAGCAGTTTTCAAGTGGTTTAGTTGTATAAAGATGAAGAGCGATACTTTAAGACTAATATGCATGTAGCGCTTCCATTCTCGTCGGTGGTTAATTCGTCATTTTGTGTTTTAGCACAACAACTCTACGTGGTTTGTCAATCGGGTCTTGTTTTGAGTACACATGTCACTTTGATTGGCATGGTATTAGACAGTTGCTAACTAATAATTATTTAACATTCCTTAACATTCCTACAAGTAGAACATACATGTAACTAAACATTGCGCTTAGTGATACGGTAAGTCGGTGTATCCGTGTCCGCAGCCCGGACGAGGGTCGTCGTGTGCCCCCCTGCCACCTTTCTCATGTGAGTGCTTGATTCTCTTGTCAACCCTCTGTGTTCTCCTGATATTGTTCCCACAGCTCCCATATTCTGCTAAATTTTTTAGTGGTGTGTCTGACTAGGGAGGTTAATCTATCCATAAGGTAATTGTCTTTTATCTTTGCTAGGACCAGAGCCACCGGGGGCATTTCCAGGCATCGCCACTTCTGTGCTAGCGCCCTACGGGCCGCTAAGTAAATCATGTTTAATAATTGTTGCTCTGGACGTGGGAGGCCGACTGTTGGTCTGGAGAGAAGGCAGGCCCAGGGGTCTAACTGTAACGGTCTTTGCAGTATGTTTGTGCTAAGGCTGATGATTTGAAACCAGTATGCCTGCACCGAGGGGCACTTCCACCACATGTGCACATAGGTGCCTCGTTCCCTGCAACCGTGCCAGCATAGATCTGTGGAGGTGATCTGCATGCGGAATTGTTTTAATGGTGTGGTGTACCACCTGAAAAGTGTTTTGAATGATTGTTCCTGGAGGGTGACGCATATTGATGATCTGGCTGTGGCCTCCTGCCAATCGGAGCCCTCTAACGTCTCACCCAGGTCTGTCTCCCACTGATCTGTGTAACGTAACTCCCCCCATTCTTTGGCCTCCCCGCTAAGATGAGAGTACAGTGATGATATGAGTCCTTTGGGGTGTGTTTCTTGGTAGCATATATTCTCGAACCAGGTGAGGGGGAGGGTGGCTATCTCCTTGACTTCTTTTGAACTAGCAAAGTCTCGTATTTGGAGGTAGCGAAAGAAGTCTTTGGTTGTTAGGGGGGATTGTTCCTTGAGCTGGTCGTAGGTGACTATTTGGTAGTTTTTGTATAAATGGCAGTATCTCTGGATACCTGCTCTCTCGAGGCCACTAAAGTCACCTGCTGTCATTCCCGGTTGGAAGGATCGGTTCCGAAGTACAGGGGACATTGGGGAGGGGAACCTGCTTAAAGAGTACTTGGCTGCTATTTGGTCCCAGATTCTCAGGGAGTTTGTTATTGCTGGGCAGGTTACTCTGGGGAGTGCTCTGTGTGCCTTGTGTAACCAGGGGTAGAATTGTGGTAGACCTTGCCCCATTAGAGATGTCTCGAGTTCTACCCACCGTTGGGTGTCTGGTGTGGAGTGCCAGTATGCGGTTTGCGCTGTCTGCGCCGCTAGGTAGTATACGTACAAGTTCGGTAGTCCGAGTCCCACTCTGTCCTTGGGACGGTATAGGAGTTTCCTTGCTATTCTAGGTCGCTTCTTTTGCCAAATGAACATGTCTATTGCTTTTTGGAGTGTAGCTAGGTCACTCCTTTTGATCGGTGTGGGCAGGGCCTGGAACAGGAACAGTATTCTAGGGAGAATGTTCATTTTAACTGAGTGGAGTCTACCTAGCCATGAGATGGGTTTGTCTGTCCACTGTTCCAGGTCTCTTAGGAGTGAACGAATCAATGGGGAGTAGTTTGTGTCGTGTAGGTGTTCGTGCTGCGCCGTGAGTTTAATCCCTAGATAGGGTATGTTGTCGGCCGTGATGGGCAGACCGTGTCTATCATGTATTGTAACTCTGTCCTGAGTCGGGAGGTGAAATGGTAGTGCCATGGATTTGGTGAGGTTCACTCTATAGCCCGCCAGGGTTCCGTAGTTGTCTAGGAGTTCTGTCAAATGTTCCATGGAGGTCAAGGGGTCTGTGAGAGTCAGCAGCACGTCGTCTGCATATGCGGATACTTTGAAGGTTTTTCCTGCTACCCTTATTCCGTGTATGTGTGGATGTTGGCGTATGGCTTGTAAGAGCGGTTCTAGGGAGATAGCGAATAATAGTGGGGAAAGAGGACAGCCCTGGCGTGTGCCGTTGTGAAGGTGGAAGGGGGTCCTAGTGGCTCCTGCTATTAGGGTTTGGGCTCTCAGGTTGGTATATAAGGCGTGTGTGGCCTGGATGTATGCCCCCGGGAAGCCCCACTCCTCAAGCAGGCCAAACAGGTATGGCCATTGCACCCTGTCAAAGGCCTTCTCCGCGTCCAGGGATATGGCCAGTGAAGGCTGTTCGGATACTTGCATGTACCATGTGAGCACCGCCCCCCTGCGTGTGTTTTCGTACAGTTGCCTACTGGGTATGAACCCCACCTGGTCAGGGTGAATTAGGCGTGTGAGCATCGGCGCTAACCTGGCCGCCAGGATTTTTGCGTAGATTTTGAGGCCCAAATTGATCAGGGAGATGGGTCTATAATTTGTTGCCGATTCAGCATCTTTCCCGGGTTTTGGGATAAGCGTGATGTTGGCCAATGCCATGTTGGCATCGGGTGCACCGCCTGTCATGAAGTGGTTATATAAAGAGGTGAGGTGGGGGGCCAATTCTTCCCTGAATTTCTTGTAATACCCTATTTTGTATCCATCGGGGCCTGGGGCTTTGTTCCCTTTTAAGATCGCTATTGCCTTTTCTACTTCTAGTTGTGAGATCGGTTCTTGTAGGTTTGTGATATCGGTATTAGTCATCTCAGGGAGTTTAATGCCGGCGAGAAATGTACGTAGTGAGGAACGTATTTGTTCTGGCGTGTTTTGTGTAAGATGTGTCTGCCCATATAGGTTCGAGTAAAACTCCGTGAACACCCTGTTTATTTCTTGGGGAGTCGTTGCCATTTCTTGGGTGAGTGTGCGTATTTTCGTGATGGGTTTGTGGTCACCGCGGGGGCGTAGTGCTCTGGCTAATAGGGAGTCCATTTTGTTGGACTTTTCGTAGAACAGTCGCCTAGACCTCTGGATGGTGTGTGCCACCCCCTCAAGCAGGGTACCCCTGATCGAGTGTCTCAGTGCGGTGAGTTCTGCTAATTTTTCTGCTGTGGGATTGTGTTTGTGCTGTTGTTCCGCTTTTCTCAGGGCATTCTGACATTCTATCAGTGCTCGTGTGTTGCAATTTTTTTTGTGCGTTGCTGCTCTTATGAAGTGTCCTCTCATGACCGCTTTATGAGCCGCCCATAATGCTACTGGGTCAACTTCGGGCGTGGTGTTATGTGTGAAGTATTCTGTGAGGAGAGTGCGCGTGTCCTCGCATATGGTGGCACTATTTAACAGACTTGTGTTAAGGCGCCATGTCCAAGTGGCGGAGTATTTGAGTTTGTCCAATGTGACAGATATGTCTGCATGGTCCGACCATGTGATACTGCCTATGTCAGTTTCTGACATCTTTTAAATCAGAATTAAAGAAAAAATTGGTGAGAACAAACTTTGATAAAACTCACCAATGACTGATGCAAAGATTTTAATTTACTGCTAATCACCATACCACAGTCAGAGGAAAACTCCATCCTGGTCACAGCATTTCTTTAAAAAGCAGTGTGTACATTAAAGACTGCAGGAACATACTATACACTACATTAAACTGTAGATGTTCTGGTGACTACAGTGACCCTTTAAAAGTTAAAGGACCATTATAGTGCCAGGAAAACATACTCGTTTTCCTGGCACTATAGTGCCCTGAGGGTGCCCCCACCATCAGGGTCCCCCTCCCGCCCGGCTCTGGGGAGAGGAAAGGCTTAAAACTTAACTTTTTTCCAGCGCCGGGCGAGGAGCTCTCCTTCTCCTCTCCTCCTCTTAGGCTGAATGCGCATGCACGGCAGAAGCTGCACGCGCATTCAGCCGGTCTCATAGGAAAGCATATACAATGCTTTCCTATGGACGCTGGCGTCTTCTCACTGTGATTTTCACAGTGAGAAGCAAGCAAACGCCTCTAGTGGCTGTCAATGAGACAGCCACTAGAGGCTTTGGAGGCTGGATTAACCCATTTATAAACATAGCAGTTTCTCTGAAATTGCTATGTTTATAAAAAAAAAGGGTTAATCCTAGAGGGAACTGGCACCCAGACCACTTCATTAAGCTGAAGTGGTCTGGGTGCCTAGAGTGGTCCTTTAATATCAATAAATATGTAAGGTCAAAATAGCCAAGCTAGAACATTTAGTTGATTATGTTTCAGTTTGCCTACTCTAACTTTCAAATATAAAATCACTTTGAATCCTCACTTTAGTAAGGAAACCGGCTGGTATAACTTTAGACCAGAAATGACCAAACAATGGCTTTCGTCATCAGCCTCAATATTGTTGCCAAAGATAATGTCAGTTATAACCCACTATCTAGATGAGGATACAAATCACGGCAGTTCTGGATCAATGGGTTTTAGTGAATTAACAGAAATGTTAGAATGTTTTTCCTTTTAGTAAATGTTAATGTTTGCATAACAGTCCCTACACAAAATACTGCTGACATTTCTTATATATAGTGACTTCACGCTTCTAAGAATATTTACAAATAAAATTTAATGGAGGACATGATTTTATATTTTTCCATGACCAATATTAAGATCTTGCGATGTAATCACATCAGCCATTGATTATTTTGGTCTTTATTCCTTAATCATGTCTGATTATATATCAGTGTAGTATTGATCTATCCCACCGATGGCAACGTTTTTCTACAAATTAATTAACTATACTTTGTCACCTGCTTTCCTGATGCAGTTTCTCTTTTTAAATGGGATTCCCCCTATATGTCTGCTGCATGCTTCTGCACCGGTTAAGTGATTTTGATGTACACTTTGATGTACACGGATGTTCGCACTAGCAGTGACAAGGTGCACCATGATGGCATGACCTATTACTTCTAACGTTTACTCAAATTTCCAGGATTAATGGTTATACCATAAACAGACACTGATTCTCAAAGAGTGATTGGTGTCTGTGGCATAAATTGTGTGCCACCTTAGAAGTTTGGTGGCACTGCGCCATAGTTCTTCCATTCCTGATCTATGCTATCGCCATATTTGAACTCCAACAGGCATATTTACTAAAGTGTGAGTTGTTGTGAATTCAAAGAGGATTTCCAATTTTGGGCTGAAGTAATCAAACTGAAAACAAAACTAACCTGGCTAATTTTACCAAATCAATTATATTGATCTAAAATGTGATTTTCACTTTAAACACAGGGGCTGAGGGAGGGGGACAGGGGCTGAGGCGGGAACTGTGGTGGGGGCACCGAGGCTGAGAAAGGGGACAGGGGCTGATAGAGGTGGCACATGGGCATTGGTGGGGGCACATGGGCATTGGTGGGGGGGCACAGGGGCTGAGAGAGTTGGCACAGGGGCTGATAGAGGGGGCACAGGGGCTGATAGTGGGGGCACATGGGAATTGGTGGGGGCACATAGGCATTGGTGGGGGGCACAGGGTATGAGAGAGGGGGCACAGGGGCTGAGGGGGAGACAGGAACTGTGGTGGGGGCACAGGGGTGAAGGGGGCATGAGCTGTTGAGGGGGGCAGGGGCTGTGGTGGGGCAGAGTAGGGAGACAGGATTTTAAAAATAAAAAAGTGTATTCCTTAACATGGGCCAGGGAGGAGTGGAAAAGGAGCTGGAGGCAGCACACAGCAGTCAGTGAAGTTGGCCAGCCTCTCCTGATGATGTCAGGAGGAGAGGGCATGACTTCCTCTGCTCTTCTCCCAGACTTTCCAGCGGTCCTGGGAGAAGAGCAATGGAAGTCACGCCTTCTCCTCCTGACATCATAAGGAGTGGCCAGCTGACTCCACTGACTGCAGGCTACAGGGAGAGCAAAGTGAGTTGAAAAATCAGAGTCCCCAGCCAGAGGCAGGGGATTCGGATTTCTGCACCCCCCTGCTCTTGTGCCCTAAGGCGACCGCCTGTGCCGCCTTATGGATGCGCCAGCCCTGATAGAGGGTTGCCACTTCTAAAGGATCACTAATGTCACCCAGACCACTCCTTCAATTTTGTAGAAACTGCAATGTTTGCATTGTAGAGTAAAACATACCTCTGGTGACTCTCTTCCTGAAAGCCACAACAAGCATTTACCTGTGTCTCAATGAAATGCTACTCTTAAGGCAGCATTTAAATGGCACAGCTCAGTGATTTGCCACGCATGCACACTAGCCTCCCAATGCTTTTCTTGAGGATCTTGGCTAGGGAGGTGGAGTGACCCCAGCGAATTCAGCACGGTGAGAGAAGAAAGGTAAGTAATGACTTTCAAACCCTCAGGGGGAGGGATGGTAAGACTACACCAATATAGATAGAGCAACAGTATAGCATTAGGAATACATGTTTGTATTCCAAACGCTGTAGTGCTCCTTTAAAAATTTATATTAAAATGTTAATAAATCATGGAACTGCAACAACTGAATAGATATCCCAGTGTTGTGGGTCAGTGATTTTTTTTTTTTAGGGATTTCATTCCAGTTCACATACAACAGTTTGACTATTTTTTTAGTCATAACTGTTCATTCGTGTGTCTAGTAATATTTTAATAGTGATGGCTAGAAAACTGGGTCAGAGCATCTCCAAAAGGGCAAGTCTTGTGGGGTGTTCCCGGTATACTGTGGTTAGTACCTACCAAAAGTGGTGCAAAGAAGGACCAGTATCAGGATCATGGGCTCCGAGGGCGCATTGCTGCACATAGGGAGTAAAGGCTGGTCCGATCACAGTTTGAGCTACTGTAACTCAAATTGCTGAAATACTGAATGCTGGCCTTAATAGAAAGGTGTCAAAACACGCATTATAGTTTGCTGTATATGGGGCTGCATAACTGCAGACTGGTCAGAGTGCCCATGATGTCCCCTGTCAACTGCTGAAAGCGCCTTCAATGGGGATGTGAGCAGCAGAACTGGACCATGGACCAAAGGAATAACAGTTTGACGAATAAGGTGGATGGCCAGACGCTTGAGCATTGTTTACGAGAGGAATAGATGGCAGGATGCTCGTTAGAGAAAAGGCAGGACGGCAGAGGCAAAGTTCTGCTGAGAATCCTTGCATCCTGGCATTCATGTGGATGTTACTTTGCCATGTACCATCTATATGGAAATTGTTGCAAACCAAGTATACTCCTTCATGGCATTGACCTCTTCCAGCAGGTCAATGCCATGAAATGGTTAAAGGGTGTGTGGAACATGACGAAAGTTTGTCCATTCGTGTTTGAACAAAATTTGTGCATTTTGTTTGGTTCGAAATTTCATTTGAATTAATGAAATTCCGATCCGATTTGTGCCGCCGCATGCTTACTAAACAGTGAGCAGCCTGTAGCTGCTCACTGTTGTAAAAACAAACAAAAAAGAGATCCCCTACCCCCTACTCCAATAAAGTGACCAAAGGTGGGAAACCTATTAAAATAATTAACATAATGTCACCCCTGAACCCCCACCTGTGCCCCACGAGTGAAGGCTATTAAACTAAATGGAGGACCTAAGATCCCCTTCCAGCCCCCACCCATGAGAAGCAGATGGGGGTCCTAAGTGAAAAGGGGGGGACCTATTGTCCAAAAACATGCTTACATTTAAACGCACAATGACTGCTCACAAATACAAATCTGCAAGGATGAGCAGGATTGGTAGGTCCCAGCTGGCATATGATCTTTGGAGTTGTACAACAGAAGGGGATCGAACTTTTGTCCAGTCTTGCACTAAAGGGGATCCCAAAATACTTTCTTGCAACAGGGCCCTCTCTACTTTAGTTCCGCCACTGCTTGCAGGGATAAAACTACAGGGGCATGGCACCCAGACCAAATCATTAACAGCATGTCCAGTAAATGAGAGACAGCTAATTTCATTACCCATGTCACAACACAGATAATATTTCCTTGCATACCTTCCTCAAATCTGATGGGGCAGTCATGATTTGAGAATCCTGGGGGCGGAGTTAAGCTACGGACAAGGATAGTCGCATGGACGAGGAGCTCCCGACTAAAATTATACAAATCTGCTGATATTGAAGCCCAACACGGCCCCACGGACCCCAAGGTGCCCCTAACACACCCGACGACAATGGGCAGAAAAACGAAGAAGCCCAAGCCCGACAAGCCCCGTCAGGGTATGAACATCGGGGACATGTGGAGACAGGCCCAAGAGGCCGCGAGCACAACAATGGAGTCCCTGCATGGAGGATGTACAGACTTCTCGGATGAGACATCCGATGAGGGAGAAGGGAGCCTCATACCAACTGGCTTACCACAGCTGCCTGAGAAATCTCGACCACCCGCCTCAACCCACACGCCGGTCACCATGGAGGCTATCACGGCACTCATGGCCTCCCACCATGAAAAAATTTCAACGGAGGTGGCAACAATCCGGAAAGACCTGCAAGGCCTGTGCACCCGGCTGGGAACGGTGGAAAACACCTCCAGAGACCACACAAGCCAGATTGCGGAACTGCAAGCAGCGGTAAGCGACCTGACAAAACAAGCGACACTCCATACACAACAATTGGCCACCCAAGAAGATAGGAGACGCCAAAATAACCTGAAGCTAAGGGGGGTCGCGGACTCCATTCCTGAAGCAGAGCTCCCTCACCTTACCAGGCGACTGCTAACTGCGCTCCTGACTCCAAAGGTGGCAAGAACGATCCTGCTGGATGAGATTTTTCGCATCCCAAAGCCGATTACAGCCCCACCAACGGCTACCGGTGATATAATCCTCCGCTTTCAAACAGCAAGAGACAAAAGGGCAGTACTCGAGGCCATCAAGGGCAGGCCAACATACACCTTTGAAGAAATGTCCCTCTCTTTCTATGCGGATTTATCGAGTGGCACACTGTCTTGGAGAAGGTCCCTCCGGCAGGTCACCTCTCTCCTACGGCAGCAAAAGATCCGATACCGCTGGGGACCCGGCCGAACCCTGAGCATAGAGAGCGCAAGTGGCCCTGTGCTGACACGGAACCTACAAGAGGCCGCAGAGGCATTAGAGAAGCTAAACCTCCCACTGTCAACTCTAGAAGCTGCTTCAGCGCAGAGAGGCCCCACAAGCTGCAGCCTCGGGACACACTCGGCTAGAGCACCGGAATTTGTGCCAAAGCAAAGACCAGCGGAACCCTATGCGGCAGCCACCACTTGAACAGAGACTCTGAGCCAGGGACTGCTCACTGGGACGTTTTTCTTCTTTTTTCACCTACACAAAGGTGTGAACTCTCGCTCCGGCTACGGATCACGGGGACTATCAGTTGGAACAACACCCAGGGTCCTCCACCACATTCAACTCAATTGCATACCTACTATCCACACTAGCCCACGCAGTCTAGCCACTTAACTATAACTATAGCTACGCTAGGGGTATGGGAGGCATGCTTCCAAGAGCTCGCTACACTTACCCAGATTAACCCTACCACTCACAGCCCTACCACTCATGTCGCTGTGTCCTTGACCTCTGCGAGCTGAGGCACATAGCCTTAGGAGACCACACTGGCTAGCAGGGCGATACTACACCCTAACTCCTTACTTGCCCAGATTAGGCGAAGTTTATGTTCAGTTTAGCGACCAACACCTGTTTACTTCTAACGTTACCATGTTAGTACTGTATTCAAGCATACCTATATCAAGCTCATATGTTATTCAGTTACTTTAACAAAACAAAGAATGTGCGGACCTTTTCTGCTTCAATTTATAAAACTGTGCAGTTCTCTCACTTGCCATGTCAGATACTGTATGTTGATGTTATGCCTGTGACTGCTGTTGTGGCAACATGGGCTTGCTGTTCTAAACTTGCACTACAAAAATAAAGAATTTAAAATATGATTTGAGAATCCTGCCTTATTCTTCAGGTGTCCCCAAAAAGCAAGTAATTTTCCACAGAGTGTACTTGTAGCTGTGTCAGTAGGCCATCAGAGATACAGAAATTTTGGATGATTTTTCACGAGTTGATTCAACACTAACTTTAATGGGGATTTAGCACAGAAGCTAAACGTTCTTGTATCTCTTTTTTTAGCTACTTCGAGGAACAATAAATACATTACCTCGGGTAAGCTTTATATGCCAACACCTCACACCCAGTTAGGTATCTGCATATATTTAAGTGTATTTTCAGGGTTTCAACTGTGGCTTAACCTGTAACGAGTGCCATTAAGATCAGTATGATCACTGTATACCAAAAATAATATATAACAATCTCGCTATGGTTCTACCACTGGTCTTTTTTAAGTACAGCAGTCTTCTGATAAATGGAAATCAAATTAGGAAGAGGTGATGAGAGCAGTCTTGTTTAAAATAATACAGCTGAAGCAACTTGAGTTCTGTTATCACAAGGCAGAGATAAAAACTGTCATTTTTTTAATGATAACATCCCTCGAAAACCAATGAACAGACCAGTTTTAACATCTGCCTCTAATATGACTTCTGTGACAAAACCAAGATGGCTGCCTGCAACTTTATAATTGATTATTCTGGAAACATTTCAGATCTGTAGATAACTATTCTGTCAAAAATAATGGTGTCAGGAAACAGTATATATTTTATATTAAACAAAATATGTTCTTATATAGATATAATTTCCCTTTTAATGCTTATATTCTTGAGCAGCTTCTGAAAGTAGTTCAGAGTGCGTGACTGTAGTCTTCCATCACTGCCAACATCTAAACAATCTTGATTCCTGAACTGGCTTCCCTTGAGACAGCCGGGTGCCTCAATTCAATACCAGGAAGCTACGGACATACACGTTCTTTTTTAGATTTTAAACAACACTAAAGAAATTATTCGTTTAGGAATTCTGAGGTTACACTATTCTTTTATTAACGTGATTGTGCATGGATCCACACAGGGTGTGGCTGTCTATTAAGGGTTTTCATAGTGGAATATATTGTTTGTAGACACAAATAATGTGCTTTTTCTCTGCTTCCTTGAGACATTTCTGCCTGTCTGGAATTTGTATATTTGTTTATAGATAGAGATGATAAGAATTCCCTGCAGACTAAGCTATGAAGTAACAGGCAGGGCAGTCTGAGCTTCTAACTGTTGACAGCACATTTGAAACTTTTCTGTCTTTTGACTAATGCACATTTCCTCTGATTTAACCCATTCACTGCCAAGGAATTATTATTTTTTTATTTTTGGTAACTCTTTATTTTCGATGTGCATGAATACATCATGAATATTGCTCATGTAAAATATATTAATAAAGAAAGTAATATCCAGCAAGAAAAATGATAGACTGCACTTTTTAGTTTTTTTTTAATAAAGTCTGGTAATATAATAAAACAAGATTAGCACAATGCACATAAATTATAATCAGAAAAAGAAGCAGTGCAGCATAACATTTGCACTAGGTGTCCGGTCAGCAAAAATTATTTTCAATAAGCTAGACAAGCCTGTCTGGTGTATGGCCAGTTGGAAAGCAAGTCCTGCGGCTTTGATTTAGACCTGGGCACGGATCTCCAGCAAGCCGTTTCCCATCAGAGGCAGAGCAGAGCCCTGTTCAGTAGTTGGGAGCCAAAAAACCATCAGGTGGTATATAGTGGATTGTCCGGTCAGACAAGGGTAACTGGGTTGGTGTGCTTTGACAACTGTTGAAACCGCAAGGATCTGTCTGCCCTCGGTAAACTTGAGTAAGTGTATTGTGGTTCAGCTTGCAGTGTCACCTGTGGCAATAATTTTCACCGCCTCCTGGACCCCTTTGTGGAAGACTCTCCTGCTCCCCTATGAGTAGGCCTCATAGCATGCTCAGAGTGAGCCACCACCTCTGCTGGCGCGGGAGGAGTAGGTTCTTGCTGTTGTGTGACAAGAGTAGGTTGTTGGCAACAGAATTCTTTAAATATCCGGTCCAACCCAGTCAGGACTTGAGACTGCTGGCCTCCACTGTTGTGGAGACAGGGCTTGTCCACCATAGTAATAGAGAGGCCAATCCTATGGCTTAGTAGAGCAAGTGTGCCTCCCGGCGCAACAGTCACAGAGATAGGTGCCAGGATTACCCTCACAGGCGTAGCGGGAAGGTATGCTCCGGTGGTCAATGCAAAGAACAGAGAGTCCAAGGGCAGAGGGATTGCCTGCCTCCCTCTTGCCCATGTGTAGTAGGCCGTGACTCTGTCTGTGCCTGGAATCACCGAACACAAGCAGAACTGCTTCAAACTTAGATAAGCTGGAGCTCCCACAAGTGACAAGAGTGCTGCAAATAGTTGATTTTAGTCGGTTAAATTAGTTCAATTCGCCCTGAGCTCTCTCAAGATGTGACCGACTGGTTCTGCAGTTAGGCTCTGCCCCTCACCAAGGAATTTTTACGTTTAATAGTCCCAAAAAAAACAGGCATACTTGAAGCATTCTATTACATATTTTGTGTCACTTAAATTAAGGGAGCTAACTGTTACGGCTCCCCCGGTAGGAGAGGAGTTACTGCCGTATAGGACGTTCCCTTACCGAATGCTGAGGTAACTACTGAGCGCTCCAAACTCCCGAACAGCAATCACACGAACCCGTTGGTTTCCAAAAACAGCCGAACAACAATCACATGAATCAGTCAGTCTCCCAAATAGTCGAACAAGCATAATCCATACGAATAATCCCCCCAATGACGAGACAAAGCTCCGTATTGAGGGTCAGCAGGAATCTGATTTAATGTGGGCTACATGCCCGGTATTTTTGCTGGTCTCCCATCTGGTGGACACTTCCCTAGGGGACCAAATGGGAAACTGGGACAAGGACATTGTAACAACCAATCACAGCGTTACATACATAGCCATTCCCCTTTTATTACCCAGGACCCTCTGCTCTGCCCGGGAGATAATTGTGAAGTAATTCAATTATCTCCCAGGACAAAGACCAACCGCCATTTTAGATGACAAGGACAAGAAGGCATAACAATTCATAACTGTTCAATATTAAAACATAACATATGCATTCAACAGGTCCCCAGATAGCTAGGATCTGAGTGCACAAAAGTACAGAATAGCGCTCAGATCCGATGTACACAGTCCAATCGCCATGGAGTCAAAGTGTTCACAAAGTCTGTTCTCTATACGAATGGGCTCCACGGCATGGCTATCTGGGGTATGGTTTATTCGTTCCCAAAGTACCGAATAGAGGGACGTTCACGGATTTCTACCGAAGGAGAAGGGAGGTCGGCGGCTTCAGCGGTGGTCGTGCCAAAAAGTGTCCGTTTTGAGTTCCATGAGTTGGCCGACGAACACCGCTGAGCTTTCGTGGATTTAAAATGGCCGCGACCTTGTGTTCGGTATACGAATGGCGGCCACCCAGCTACAGTATCAATTAAGAGGTGTCTGCGGTTAACCTCAACGTTCTAATGGGGCCAAGAGGTTAACAAGCAGCACAGTACTCTACTGGGTGGCCGGCCATTCGGGAGTTTTATTCGGTAGTTAAAAAGGGAACGGTATAGAGTCCACATGAACGGGAAAACACGAATTAAACTAACGAATGAAGAATAAGTCTCTGTAAGTTCAAGACAGAGAGATCTGTCACACTAACTATGCCTTTTGCATGTGCGCTGCACACACTGACCACAGATGTAATTTTAGCACAGAATTCACATTTGGTAGTTCGTAACAGAGTTGCAACATGGATGTGACTTTAATTTTTGAGATTGTGTCTGAACGATCTGAAAGGTGATCCTAAAGCTGGGGGCTTATAGAAAGTATGCTATTCAAAAATATTAATATTGGAGAAAACATACTAATCAAGGCAGGGCTGGCAAGGAGGGCATGAACGGATCTCCCCTCTGGGACTAGTATAGAGAGGACGGTGGGATCATGCCTCACAGTTCAGTATTAAATATATGATATAGTATATTCTTTTATTTTTATTATATTCCAGTATTTGAGATACTCATAGTAAACATTTAACGTAGAATTAAGAATGGAAGTGAAATATTGTGCGGCTTTCAAATAAAATTTGCTATTTGTTTGTAGTTGCCCCCAGGCCATATGTAGCCAGCCCTCTCCTAGTACTAATTGATAGGAAAGCATTCATATAAAAATAAGGATAGACGGATTATCAGTTCCACCAATTATTAGAGTTGGTAATCTGCATATTTTTTATATTGTAACTTACCAATATTACCGACAACTTACATCTTCCAGTTACCGCATTGCCGTCTTCCACTGTGGCTTTTTTATCTCCTCATCCACTTTGTGGTCTACTATGAATTTGCTTGTTTTGCCCATTGACTGCCAGGAGATTAATGGAAACGAGCAAAAAATATATATATTTTTTTCCCAGTCATCTAATTTGATAACATTTGTAAATCTATTATTGTTAATAAAGCATGTCTGAGAAAAATGTGTATGCTTTATCTACGTAGTGAAAATGTCTCCACTATAACATCAGAAGACAAAAATGTACGATGATAAATAAAATGAAACCCTCAAGAATTCACTCTTCACATTCTCACAACGTGCAGAATAAAAAAAGTTTTTTTTGTTTTTTTTTAAAAACCCTAAAGAATCTTACTAAGTACTTACAGATGGCTGTCGTTCAGCCAAAGCTCATTATTTAAAGAAAAACTAATGTATTTGGTTTTGTTTTGGTTTTTGTTCTTTTTTTCTCAAGCTATTCTTCCAGAAAATGTTTTACGAACAGGAAGTAGGTGCACAGAGCCAGGGCTACTTTATCTGGTGAGAAAGCTGGGTATTTTAATCAGCGGTCACTATTAACAAGTGCTTCTATCGCAAGATCATGAGGTCAGGCATATTGGCACAGCAACTGCCAGAGAAAGGGAAGGAGGCCCTTTCCTGCATGTGAAAATCAGTGACCAGTAATAAAAATTGCTGCCCAAATTATCTCTCTTGTTGGAGATAGTGAGAATTGATGCTTAGATCTAAGCCCCTGGTGGCACTGCTTCCTCATTTCTCTGTAGCCAACCATAGAATAAGGATGGGAGGGGAACTATATATATATATATATATATATTGTAATTCATACCTTAGCCGACCATTAGAATTAAACTTCTCATGGTCACATTTGTACTTCTTGTTTTGAGAGAATTTAATCTGATGGTTCCTTCATCTTCCAGATGTTGCATGAAATGACAGCAGTTCTTGAGATGTAGCCAGAAAGTCTGAAATTTGTAGTAAGGGGACACATTGAAGCAATTTTCTTTGTGTATTTGCCTTTTATGTGTTTTCCGATAATTAATGCTGTTCTACGTTTGCATAAATGCTTTCTTCTTTGCATGATCTTTTTTAAAACACTGAGAGATCTATGGATTCTTCATAGTTTATGTCAACAGTTTATTAACTTACAAGCCTGCTCTCTAGAACCCCTCATGTGTCTGAAATAACTATTCTACAGACTAATCTGCAATAAAATAAAAATCACTATATTAACATTGTCCTATCACTTCGCATTCCGGACTACATTACCAGAAGCATTAAAAGGAGATACAGCGATGTTCTAGAAATATTAATAGATTTTTTTTGTATTTTAAGTTTATGTTGTTTTTTAGACCTGTATTTTATTTGCCTGCTCTTTTCTTGTCTTTCACACAGGAGCACGCAACAACCAGTGAAAGAATTTCCATCAAAATTGTCCACACTTTTTTCCTATGAAAATGCTGCAGAAACACATCTGGGCCTTTTCACTGGCAATTGTCACGTCTGCATCTAGTAAAGTAAATGTAAATGATTTCTCTCTCAATAATGGTAAGGCTCGGTTCTTACTGCACTTCTATAGGCAAGCACTCACACTCACCTAGAATTCATTGTCCTGTCTCAGCTGACATTATATAGACCTATCTCTCTTCTCCTAACTTTTGGTGCCCTTTAGTCTCTCAAGTCACTATCTGTCTCATCGTTTTTATTATTATTATTATTTTATTATATATAGAGCGCCATCAGATTCCGTAGCGCTGTACACTGTTGCATTGACTTCTCTCTTTAGCCATTGATAAAACCATTCTCATGTTGATCACTATAAATTTAGGTTCTTAACCGAAGCCCCGGGTCACAAAATTCCCCCTTTTAGCAACTCCCTAAATCCTTATCCTGATGAGAATAAACAATTTTAAACACTTTGCACGATTTATACGATTTAGAAATATAACATCAATAAAAATTATATATGTAATTAGTATTAATATTTCTGGATCTCCTTCTTCAGTAGAAGGCAGCCCAGATTACATTCAGAGTAGTTCAGGTAATTTTTTAATAAAATTTTTTTTTTTTTCTATGGTAATAATAAAATAATAAAGACAGGTTTTTTTTCACTATACCAGGATTTTTTAAGCATTAACAAGAGAATGTCAAAATTCAGGATGAAATAGCGGGAAAAATAACTGAATTGGTGAAACTGTTTATTTTGGTCTTAAATCTGTAATTCCTTTGTTTATTCTTGAAAGATTCCAGAATAACTCTTACAGCCCTCTTTTCTGTTCTTGATATTGCATATTTTCCTATATGCAATATTTACTGCTTTTATGATATAGCAAAAATCACAATTCATGAAATAATATTCAACTGATTTTCTAGTAAAAATAAATTAGATTGTTTTTCCCTATAAATTGTGATGCAATTACAAGTAAATTACAGAAACTGGGAATAGAAAAGAGCCATGCAAATTCCCCTACACCAGGCATAGACCACCTTCGGTATTCCAGATGTTTTGGACTACACCTCCCACAATGCTTTGCCAGCATTATGTGTGTAAGAACATTATGGGGGATGTAGTCCACAACATCTGGAGTGCCAACGGTTGCCTACCCCTGCCCTACACACACAGCACTACATGTCATGGTTCTTATTTATCATGTGTGTCCATAGAATTAAGAGTAAAGGGATAGAAAACTCATAGAGACACTTTCACAGTTATTTACTAAAGTGAGGATATAATTAAGAATTTAAAGTAAATTTCATATTTTAAACTAAAATAGCCCATCTGGAAGCATAGTTGGCTTAGATAATTTTTCCAGTTCAGCTATTTTGGCTTACATTTGAAATTCACTTGGACAATTCTCATAAATCACATTTTAGTAAATAGCCCTGTTTGGATCCCTGATAAATGGCATTTTAGTAAATAGCCCTGTTTGAATCCCCTATAAATCAAATTTTAGTAAATAGCCAAGTTTGAATCCCCGATAAATCGAATTTTAGTAAATAGTCCAGTTTGAATCCACAATAAATCGAATTTTAGTAAATAGTCCTGTTTGGATCCCTGATAAATCGCGCTTTAGTAAAAAGCCCAGTTTGAATCCCTGATAAATCTCATTTTAGTAAATAGCCCAGTTTGAATCTCTGATAAATCACATTTTAGTAAATAGCCCAGTCTGAATCCCTGATAAATCACATTTTAGCAAAAAGCCCAGTTTGAATCCCTAATAAATCGCATTTTAGTAAATAGCCCAGTTTGAATCTCTGATAAATCTCGCTTTAGTAAAAACCCAGTTTGAATCCCTGATAAATCACATTTTAGTAAATAGCCCAGTTTGAATCCCTGATAAATTGCATTTTAGTAAATAGTCCTGTTTTGATCCCTGATAAATCGCATTTTAGTAAATGGCCTTGTTTTAATCCCTAATAAATTGCATTTTAGTAAATAGCCTTGTTTTAATCCCTAATAAATCGCATTTTAGTAAATAGCCTTGTTTTAATCCCTAATAAATCGCATTTTAGTATGTATCCCAGTTTATGATAAACAAATTGAGCTCTTCCTAAATCAAGGTAATATGTAGACTTTCAGGATATTTACTAAAATCACAATTCCAAATGAATTCATTGTGAATTCTAAATCTAAAATAGCCAAATTTTAAAAATTCTCTAAGTCAACTATGCTTCCAGTTTGGCTACTTTAGCCTTCAAGTTGACTTGCAATGATTGAATTGTCATTTTAGTGAATAACCGTGTGAGAATTAGGGCAAATCAGGACCAAGGCAGAGTTTGGTGGCCAAAACAGGACCTGTACTGAGTGCAGAAAATTGCTAACTGGGATATAAGACCACTGGCCCATACACACCCAAATGTCCTGAACATGATGAGTAGACATGTGCAATTCATTTCATGCAATTCGGACATTCGGATACATCCGAATGTCCGAAGTTTGAATTGCCGAATTTCCGAAATGCCGAACCGAATTTCCGAAATGCTTCGGATTTCTGAAAAGTGGCAAAACAAGAGAGGGAGGGAAAATTACTTGAATGATGACAGGAATCTTGACCAATAAGCTAATGCCTGGCACTGGGAGCCCTATAGATGTGTAAGTGGTTGTGGTGGTAGTTCCGGCACTGGGAGCCCTATAGATGTGTAAGTGGTTGTGGTGGCAGTCCGGGCACTGTGAGCCCTATAGATGTGTAAGTGGTTGTGGTGGTTATGGTTAGGGGTTAGGGAGCCTTACAGCTGTGTAAGTGGTTGTGGTGGCAGTCTGGGCACTGGGAGGCCTATAGATGTGTAAGTCATTGTGGTGGTTAGGGTTAGGGGTTAGGGTTAGGGAGCCCTACAGATGTGTAAGTGGTTGTGGTGGCAAAGTGCTTCGGATTTCTGAAAAGTGGCAAAACAAGAGAGGGATGCTTCCGAATTGCCGAAGTTCCGAATTGCCGAAGTCCCAAATTTTGGAAGTGCCGAACTGAACCGAATGCCATTGGTCTGAATTGCCGAAGCAGACTAATATTTTTACTTACCTGAATTTCCGAACCGAACCAGATTTCTTGCCCATGTACATCTCTAATGATGAGCTATTGAAAGCCATGTATCGTGGGACAAATTGCCAAGAATGGTAGATACTGCAGCTGACTAATAAGAACCACCATTGGCTGTTGTGATCAATTATAAACCTTGAGATTTCTAGTGAGAAACCATACATTTTAACAGTGGAGAAGAAAAATTAAATCTCAAACATCTATAGCAGTGGTTCCCAACCCAGTCCTCAAGAACCCCCTAACAGTCCAGGATTTAGGGATTACCCAGTTGTATTAGACATTTTTAGAAGAAGAAAAAAAACAACACTTTAGACACAGGGTAATCCTGAAATTCTGGACTGGTGGGGTGTACTTGAGGACTTGGTTGGGAACCCCTGATCTATAGGGAACTTTGTATCTACAAGTAGTTCCCCAAAATACTGTATTTACTGGACTCTAATGTGCATCTTTTTTGGCTAAAGTTTCCAAAATTTGAATGAGCATTAGATTAGGTGGCGTATTAGATTCGGAGCGAAATTTGCAGTGGTGAAATTTGCATTCGCTTCGCTGCAGCAGGGATGTGAGACTTCGTTTCTGTGTACAGTAAAGATGTACCTTGCATGTTCGTTGCGATGCAAATTCAAATTTTGTCAACGCGAATTTTGCACCGGCGAATCTAACAACGGAGTGACAAAAAAAAAACAACAGCATCATAGGTGAGATTAATTCTGCTTGAGATAGTTTTTCTAAGCAGGGACGGATGCGTGGTGTGGGCTTAAACAGCAATTACATGTATCAATATGCCATGCCAGGTTGAGTTTATGAGCAAAATTGAAGTGTGCATTAGATTCAAGTAAATACGGTAAATGATCATATACTGCTCATAGAAATATAAATGTGAAATGGAATGTTATACTATATATGACATTGCTCCGTTCTCCGATCTGTTTATGCAAAATGTTAATGCCAAATTCCCATAAACTCTTAAACCTTTTATGCGACTGATGTTTCAGTGAAAAATCTGTACTTTCTATGACCTCCTGCAAGTCTCCTAAGACAAATATTCCGACATGATGTTAAGAGTCATATGACAAATTTACTTGTAGAGGATCTAGCTGTGATGTTTTGCAGGCATATAGTAAGCGATTGTGCAACAATAAAGCAATCCTCTGAGAACAGAATATTTATTTATTTATCTATTTCCTTTCAGAGTCCACTTATTGGGTCTGTGTTTGCAATGGTCATGGCTGCGACGGAGAGACGTGTACTGGGAAAGCATGTTTCAAGGCAGACTCAATTAATTATGACACGGAGGAAGTTTATACAGTACGGGGCTGTTTCAATAAAAGCATAAAGGAGCAGTGTTTGGGAAATACTGGAAATTCAGCGGCAAATTGCTGTTATTCTAACTATTGCAACAGGAATATCACAACCACCCTTACAGGTATTGTATATCTGGTGGTATTTAAAATATTGATGTCTCTGGTAAAGAACTAGTTTTCAATTTTATTGAGAGTAAAATTGTGAAACTAACAGGATTATTCACTAAAGTGATAATTCAAAGTGAAATTGAAGTGCATTTCAAACTTTAGGCCAAAATAGTCGAATTGGGAAAATTTTCTAGGTCATCTATGCTTTCAGTTTGGCTTCTTTGGCCTACAATTTGAAATTATCCTTGAATCCACTTTGTATTATCACTTTAGTCAATAACCCCTGATAATCTTTGAAGCTTTAAAATGCGATTTTACTAAAAATCAAAAAAGTAAAAAAAGAAGGGATGATATTTATTTGAAGAAAACCACCTACAGAATAGAAAGTACCTAAATACTGGATAAATGCAGCATAAACAATACTAAAAATAACGGGGGTGTGGCCAAGCGATTGAACTGCATGGCAGCACGGTCTCAGAGCTCCAAGACACATCAAGAGATTTACACACTTTACCCACAGTATTGCCGAACCGAGACGACAGTAGAGGCAGGCGGTAGACCCACACTACAACATGGGTCGGAAAAAAAATATATATAAAGCCCGACAAACCCTGATTAAGCCACAACATTGGTGTGCTCCTAAGGCAGGCACAACATGCCGGCGGGCCCAAAATGGCCGACTACCCGGAGGCCTACTCAGACCTGTCTGAAGAACTGTCCCTGGAGGACGACGAATACGAAATGCCGACTAGACCGGCACCAGCCGCAAAACCGGTCAGCACAGACAAAAACCGGTAACAACAGCGGTGCTGAAAAGCCTGCTGGCGGACCTACAAAATAATATCCTGGCAGACATGGCGAACCTGCGTGCAGACCTCCAGGGCCGGATCGGAGCCGTGGAAGCCACCACAGGGGAGCATACACAACAAATTGCCTCCATGCAGCAAACAATCCTGGGGCTCCAGAAACAGAACGCAGCGTACGATACCAGGCCGATGCTGGAAAACATGCGGCGCAAAAACAATTTAAAAATCAGAGGCGTCCTGGAGGCTATACTCACCGAGGAGCTACCACACATGCTGAGGCAGCTGTCACGAACCCTATTAATCCTACACGGAGAATCCCAGCACGCAGTCCGCGACATCACTGAAGCACAGACCCTATTGCACACATTGGGACTCACACTGGACTCACTGCTGCCAGATGGACTTCAGAGGCCCGAACCTGCACCTCAACGCTGGGACCCGGCTAAAGTGACTGCATTCGTCCCGCGGAAGCCTCCACCGGCCGGAGCCGCAACCAGCCGGTGCCGAACTCTTGATTATGTCATGGTGTACCCAACACCCACAGTTACCCTAAGCCACCACTAGTTTTATATTTTTGTTCTTCCTTGTTCTTACACACACTTAGGCTTCACCCTAGACACAGCAACGTATGCACACTTCCATAGAGCGGCCACCCGACCACGCACTAACACCCCCCCATACCCGACTGAACCGCATCAATGACCGACACAAGCAGCCCCTTAGCCGGGCGTCAAACTTCTGGCCACAGCAACAGTCCTAGCGATACTAGTAAACACTTGCAGTGCAGACCTGCTAGACTAGCAACGAGAACTTACCATATCCTACACGTGAACCCACATCTGTGGCTATGTAGCAAGAGTTTAGTTAACTTAGCATCACCCCCACCCACAGTGTTTACAGCTGTTGTCATAATTTTCTAATACTGTCACATAAGACTAGCGGCATACCCGACCCATCAGTCACACAATGTGATCTTTGCTATGTCACATATGCCCTCTTTGACCAAATGACATCTAACTTACCCTTCTAAAAATTTGCAGAATTAGTGTTAGCAACGCTGAAAATGTATATCAATGAATTGCCCTGGACTGCTGTCGTGACACCAAGGGCCCGTTTGTTATTAATCGCACAGCAAAAATAAAGAATAAATAAAATAATTTTTGTATTTTTTTATTCAACTATAAAGAGGTAGATGAGCAAATGCAATGCCCATTAAAAAGGAAACCAGGTGTTTGGCAAGGAATACTTTACGATATGTCCAGACTCACTGGGTTATTCACTATTTCCAGGTGTAAGTGCTGTGCTTGTGTGATACATATTTTTTTTAAAATCCAGAAATTAGATTTTATAACTACAAACAACAAATCATGTTGCAACCATGTAAAGCTAATACAAGCCGGGCTTTGTAAGAGTCCAACATGTAACAAGACAGAGCTGATCGTCTCTCTCACCCGGGCATACATTTTCTTTCTCTCATATGTTAGTATTATAAAATAAAAAAGACTCCACTGGTATCCAATTGATATCCAGCTAATGGTCTCCCCTCTTCCACCATGTGGTGGTCTGAATGGGAGTTTAACCAGGTCGAGGTACCTCTGGTCCTTCTAATAAAGGGCTAGGGAAAGAGGTGTCCAGTCCCACTGGCCCTAATAACTATAGGACCAGGGACTCCTAGTCCTCTTGTCTTATTGAGTAGATGACTGCCAAAAAATGCCCAATAGTTTCCTCAAGCTCTTATGAACCCTTCAGAGTAGATTGTCTAACCCCATCCTATGCCCTATGTATTAAGGACAGAGGAGAATATAATCCTAAAAATAGAAAAAAAAAACCTATAAAGACAAATGTTTAAATATTATAACGCACTGAAGAATTAGTTTCTTCAGCTGTAAAAGGCAAGTATTGTCAAAATAAAAGCCATCACATGTTAACTGTACTAAAATAAAAACCACAAAAAAAAACCAAAACAAAAAAAACATAAAAATGATCTATGACTCATTAATGAAGTCATCTTTATTCCCTGCTGGTTTGAGAAGCATTTAACAGCATGTGATTGGTTTTACAAAACCAACCAATCACACTGTACTCATTATTCAATCTAATGCCTACAAGGCTTGCCAACTTTCGCAGCGAGTCTTATGGTAGGAATACTTAAATAGAAAATGAAGAAGAACTATGTCACCTAATCCAAACTTATTGGGTTTGGGAAATAGTGGTCAGTGTGGTGGTACCAGATCCACCAATGGGCCTGGACCATAGAAACGATAAATACAAAAAAAAGGGTGAATGCGCCCTAAATAAGGGCGGTTTCTATACTGGTATATTGAAAAATAAAAATAAAGACTGTACAGCTTCAATCACTTTCCTTCAAAGGCTTGGTAGGGCAACAAACCGAACTCCCACAGCTATACTTATTCAAAATGTATCCATTGAAATTAAAAACTTTATTAAACAAGAAACAAATGGATACAAGTGAATGATACTGGGGAGCAGAAGTAGTTACTATGTATAAAAAACACAAAGTCCTATCCTATGTCTATTGATTTTAAGGCACAGCTGTGTGAATTGGCTAAACCTAGCCTTGTAATTGCCGCTGAAATAAAATGAGAGGATAGGCTGGTGGACGGAAGGGTCACTAAACAGTGAACTGTTAGTGAAATCATAGAAAATTATAGTAAAGGACAGTGGCGTACACATAACCCATATGGCCCCGGTGCGAAACTGATACATGGCCCCCCCTCCCTCCCTCTGCCGCCCTCTAGTTCTCCCCCGCGACAGACACACAAACACACAGATACATACAGACACATACATACACACTCAACACATACATACAAAGACACATACAAACAGACAGACAGGCACACATACATACAGACAAGACACACGTACATACATACATACACACACAGACAGACACACACACACAACACACACATACATACAAAGAAAGACACATACATACATAAAAACAGACAGGCACATACACATACATACAGACAGACACACACACGACAAACATACATACAAAGACACATGCAGACAGGCACACATACATACAGGCAAGACACACATACATACAGACAGACACACATACATGCATACAGACACACACAGAAAGACACACACACACACAAGACACATATAAAGGTACATACATAAAAACAGGCAGGCACAGATACATACAGACAGATAGACACAGACACATATGACAAACATACATACAAATACACATACAAACAGACAGGCCCACATACATACAGACAAGACACACATACATACATACAAACAGACAGACAGGCACACATACATACAGACAGACACATACACACAGACAGACACACACACACACACAAGACACACATACATACATAAAAACAGACAGACAGACAGACACACATACATACATATATACATACAGACACACACAAGACACACATACATACAAAGACACATACATACAGACAGAAAGATAGACAGACACACACACACGACATGAATACAAAGACACATACATACAAATAGACAGGCACACATACATACAGACAGACACAGACACTTACATACAAACAAACACACACATAATATTTAAGTCACCTGTTTCCTACCTTTTAGGTGCAGGTGGGTGACTTTCCCTGGGGTCTAGTGGTGGCTCAGGCTGGTGGGAGTCAGAGTTCCCACTCTGACTCCCTGTTCTTCCTTCCGCGCAGACTCTGTGTGTTAGTTGGGAGGAGTGACGTGCAGTCACTTCCTCCCAGCGTGTGATGTCATCACATGGGGCCCGTTCAGCGCTGGGCTGTTAAAGCGCCCAGAGCTGACCGGGTCCCATGACAATCCATCTCCATCGGGTGGCCCTGACAGCATAGGCCTCCCGATGGACCCCTTGGATGGGGGCCGCAAATGATGATGCCGGGCACCCGGTCGCAGGGGTGTGCAGGGCCGCAGGGCCCCCTGGAGTGACAGGCCTGGTCGCAGCTGCGACCCCTGCAACCGTGGTATGTATGCCAGAGGTAAAGGAGTTGGAGGGCAAAACGAGCACTGCATATATCTAGGAGATATTATAAAGTCAAATGGAGTAAATAGTGCCTCAGGGTAAGGCTAAGTGCTAGCGGTTCCCCCTAATATCAATACAAAGAAACTAGTCCTGCGCTCCAACTCCCATTACTCCTGGGCGGCAGCAATGACCATAGTACACATCAGCCAAAATACATATAGTAAAAACCAAAGAAAAAAAATGTTACCTGCGCTCTTTCCACATCCCTATGTAAGCCCACCTGCCACATCAAGGCAGACCTCTTAGGTGGGTCCTAATTCTAACCATTTGCCTTGCTTCCTTGACCTTCTGGTAAAAATATCTCTAATGAGCCAGAAAGGGGTATTTTTTTATATACATGCCTACATGCTTATTAACCCTTAATATAGAACACATGGGATGGGTAGCAGCATTGCAACCTAGCTAACCTCCATTTGTTTAAAAATACATAGGGATGTGGAAAGAACGCAGGTAACTTTTTTTTCTTAGAGATATTTTTGCCAGAAGCTCAAGGAAGCAAGGCAAATGGTTAGAGTTAGGACCCACCTAAGAGGTCTGCCTTGATGTGGCAGGTGGGCTTACCCTCTCATGGCTATTGGAGGTAACTAACCCCCCCCAATATCAGACAGTGTAGCAAAAATCATGTAATAGTCCTACACCCCCTTACACCAAGTGATGAGTGCCTTATGTAGCAGGAGGGGGGGGAGGGGTAACCAACCATACACAGTATTCAAATCTCGTAGATACTCTGTACACTTGTCACTAATCCCTAACTCTCCTATAAAACACCTTCATGGCTGTTCTAAGTTAGTACCTCATCTCGGCTAAATCAGTTCCCTCCACTCCCATCAACCCAAACATACAGATGAAAAGGAAATGGATACTAAACGCCAGGTGAGTGCATAGTGCTCAAATGAAGTGAGGATAAAAATAACCTGACGCGTGTTTCGGTGCACAAGGCTGCACCTTTGTCAGATCGTTAATAAAAAGAAGAGTAGGAGAATCCTTCATCTAATCCATGGAGAAGGGGTAAAGTTTTTAAACGATAGATCCAGAAACATTCCCTTCTCCTCAGATGTTTGTCTAGATTTCCTCTTCTTTGATCCACTTTAACCAGTTCTATGCCCAGTAACTTTTGGATACTGTGGGATCACCATGATCACATGCCTTGAGATGGGGGTCTCTATATTTCTAGTGATCTTGACCGAGTTGATATGCTTGAAAATTCTTATGAAGGGACGAAAGGTTTTTCCCACATATAACATGTTGCACTGGCATACGATTAAGTATACAACCCCTTTAGTATTGCAGTTAAAAAGGAGTATGGCTGGAATGTTTTAGTGTGGGAGCTGTTTTCAGAGCAATTGGAATTTCTACAGATGAAATTCAATGCTTTGCAGCAGCCATATTTCTAGGTACCTACGAGTTTATTTGACAGCCAGTGTGTGGAAGTTGCTGTTTGTTGGAAATGGCTGTGTACCAAAATATCTTTAAGTTTTTTCCCCTTCTTGCTACAATACATGCGCTTGATGGCATTACATCCTTTAAATGTTTGTCCTGTTTAAGGAGTGGCCAGATCCTATTCATAATTTATTTCACTTGGTCCCAGCCTGCATCAAAAGTGACCACACATCTAAGTTGTTTCTGATCTGAGTTAGTATGGGTAGATAAAGGCATGTTGTCTTCCCATGTAAGGCGTTCTCTTTGAGTTAGTAAAGTCCTGTGGAACGCTCTCTTAAGGCATTTGTTTGGATATCTTTCAGATCCAAACATAGAGCATAGCTCCTTAGCTCTCTTCTTGAAATCTTCGACATCCGAACAATTTCGCCTAAGTCGCAGGCAGGGCAGGAATGGGAAGAAAATTCTCACTGAAAAGAGGGCGGGGCCAGATAGGGTGTGTTTTGTCATCAGCAATGACAAGCACGCCCCATCACAAAGTGAGCATGTTGGTTCAATGCTCTTCCAGGGCAGACCATGTGCAGAGCTCTGCTGAAGAGCTCTAGCATGAGAAAAAGGCCCTGTATTTGTTCTGCACAGCGCAAGCAAATTTAATAACATGGAGAGCAAAAAATGGGTCGCAAGAGTATTCTGAGAACGGACAGCAGCTAAAATAGCCTGCCCTTCGGTGGGTCCCCGCTCAGAACTCATGCTGGTTTTAGCTCATCTTCTCTATGTAATGGCACAAAATGAGTAAAAACCAGCTTGAAATCTGAGCGGGGACCCACCGAAGGGCAGGCTATTTCAGCTGCTGCCCGTTCTCAGTATACTCTTGAAACCATTTTTTTGCTCTCCACAAGTTTAAAGGGATAATCCAGACGTGCCTAGGGAGATATCAGCTATGCCTCACTGATGATGCCTAACAAGGCTGAAACGATCGTCTGGGGTTGCTGTGTCTCTTGTGCAGAGAGAACTTGCTGGCATTTCGGATCTGAACTGCCCGTATGGGTGGGACCAGTCTGATATGTTTTCAGAGATGTTCTCTCTGTAATGGCACAAGATGAGCAAAAACCAGCTTGAGATCTGAGCGGGGACCCACCGAAGGGCAGGCTATTTCAGCTGCTGCCTGTTCTCAGTCTACTCCTGCAACCCCTTTTTTTTGCTCTCCACAAATTTAATAACATGCTTGCACTATGTTTGCTTGAAATAAGTCTCAGGTGTCTCCATAGATGGGATACCAGGAGACAAAAATGCCTGGAAAGTGTATTGTGCAGTATGTGTGTGAGGGTGCTGTGTGTGTGTGTGTGTGGTGTAGTGTGTGTGCAAGAGGGGTGCAGTGTGCGTGCGAGGGTGCTGTGTGAGTAAGAGTGCTGTGTGTGTGAGGGGTGCATTGTGTGTGTGAGGTTGCTGTGTTTGAATAAGGGTGCTATGTGCGTGTGCGGAAGCTGTGTGTGAGGGTACAGTGTGTGTGAGGGTGCATTGTGTGTGTGTGTGAGTAAGGGTGCTGTAAGTGTCAGGGGTTGAGTGTGTGTGGCTGCTGTATGTGAGGGGTGTAGTATGTGTGCAAGAGGGGTGAACTGTGTGGGTAAGGGTGCCGTGTGTGTGAGGGGTGCAGTGTGTGTGTGTGCTGTGTGTGAATGATGGGTGCAGTGTGTGTGAGGGTGCTGTGTTTGAGTGAGGGTGTTATGTGCGTGTGAGGGTACAGTGGGTGTGTGAGAGTGAGGGTGCTGTGAGCGTCAGGGGTGCAGTGTGTGTGTGTGTGAGGGTGCTGGTGTGTGAATATGTTTGGAGTGTGTTGGGAAGCAGATTATTATCTATTAAAAAAAATTTTAAAAATAAAGAAGCATTGATTATATCCCCCCTCCCTTCTTACCTTTATCCTGGGAGTGAAGACCGTGCTGCCATTTTTTAATGCCAAATACATGCAGTAGCTTTAAATACATGTGTGTGTGTGTATATATTTTATTTTTTCACATTTATTAATGACAAAATGGTTATGGCAAAGTTTTAAAGTGTTTCCAACATGCTATTCACTATTATACTGTGTGCATCACCGAGCTGCAAAATTATGGTTAGATTATTTAACTGCTCAGTTAATTTGTACAGATTATTTGTATTTGCAGATAATAGCAAATTATTAATGCTTGCAGATGGATGCAGATTATTGTTGTTCGTAGTTTGATGCCAATTACTTTTGCTTACAGATCAGAGTTTTTGAAATCCTTACCAACATGTTTACATGTGCAGCAATTTACAAACATATGATAATTGGTATTCCATATAAAAGTATGTGTGTGTTATTTCAGATGTACCCACGTCTCCAGGGCACAACATCATCTTGATTGTTGTCCTTCCTTCAATCTTATTCCTGTCACTTCTGTTCCTGTTTACATTTTTAATCTGGAAAATGAGCCAAAGAAGCAGGAAAAAGTCTTTGGCCAGACTCTATGATTTTGATATTGATTTTCCAAAGGCATCAATTGTTGGCGACAGTACCCTAGGGGTAAGCATTGTTTTGTTTTAAATTCTGATTTCACTTGGACATGTGGAAGCATGCTCACATTTTTTTTAACAGCTGTATTCACCGGGCTTCGTAATATAATCAAGTAAATTAATGTCAATGAATGTAAAACCTTGTTTACCAGCATTTGGCTTTACTTCAGTGTGATTTGACCAGGGCTTAATAAAATCTCAGGAGCAAGCAAATTACCATATATTCTACATGTGATCTTATAATATACGTTGATTTAATGATCAAGAATATGCACATGTACAGGTATACTGTCCCTTATAACTAGACATTCTATTGTATTAGGAAATATAAATATTTAAGAAATAAAAAGCAAATGCTTATCTGACCTATAGTGTCTTTTTGGTAGATTTCTAATTATATCATGGATTTTCCATAAAGATATATGTTTTGGAGAGTTCTGTTTGTAATAACTAATTTTCACTCTCATAGCCTTTTGAGAATGCTTGCAAACTCTTTCATAATATACTCACTCAAAACAAATGCTAATATACACTTAATCTGTTTGTCTATCTATTTGTTATTTTATTTGAATAATATGTTTGTGTTTTCATTTTTTGGTCAGGAATTCTTAGATGACAACTGCACCACTGGTAGTGGATCTGGACTTCCATTCCTTGTTCAGAGAACCGTGGCTCGACAAATTACTCTTGCGGAATGCGTAGGTATGAAACACAAGTATATTTAAAACTAACATTTACAAAAAATTAAAAGAAATAAGCAAAACAACAATCTGCAGATCTTTGAATGTTTTTGTAACTTGTATGGTATTCAAAGTGAACCGAAAGAGACCTTCAAATGTATGCCAAAATAGGTGAATAAAACCATAGATGGTTTGGAGAAATTTTTCAGTTTTGCTATCTTGGCTTAAAATGTGATAACAATCCACTTTGGATTCCCAACAGTTCACACTGTAGTAAATTATCCAGTGAGTCTGGATGTAACATAAATTATTCCTTGCCTGATTTCCTTTTTATTGGAGCATTTAATTTGCTTATTTATTTCTTTGGGGTTGACTAAAATTAAAGAATGATGTTCCTTAGAGGAACTATGTATAGCTTTGTGGACAGGGTGCATACAGCCAGTGGGGTACACTCGATTATTATCTTAGCTTTTAAATTATTCTGCCCTTTGTTAAACTGAGATCCAATGCTCCTGTAACCTATTAACCTCTCTATCTTCCCCCATCTTTCCTCTTTTAAGTGATATGATTTTACTTTTATCATATAAACTGGGTTTATTGCTTTTATTTTAATTTTGCATGCAACCTAAAAAAAAATAATCTTGTAATTTTATGTGGCGAGTTTCAATAAACACAACATTCACAAAATAACTTCCTTGGCAGGTAAGGGGCGATATGGAGAGGTTTGGAGAGGCTTGTGGCAAGGGGAACATGTAGCTGTGAAGATCTTTTCATCTCGAGATGAACAGTCATGGTTTAGAGAAACTGAAATCTACAATACAGTATTATTACGACATGAAAATATTTTGGGTAAGTAGCATTTAGTGCATTTCCTATGGCAAAGGATGGGGTCATTAGTGGTTGAGCAACTTCTTCTGAGACCATAGTAAATGCTTTTGCTACTAGCAAACAGGTGGTTGAATAATCAAATGCTGGTTAAACAATCCTTGATAGCCTCACAAAATTATTTAAACGTTAACAGATTATGACATTGTGAAAAAGTTCCTACTGGGCTTCAACATTCATAGTTGGCACTGCATGCCACAACACCACATTCCACATTTTCTGCTAAAATTCTAGATAAAAGAAAACTAGACTAACAACACATTACATACAATGTTTAATATCAATAGCCTTCTTTACTAACAACAGGAATTCTATACCATCAACCCTTTAAAGCAGTACTACACCATATACTTTATATGAAGGCAAAGTGATCAATCTGAGGCCTTCACTTTTTAATCATCGCTAGATTAATACTAGATAAGTGATCCAATGTAAATGCAACAAATAAAACAGGTTGTGTCTCATAGGAAAAATACTGTATTTTTAAATAGGATTATAAAAAAAGTCCAAAGAATGTGGTCCAGTATATTAGATGTTTAGTAAATATACCCACAGAGATAAGATCATGTGCTAAAACAAGCAAGGCCATTTGGCGAACATCGGAAATCCAGACCATATTCTTTGGGCCTTCTTATAATCCTAGCATTCTTCCTATTAGGCGCTGTAGCGGAGCTCCCTGTACCCCGGCTGGGAACCTCCGCCAAGGACCACTTCCTAGCTGGAACAGGGAAAAACCTTAGCACTTCAGGAGTCCGTGGAGAACGTGTGTGGGAAGGAACTTCTGTCACAGGGGCAAACTGTTTTGTTTGTTATATTTTGTTCTCTGCTTTCGGGGTGTTTAGGGAGTTCCCCTGTTCTGTGCTTGCTGCCTTAGTAATCTAATGCTTGATTATTTAGTGCTTGTCCATTCTCTATATGTAGTTTAATATAATAACAATAAAATAACTTATATAATTTATATAGCCGTATTGCAGGTGTTTCCACCTACTTAATCCATGTCATCCAGATTATTTTGTTTTCATGCTTTTATAACAGTAAACAAAACTCATCACTTTTTATACTGTATATCATCATAAACTGGAAGGAAAATCACCCACTCTTCCAATGAAACCAAGAGGTCCTGTGAAAAAATAGGGAGTGTGGAAAGAGATTAGTTCAGTCCAAATTAGCCCTTTTATTGCATGTTTTGCTTCATTAACATATGCTTGTACTCCGTTATTTTTCATTTATTTCCTTATAAATTTATTTTCTGTTTTCTTTACTTTTTCCTTTCTTTCTTGCCTGTTACTTTCCTTCTCACCTCTTTTAGCTCCCTTTTCACTGCAATGTTTCCCTGATGGGTACAGCAGCAATGTTTTAAACAGAGCTTTATTTTCTTGCTAGTGATATCCATTGTACTTGTAATTTTTTCAACATGCAAAGGTCAGCTTGATCTGTTAAAATATTGCTGTCGTGATTTGAGTAATTTATGTAACTTTGTCTTTTATTGGTTTTCAAGTATTTTTATATTGCAAAACTCCAGTTAATGTGAACTGGAAAAAAAATTATTTACAAGCAATTTCACACCACTTTACATGCAATGGTATACCAACAATGCCTTAAATACAATGCAATTCTGATAACGCTTTATATATAATACATTATAGTCCCATTGATTCCCCAACAATGATTTCTGGCTCTTGGAGCACTGCAACGTGCCAACGTCCTTGTGTCTCTAAGATGGCGGCATCCACAAATTCCATGTTCTGCCCTTCCTTGGGCGTAAGCGACAAATGACGCACACACCCAAGGTTTCAATTGGACCTGTGTTGACTCTTGCGAGTACTGCTCCCAAAAGTGACACAGTTCTGTAAGGAGGTGAGTAAATGTTGACCATTCAATGGCAAAGTTGACAAAGGACCTGGAGCTTAACTAAAGCTCCACTCAACAGTCAACTTGTATTAACCTGCAAGTTATACGAAAGGTACTTCCTCATTTGAAAATATGCATCATTTATAAATAGGGCAGCAGAGGGGTTTTTGGACATACACATGAGAGCCCTATGGGAAAAAGTTACAGAACCACTTCAATAGCAACATTAAAGGAACACTACAGTGTTAGGAATACAAAGCTATATTCCTAACACTACAGTGTCGGTTTACCTTTGTGGCCCCCCGTTCTCCCCTGGCAGTAAAAAGATTAAATAATAATTTAAACACTAATGATTCCATTGTCACAATCCCTTGGAGCTGGGGTGGACTCCTTCTTCTATGACATCAGCTGACCCGGGGAACCTAATGAGCATGTGCAGCAAGTGCCGCACACATTAAGCATTCCCCATAGGAAAGCATTGATACAATATTTTCCTAAGGGGGATTTAATGACGGTAGATGTCCTCATGCAAAGCGTTATACTTTGTGTTAATGCATGAAGTAGACAGCCACTAGAGGTAGTGTTAACACTGCAATGCAGACATGGTAAAATGTTTTACATTGCAGGGGTAAGGGAACAGGGGCGCTGCAACCAGACCACTTCAATGAGATAAAGTTGTCTGGGTGCCTATAGTGTCCACTTTAGTGTAAGCAACAACACTATATTAGCACCTTACAAAACAAGTTGAACCAACTCTTTACGAGCCAATCTAAATGAACAAACAATACTACACAAAAACATTGGTAGAACAACTCTTTATAAGCAATGCTAAACTCAATTTGCAAGCAGTGCTAGTAGAATACTTTCTAAGCAGTGTTGGACGAACACTTTGTAAGTCATGGTAAAATGATATACCAACACTTTACCAGCAATGCTACAGGAATTATTTACAGCAATGGTGGACCAACAGTTAACTACTAAAGTTAGTGATACTCTTTAAAAAAATCAATAATATATCAACACTTAAGAAATCATAGAAAGCCACTTTAGGGTATTTATCTCCAATAATTCCATTCCAAGAATACTCATTCCTCTGCATCCTGATCGGCATTTGTCAATCTTTACAGCTCAACATGAGTTTCAAAACGGAAGGATAACCTTTTACAGATGTTTTACTCATTGGTTTTCATTCTTCACCACTCTCAATTTATTGGTATATCGATCCCAATTTACTGTCCACTTTATCTCCTGTTTTTACTTTTAATGTCCATGAATGCCATAGTTATAAACTGAGGCTGCCATTAGCTTGTCATATTTTGTGGATTTGTTTGTGTTCTGGTCACAACTGTAATGTATATTCATGCCAGGCTGCACATTTACTAGTATTCTAAAATCCTTTTGTTTGTTTTGTAATGTATATTTTATTGTAACTTTGCAGGATTTATTGCTTCGGATATGACATCTAGAAATTCCAGCACCCAGCTATGGCTCATCACACATTATCATGACAATGGATCACTTTATGACTATCTTCAGAGGAATACAATACATTCAGAGGGCTGCTTGCAACTGGCACTTTCTATCATTTGTGGTTTGGTGCATCTCCATGTGGAGATATTTGGTACCCATGGAAAGCCTGCAATAGCACACAGAGACCTCAAGAGTAGAAACATTCTGGTAAAGGAAAACAACCAGTGCTGTATAGCGGATCTTGGTTAGTATCACATCCTACTTCAGCGTTCAAAATATAGGTGGATTATGTTTTGTTATTGGTAAATATGCATTCTTAGTTAAATACTAAACTATGCATTGCTTACAATTCACTGTTAATTTTCCATTTTATGTTAAAATTGGAAAAGTCAGTTTGCCATGTTTTCGGTTGGGCTATTTTGCAGAATGTTGAATTCACAATTCCCATTTTAGCGAATTTCTTGATCAGAATTTGAAGATATGATTCTTGAGTTGGTAATCGTCCATCCCAGTATGGGTGACACAGTCCTGTTAGACATCAGGTACTATTTAATCTGTGTTGTTGCTGGGATGTTTATCTTTTAATTGTTTTAATTTGGACAAGTGGGAAAGATTATATTCTATACACCTTCATTAGACTAGTATTTAATAGTGATTAAACAAATATTGTGGTTATTGGCTGCCAAACTTTTCTTTTGTTGGCATGCTGTTTCTCTCAGAAAGTAGACAATTACAGGATTAAAATGATTTCCAAACACTATGGCAATCTATTGTGGGGATCAGTAAAAATATATATTTTTACTATTACCATGAACATGAATTCCACAAATTAAATGAGGCAGAACAATGTTTATACAGACCCATAGCAACCATATCTTATATTACTCATATGCCCAGTCCTGTTGCAAAAGCAGACTGTGTTGATAATTAGGGAATAACCCAGGTAAGATACAATGTATAGACTAATAAGGATAACGCTCCAATACTGGAGTTAGACCTCAAAAAATTACCACCAGTATATTATCATTCCGCTTGGTAATTGTTACTTGCCTCGTTAATGGGAAACTAACTAGTAATCAAATAAAAAATTTCAAATAATATTATTTTAAGTCTTATTTGTGGAAAAATAACACCACAAAACACACAAGACAATACATACAATTGATGTGAAAAATAAATAGATTTAAAAAAAAATCAAAAAGTGACAGAAAGTGTGAAATTTAAAAATGGGGAACCAAAAAGACAAAAAAATATGAGCTAAAGTTTTGAAACCTAGTTAAGGCAAACTCTCAATGCTTATAGTGTTCTTGTACAGTACTGTCTGTCTGGTATATATCTATTTTGGTAACCAGTTCTCAGAATTGCAAGAACATATCCTTGTGACTGAGCTAACTTTTACTTAACTTAATTTGAAACAAAGTGGCTGCTGGTTGTATCAAATTGAAAGTATATATATAGCTCTCTCACACTAGGGGTCTCCTAACAATATGGCTATAATATAGTTCACTTGCTATAAATCTAATATAGTGGATTTTGACTCAGTTTCAACAGTATATAAGATATTTAGAAATCCACAAAATAAATAGGTAACACCTGTGGTCACTGGCTGCAGTATATTCCAAAGAACTGCAATATTTAGACATAGGTTCATAATAATTAGAGAACTAGCAGCCAGATAAGTTATATTGTCAAGAGTTATCTGCCACAATTAAGGTACAAATCTGATTTTTGTTCCTAAATGATTTACAAGTGAGTTTAGATTTAGATTCAACAATTATTAGATATTTAGAAATGCAGAAACCACATACCACCTGTGGCAACTGATTGCATTATATTCCAAAGAATTCTAACAATTAAACATAACTTCACAATAGTTGGAAAGCTAACAGCCAGATAGGATCAAAAGTAAAAATAGTAAAATCTTACTTTTGTTCAAGTCTACAGCTGCTGGCTCTGCCCCTGATCTGCTTGCTTGGCTGACATCATTAGAAGTGTTGCTCTGAGCCAATCATAATGCTTCACCATAGGAGGCAGATTGGGGCAGAGCCAAACACAACCCTGGCAAATTAGCAACTCCTCATAGTATTGAACCAATTATCATTATTATTATTATGATATTTATAGAGCGCCGTCAAATTCCGCAGCGCTTTACAATAGGTGGATGAACAGACATGTAGTTGTAACCAGACAAGTTGGACACACAGGAACAGAGGGGTTGAGGGCCCTGCTCAATGAGCTTACATGCTAGAGGGAGTGGGGTAAAATGACACAAAAAGGTAAGGATAGTATTAGACTAGTGACAGTTGCAGAAGAGGAATCAGTCAGGAGCTATTAACAGTTTAATTGATACGCTTTTATGTAGAAGTGGGTTTTTAAAGATTTTTTGAAGGAGTGGAGACTGGGTGAGCATCTAACGGAGGAGAGAAGCGAGTTCCACAGGAACGGTGCAGCCCTGGAAAATTCTTGAAGGCGAGCATCAGAGGTGGGAGTACGGACAGAAGATAGACGTAAATCTTCAGTAGATCGTAAGGGCCTAGACGGGACATACTTGTGTATAAGGGAGGATAGATAGGTGGGAGCAGCATTATGTAGAGATTTGAAAGCAAGAACCAGAATTTTAAATTGAGCTCTATATTTTATAGGAAGCCAATGTAGGGACTGACAGAACGGTGAGGCATGGGAGGTGCGGGCGGACAGGAAGATGAGCCTCGCCGCCGCATTCATTATGGACTGTAACGGCGCAAGTTGGGAGCACGTAAGACCACTGAGAAGCGGATTACAGTAGTCAAGGCGAGAGAGGACAGTGGAATGGACCAACACCTTAGTCGCATCTGGCGTTAATTAGGGGCGGATACGCGCAATGTTTTTGAGATGGAAATTACAGGATTTGGCGATAGATTGAACAAGAGGCTTGAAGGAGAGGTCGGAGTCAAAGAGAACACCTAGGCAGTGAGCCTGCATGGTGGAGCTGATGGTAGCACCGTTGACTTGGAGGGAGACAGACACAGGAGTAACAACACTTGAGGGAGGAAAGACCAGAATTTCAGTTTTGGTCAAGTTTAATTTAAGGAAGCGGGCAGCCATCCAGTTAGAAACAGCAGAGAGGCAGTCAGAGACACTAGTCAAGAGGGACGGGGAGAGATCAGGAGAGGACAGGTAGATTTGCGTGTCATCTGCATAGAAATGATATTGGAAGCCAAAGTAGCTAATGAGTTTACCAAGGGAGGCAGTATAGATGGAGAACAGTAGGGGACCAAGGACTGAACCTTGGGGACACCAACAGAGAGGAGTTGGGGAGAAGAAGCAGAGCCAGAGAAAGAAACACTGAAAGAGCGCTGGGAGAGGTAGGAGGAGCACCAGGAGAGAGCAATATCTTGTAGACCGATATTGCGGAGGATGAGAAGAAGCTGTTGATGATCAACAGTGTCAAAAGCCGCAGACAGGTCAAGGAGAATTAGGATAGAGTAGTGACCATGAGATTTTGCAGCGAGTAGATCATTGGATACTTTGGTCAGTGCTGTTTCCACAGAGTGCTTAGCGCGGAAACCAGACTGAAGCGGGTCTAGCAGAGAGTTGGACTCGAGGAAGTCTGTCAATCTCGCATACACAATTTTTTCAAGGATCTTGGATGCAAAAGGCAGTAGTGAGATAGGACGACAGTTGGATGGGGAGTTAGGGTCAAGATTGGGCTTCTTTAGAATTGGGGTTACAGTTGCGTGTTTGAAGGGCAAAGGAAATATACCAGAGGAGAGAGAGAGATTGAGAATTTTAGTGAGAGGTGGAGAAAGAGAAGAAGACAGAGTACGGATGAGATGCGAGGGAATTGGATCTAGGGAGCAGGTGGTGGGGCGGGAGGACTGGAGCAGAGCAGAAACCTCTTCCAATGTAGCGGGTGCGAATGAACATAGAAAAGCAGAGGGAGTGAAGTTAGGGGAAGTATTGTAAGGGAAGAAGAAAGATGAGAGATCTCTTCTCTGATTGTAGAGATCTTATCAGTGAAGTGAGTTGCAAAGTCTGACGCGGTCAAGTTAGTAGGTGGAGGAGGAAAGCAGGGCGAAGAAGAGAGTGAAATGTGTGAAATAGTCGTATGGGTTCGCGGGAGAGTGTGCATCTCTATAAGGAGAGTTCAATGTCTCCATGCAGAGGAATGAGACAATGAATGACTGTACTGCACAATGTTCAGCACTGACCCAGGAAGCACTTCTACCAGCCATCTGAGGGTTGGCCAGTGGAGGCTGTAATGTAAACACTGCATTTTCTCTGATAATAACAGTGTTTACTGCTAAAAGCCTGTAGGGAATGATTATACTCACCAGAACAAATACAATAAGCTGTAGTTGTTCTGGTGACTGTAGTGTCCCTTTAGGTCCTAAAAGCCATTTAATCTTAAAAAGGAGACACCCTATTCTTAGAGATATGTGCTGTATGCAGCCCTCCCCTGGTGGTGCAGCACACCTCCCCTGGCTGTGACTGACACAGCCTGCATGAAAACAAAATAGTTTCATTTTCAATTACATGTCACTTACTTTAAAAATTTTTATCTCCTGCTCTGCAAATTGAACTTTAATCACAAACAGGAGGCCCCTGCAGCAAGCTTTGAACAGAGCAGGAGATAAGACATTTTAAATTAAACAGAATTTGTAATAAAAGAAGTGTAAACATTAGATGATTCTTCACATGAAGTGTTTAATAAGGCTGTGTAAGTCACATGCAGGGAGGTGTGACTAGGGCTGCATAAACAAAGTGATTAACCCCTAAATGGAAGAAAATTGAGCAGTGAGACTGCAGGGGCATGATCTATACACCAAAACTGCTTCATTAAGCTAAAGTTGTTTTGTTGACTATAGAGTCCCTTTAAACAAACGGAAAGGTGAAACCGACAATCAACTAACAATGTAGGATAATATACTGGTTATAAAAGGAGATTTAGAGTAGAAATGTTTTCAAGTGATCATCAAATCGCTAATGGCCAATCTGACATAAAGGAAATCTAACTTGATGGGAGTTGTATTCCATTTCAACAGTGCTAAATGTTGCAGGACACATAGGTTCACATGACTGACAATAACCATTATGATTTTCCAAACTGAAAACATGAGGCTTCTATGTACATACGGTATGTCACTCGCAGAGAGGTCGTGACTCTGCACAAAGCTATATTTCATTTATCTTTTCTGTGACCCACTGAGACTTCTGTATTGTAATTTTTGCTGCTGTGATTAAAGAATAGTGCTCTCTGGGAAACAGCATTCTTATGTATCTCAAATCGACATCATCCAGCTGCAAGCAATTACTTTTCCTGAGCCTAGGTTTCCATCACATTTAACTTTGAAGGCACTTTTGGCCTTATCCACAATCAAATGTAAAAATAAAAAGTTTCTAAATGTCATTAATAAGCTCTGTGACCCAAACAGTTCTGTCTGGAAAAGCTTCAAAGTTAATGCTTTCTATCTATTTTTAGACCACAAATACAACACGGACATATATGAATTACTTTGCTTAGTTCTGAAAAATAGGATTTACCATTACCTTGAAATAGTGTTTTCAGTTTCACTTTAATTTCTTACTTTAGTTATTAACTCTGTATGCATTTTATACTGTTTAATATAGTACTTTATCAAGAGTTACTGATAACGTACAACATTGAACCTTATGAAATACATAACTTCAGCATTCTGTTCTGTCTGTTGCACTGATAGTTTGTTAATTTCATTAATAATATATAGTCAAACATAGCCTCGATAATCCTTTTAACTTTAACCCCTTCAGGACGGAGTCAATAGTACACGTTCGGATCAAAACAAAACGTAAACAAAAACTGGAATTTGCGCTATATCTCTGTTCAACCGTAATTCACATCTTTCATATAAACCCACACTTATTATATATCATTTTGTTTAGGAGAAACAGGGCTTTAATTTATCATTAACTATTAATATATGGAACATAATTTATTATGAATAAACTTTTAAAAAAAATTGAGAAAATAAGATTTTTTTATTAAATTTGTAATTCCGTCTGACATCTTAGCTGTTAATGTCATAATACTGTTAGGTATTACTGCAAACAAATGCCCATATTTGTAATCAGCGATGTCTCACGAGTACAACAGTACCCCCCATTAACAGGTTTTATGGTGTTTTGGAAAGTTAAAGGGTCAAATATAGAACGTTCCATTTTCACATTGAAATTTGCCAGATTAGTAATGTTACCTTTGAAGACAGTGTGGTAGCCCAGGAATGAGAATTACCCCCATAATGGCATACCATTTGAAAAAGTAGACAACCCAAGGTATTGAGTGTGGGGTATGTTTAGTCTTTAGTCACAAATACTGGCCAAATTTAGCGTTCATATTTGTTTTTGTGTTAAAAAAAGCAAAAAACGAATATTTGGCCAGTGTTTGTGACTAAGTGGCTACTAAGAAAGACTGGACATACCCCACTTGCAATACCTTTGGTTGTCTACTTTTGCAAATGGTATGCCATCATGGGGGTAATTCTCATTCCTGGGCTACCATACGCTCTCAAAGGCAACATAACCAATCTGGCAAATTTCAATGTCAAAAATATGAAATACAAGCCTTGTATGTGACTCTCTAACTTTCCAAAACACAATAAAACCTGTCCATGGGGGGTACTGTTATTCTCGTGAGACTTCACTAAACACAAATATTAGTGTTTTAAAACAGTAAAACATATTACAACAATAATATCGTCCATAAAAGTGCAGTTTGTTTGTAAAAAATGCAAAAAACTTCACTTTTACTTAAAATATCATCGTTGTAGTACAATTTACCAGTTTGAAACACTAATATTTGAGTTCAGCGAAGTTTCCGGAGTAAAACAGTACCCACTATGTACAGGTTTTATGGTGTCTTGGAGAGTCACAGGGTCAAATATAGTGCGTGCGAATTAAATTCTCTGCACTTTCTCCCTGTGTTGTCAGGCATGTCAATCAAATTTTAATTAATCAAATCACATAATTATGTTAAAAGATTACTTAAATATACACGTAGAATTTTAATATATATGCATTCATAGGTATTTAAATTCTACGTGTATACTAATGTAATCTTTTATGTAATTATATGTATTTATATATATATAAATATATATTTGCAGTTATTTGTATTTTATATATAGATATATATAGAATGTCTTTCTAGGTGTATTTTGTTATCGATATATATATTAATAACAAAATACAGTTAGAATGAAATTACATATGAATATATAATTTATATGAAATTTTGTTTCAATATTTTATTTATTTATTTTATTATTTTATTTATTTATTATTGTAATTATACGTATATATATATAATATATGTGTATATATCTATTATATATATAATATATATACATATTATATATATGTAACGTCATTCTAATTGTATTTTAATACTAATATATATACTAATATTAGTATTAAAACACACAATGTATGACGTTATATATATATAAATGTATTTAATTTATTTTTACACATGTTTAATTAATTTATTTTACATTTCCCATCAGCAGGGGGACTGTCTGACATTTCATACAGTCCCCCTGCTGGCAGATCCACAGCCAGCTATAGGGGGCCATGTGATCGCTCTTTGAGAGCGATCACATGGCCCCCGGGGGCCTCATTCGCCGGAGGAGGGCTGCCTGGGCGGTCTGGCAGCCCTCCAGAAGAGGATCGCAGCGGAGGTAAGTACCTCCGATCCCCTGGGGCAGAAAGCCGTTACGGCGTTCTATGCCGCCGCAACGGCTTTAAAGCCGTAACGGCGTTAAGGGGTTAATATCATGAAACCATTATGTTGTTACATATCTCCAAGGCAGGTATGAAATCAGACAGGTGGTTGCACCTTCAAGGGGGCAAAAATGGGGAGGCCCACTGAAATAGCGGCCCCCAACCTACAGGGCCATGCAAAAGGTGCTGCTGAAACGCAATCTGAATGGTCATAGTGCCCGTTGCACAGTGCAAATGCATCTAATGATGCCTTGCACTATGCTACCAATTCCTTGGTGTTTAAAAATGCAGAATACTAGAGAACTATAGTGGGACGGTTTTAATCTCACATCATACGGCTTTTCCATTTAATGGATAAGGTAATACAAACACTTGTTTGGGTGAAGATTAAAGTTATTAATGATTAAGTTTTCTTTAATTAAGGTGCTGTTCTACAAAGGATGGTTCACAGATTAATATTGTTGCAGTGCCCCACTTAGACAATGGTCCATTTTTTAACTGAAAGATAATATACAACACTATTGTTTCTTCAAAACATTTTAGAAAGCTTCTTTCCAATGTCATATAGGCTTTCAGCGTACCGAGGAAGGTAGTTCTGCTACACAAAACCATTGCCTAATGCAGTGGCATATCTATAGCGGTTGCAGTGGTCGCAGCTGCCACCGGGCATGTAATTCTATTTGGTCCGGCTACAGCTGTGGACCCCTGTGACCGGCATAAATTCAGGGCTGGTGCACAGCGCAATTGCCGGGAGCACACAGAACAGAGCGGACTGCAGTCTGTAAAATACAGTTTTAATAGAATTGCACTTACAAAGTATAAAACATTTAAAACATATCAAAAACACCAATCTGGAATGTAGTCTCAAAACTTCCAACCTCCAGAATATCTGGAGAATCTTCAAAGGACAAGTGAGCAAAACAGCTGAAACTATAAAATAAAAAGTAAAAGGCAAAATGACCCTACGCATTTAATCCAAGTGCTCTGACGTCTTCAGGGGAAATCGTTCAGTAAAACTACTGGAAAGAGAAGCTGGTACGAATCCCACCCACCCAATCCATCTTTTAAAGTCCCCAAGCCACACCACTACATTGGCCTTTAACCCCTAGCTACGCCTCTACTTTTGCCGATCCCCCAAGCCATGCCTCTACTTCGGCTGTTACCCCAAACCAATCATCACCTCTAAATATCCTCTTCCTCTACTTGTACAGCACCATGGACTATGTTAGTGCTATATAAATGCCAATAATAATAAATAAATTACAAGTGTAGTGCATGCAGAGATGAAAGGTTTTGAAGGGTTTTAAATTGAGTCAACTGTGTTAGCTTATTGTTTAAGACAATGGATTGAATTTATCCAAAGTAAATCTGTCTATGCCTAATATTGAAGAATTTTATTGTAGGTTTGCTGATTGTAATATTATATGAATGGTGCATAGTGTTCAGATCAAATATCTGTTTGTGTTTTTTAGGTCTGGCTGTGATGCATTCACAAAACTCTAATTATTTGGATATTGGTAATAATCCGCGAGTTGGCACCAAACGCTATATGGCTCCTGAAGTCCTTGATGAAACTATACGCACAGATTCATTTGAATCTTATAAGCAGACCGATTTGTGGGCTTATGGATTATGTCTTTGGGAAATTTGCAGGAGAACGGTTATAAATGGTGAGTCGACATAATACTCTTCTTATGAAAATTAAGTAGTGCAATTTAGGACTGGATTAATGAAGAGGAAATGAAAAGGAAAGCATTCCTCCTTTTGATGCATGTTTAGATTTTACACATGGAAACTCCCAGTGCTACTTTCCACTCCCTCTCCTGACATCATGACAGCCGTGCAAGGTCCAATCAAAGGCTCCATAGAGAAGCTTTTTATTGGATTGTTTAGCCAGCTCAGGGCGCATGCACTTGCTTTGAGCCGGCAAGGGGAAAGGGAGTGGTGAGACAGACAGGTAAGGAAGAGGCAACTTATAAAATAAATACACTTTACTGCATGTATAGGAAGGCAGTGAGGGCTAAAGTGAGGGACGGAGGCAGGGCTGAAGTGAGGTAGACAGGGAGGGAGGCGAGAAACAGGAGGAGACAAAGAAACCATCTGTCGCCAGAGTGTAGTGTGTGCATACAACAGAGTTCCAGGCTGCCAAAGTCGTGTGTGCCGGATAAGGGAGAAGCAGAAACTCTGCACACCCAGAGTCCTTCTTCCATGACCACGTCAAAAGGAGAAGTTGTCATGGGTGTTGAAGTAACCCTTTAATATATAAAATAAAGGGGAGACAAAGTAACAGAGAGACAGAAAACAAACAGGACAGTCCTCAGATACCTCTGTATTAAATAATGTGAATCTTTACTAATATTTATAGTGGTGGGCCGTACAAAATATGGCATAAACCAGAACATTATATGCTTAACTAATTTCACAAGTAGGCTTTAGGGCTAAATACTTTTAGGTGTGAAACTATTTAAGTGGACTGCACACCTCCAAACACTGGGAGGTATAGGATCAGGATAGGGGTTAGACAGGCCTATAAGGGGAGTGTCAGTAATGTCAATCTTAAATTATTATTTACAAGTTTCATCGAAATCTAGAGCTGCACTGCTTCAATAAGGTATATTTCATTTGCTGCCGGTGCTAATTCAGTACTTATTTTTCTAAATTCCATTCAATAATGCAGGCTCCATGTTGCATTTGAGTGCCCTTGCATTTTAAAGTGGTTCTCTTGACATCTAATGTGTAAAAAAGCAAGGGCTTCATGCCAAATTATATATTTTTTGATCTTATTGCATGATGACAGACACAAAGGGTTTGCCACAAAAGGACACATCTTTTAGGTTTCCAATAATTAGCAGAAAACCTGTTTTTGTTTATTTACAGTCTTTGCACCATTTTCTTGTTTGTAGTGAATAAGGGATAGCAATACCCTTGCATTATTTCAGTTGCTTTATAAAAAAATTATGTTAACTGAGTAGAGAATCTGCTGCTTCCTAATATCTTTGATCAAATGAATCCAGTTACAAAATAGTAATATTAATTTGTAAATGTTCTTTTTAAATAATCTTAAAAAATAACCAAATAGATTTACATCACACTTGGTCTGAAACGTTAGTATAAAAGGAAAAATTAGATGTGTAGATGTGACAAAAATATATAAATAAAAATGGTCAAATACCTTGTTTACAGATATTTGTAAGAACCTTGAAAACATTACTAGCAGTACAACTTAATAAAAATGGTAAAAGAATGTAAAAGAATGCCTGCACTTGAGCATATTGCCAACATGCTGTAAATACAAATAAGTTATTTAATTCTAAAATAAAAGGTATTGAAAACTGATATAGCAATCATTATCAATCTCTAAACAGCTGTTGTAATGCTAACAGTGGAATGGAAGATTCGATTCACTCCTCCCCACTCCATGACTGCAGGATTGTTATCACCCATTGAAACTACCTGTACTGTTTGACAGCAGGCGCCAAGCTTACATTTTAGCAAATTTGAAGGCATTATGTCAGTGACTAGTAGCTTCTGACAGAGAAATGTATTCCTCTACAGGCTGGTAATCGTTATGAGGCTGACTGAGGCTTTAAGGACTAAATTTCAATATGAAAAATATTTTAAAAATAAAAATGTTTATCTATTATCGTCACTACGGCCTGCTAAATATTTAGCAAAATCACAAAATATGTTTTTCATTAACCTAGCAATATCAATATATCAATTTGCCGGTTCATGTGATTAACAACGACAACAAAAGTTAAGCCCTAATTTACGCTTTTAAAGGGACTATTGGAACCAAAACAACTTTAGCGTAATTAGGCAGTTTTAGTGTATAGCTCATGCCCCTGCAGTCATAGTGCTAAATTATCTGCCATTTAAGAGTTAAAGGAACACTTACTATAGGGTCAGGAACACAAATGTGTATTCCTGACTCTATAGTTTCAAACCTTGCTAGCCCCCCAGATCCCCCTTTGCCTCTCTTAAAAATAGTAGAAAACTTATCTTTCCCATAGGAAAGCATTGGAGTGACAGTTCTGATGATCTCAGCCAAGGAGGTGGGGCAGAACCTAAAACACCACTGGCCAATCATCATCTTCTCATAGAGATGCATTAAATCAATGGTCTTTCTTGTCTTATTGCATGATGACAGACACACAGTTTTTGCCACAAAAGTGCACCTATTTTAGTTTCCCAATAATTAACAGACAACTTTTTTTTAAATAAAACTCTTTGCATCATTGTCTTGTTTGTAGTAAATAAGGGCCAGCAATACCCTTTGCATTATTCCAGTTGCTTTACAAACAAATAATGTGAACTGCTTGCTCAAGAGTAGAGAAGCTGCTGGTTCCTAATATCTTGGATCAACAGTTGCAAAATAGTGATATTCATTTGCAAATTTTCTTTTTAAATATTCTTTAAAAAATAACCAAATAGACAGTGTCCTTTATTTTAAATTATTTCACACTTGGTCTGAAACGTTAGTATAAAAGCAAAAATGCACAAATATCCCCCACTGTGTCTGCTAATGCATATGGTCTCTTGCAGTGTCCCCCCCCCCCAAATGCACTGTTACTTGGACTGTGAGTTTCAAGCCTTAAACAGTTTTACTGTTACCCTGCCATCCAGTGGTGAAAGTGCATGAGTGTACTATGCAATAACTCATTAATTTAGGAATTATAGGGCAGTATGCAGAATGCAACGCTAAATTAGCAGCACCTTCTATACTGCCATAAGTTCATCTCAGACCATATCGTGATGACAGCATGAAATGTCATTGTTCGATAGGGGTTAAATACCTCACTCTTTATTAATTTAAGCATCACCCACTTAAAAGTTGTTGTTTTTTTCTAAAAACCTTTTATTTTTATTTCAAAAGTTCAGCTTTTGCAACAACCCACCACCCCCTCAAAACCCCAGCCCCAAAAAAAAATATTACATTTCAGGGAACAGGCAATCCTACCCTAGGTGCCAAATATTTGGTTTGTATGAAAATGTAATGAGTGGGCATTTTGTTAATGGATCCTGTAAATGGTATGGGTGGTCCTGCATTTAGAAAAAAACTTTTGTAGAAACTTCAAATGTCACAAAAAGAATCAATATTTTGCAACACATTCTTAACCAATCTTATCTTATTATGAAAACTGTCTTTAAAAAGCCATTAGTCTCATAAGCAAACTTTTGCCAGATAAATGCAGTCAGTTTTTGAGCACAGAGCAGATAACATGTTTTTTTTTTTTTTTTTTTTTACAAAACCCTAAAGGAATATAAACAATGATTAATAAAACTTTCAAAGAAACATCAAATTTTTCTGTTCTCAATCCCCCCCAAAAAAGATAATTATTTTACATCTAATGTAACCCCTAATGAGCCTTATTCCAATTTCTGTAATTTTGTGACAAAATGCCTTTTTGCTATGTGTTTTTTTCACCATAATTTAACACTTACTCTTTAATAGTACCCATACATAATCTATTCTAGTTTATAAAGAATAAATATTAGGGTGAGAGGGGTAGATGGGTATTTATTTATTGAATGGGTGACTAGGAGCTTGGTGGCGTGGTTATTTTTACAATTGGCTCTGCTGCCAATGGGTGGGGGCTGGTGGGGCCTGGTGGGGCAATAAGTCATCCCATTATTACTTAGGCCCCACCCACAGGGAATGGGTGGGGGATAAGAGGTACAATAGGTTCCTCCCATTTTTACTTAGGGCCCCCCAACAGCCACTAATGGGTGGGAGTTGGGGGTGACACTAAGTTCCTTGTTTTATTTTAATAGCCCCCACTATGTCCCTCCCCCATTAATTATTATAATAGGTGCCCCACCATGGAGGCATGGGCGACCTGTGTAAGGTCTCCTTTTATTGGGGGTCTTTTTTTTATAATAGATGCTAGCCGCTCCCTGTTTAGTAGATGTGCCTCTACTCGTGGCACTCATAAGTGCGAGTAGGGGCAGGAGGGAAATTTTAACCTCCAGTACATTTCATCCAGGGAACACAAAGATGGCGGCGCCTAGGACATAGATCCAGACAAGAAATAAAGAGGTAAAAAAGGTGAAATGGGGGACCTAGGGCTATTTGGGGTGACTAAGGAGACAATCAAATCTTCAGGGGTTGGGAGGGACTTTAAAAAAAAAAAAAAATGACAGTGCCACTTTAAATATAAACCTTAGCCAAATTAGGCATGCTGAGACCAAGTTAATAGCAGTTGCAGAATCTAAAATCACTATACAAATGTAAATATTTGTAAAAAGTAGACCCATCAGGATATTTAACCTTCTGTGTTTAGGCAGTTTTTATTTAACCATTTCGTCACCAACAGAGCTAAAACTGCTGAGTATATTTAATAATTTTGTAATTTTTACAAATGTGTAACTTTCAGTGTTACCATGTATGTCCCACGGAATACAGGATTACTCCATATGTATATCTTTGCTTCAAGGATACACTATTTCTTGGTGACACTATTGGTGACCAGCATCATGCTTTGATGCACATTCGTACCATCACTTAACCCTAACACAAACCCTAACTAGTTCAGATTGATTGATCACCATTGGAGCCAGCCACAGTGATAAAAAATTTGTTTTGAATATGTTTATTAGAGTCGCAAAAAAGGGTTGGCAGACATTTTACGAATTGGTAGAAATAACATTTGGTTGCCTGAGCAGAGGCATACAAGTCATAATAAACAAGCAATAAAGTAAATTGGATGTACTTAGACTTTGCGAGATTTGATATATCAAGCGCATTCGACAGGGATATTAACGCATTAAGCAGGCTTTTTAGTCATCTGAGCAATACCTATGTCTAACTACGCGTGCGATGGCGCTTTCAGCATGGGTAGCCTTTTATGTAGTTAAATAAACATGCAATTAAGTAAATTAAGTGTACATAAACTTTGCAAGATTTGTTTTTGCTTTAGATAAAACCTAAAAATCTACGAAACTGCAGGTACGAATTATGCCCGCAGGGCTTTCCGTGGCTCCGTGGGCACTCAGGGCCAGAGAACGTCCACAGGACCCCACACCTAGGGTCTGAGCGCCCCCTGTCCCCTGCACCTCCCCAGCACCTGTAAGCCCCCCGTCTCTCCTGGTGCCGGCCACAGACTTGGGGACGATGCGCATCCCTCATGGCCAGCGGTCCGCCGGAAGGCCCGCATCCTCTTGATCCACAGGACTCGCAGCACCAGGGACTCGACTCCCCAAGGACCCCCACAGACTCGGTAAGTCCGGGCCGTAACTCCTTCGGTGGGCAGGTAGTCAGGGAATTAATTTAGTTGCCGGCGACATCTGTGGCCACATGTGCCGTATCTGCCAGCCCTTCCGAAGCAGCTAATAGTCCTCTTCACGTCGTCTTTCGCCGTAATGAGCTTGTATGTAAAATGGTCCTCATGACTCTTTTACTGGCGGGCTCCTTTTCGGCAGCCTTTGCCAGTTCAGGAGGGCAGTCTGGGCCCAGCACGGGAAACTCCTGTGTCGGCGCGTGTCGCCTCCATGAGGCCAGATTACCCCACCGGCCGGGGGGGGGAGCGGGGCCGCGCACCAAGCCAGCAGCATCCGTTGCCTGGGTAAGTTGCTTTTGTTTTTCTTTAAGTCGTTCGTGTCCAGGCACGGAGGATTGGCATGTATTCTGACAACTCATGGTCACTCGAGTCTGGTCTTGCGACTGAGGGTAGGCCTTGAAAGTCCTTTACGGTGCTCACAGCCTTCTTGTAGGGTCTAATTGGCATCTTTGTAAAGCTGGTGTTATCCTTCCCTTTATTTCAGCAGGTAACCTGGTCTTTGTGCCTTCTGTGGGCGTTTCAGAGCCAGTTTAGTTTGTTTGGGCCGGGAGCCATGTTAGTCTGCTGCCATGCGGCTCGGCGGCCCGGCCCCGTCCCCTGATAAAAAAATTTAACTGACAGTTAAAGGACAACTGTCACCTAAACACTAGTTTTTAATATAATACTATAATAACCAAAACACTCCAATGACTTCAACAGTCACCATATCTCAATATATTAACCTTTAAGGAGGGAGCCAATCTAGTATTAGAAAGGTGTACCTAATAAAGTGGCCATTTTTACATGCTTTAGTTAAGTTTCACAAAGGGTTTCATAAAACAAAACTAAATCAGAATCAAACTAATTTTTAGTCAAACAATCCGCATTCTATAAGTTCTAGATACTTCGGGGAAGAACTAAGTGTAGATTACTTGATGCTTACATCCAATCATAGTATATTTTCACAGACAAAAGACCCCCATGAGCTGTACTTATTTACAATATAATTAAGAATAGCATGAATTGCAAATGTACACCTTTGTTTTTAAAGCCTTAGGTTAATTTTCTGCTTTAGCTGAATTGTTGTAATTGGACTTTTGAACACTGAACATTTTATGTATTTTTTTCCTTAACAAGTGATGTGTCGTTTCAGGCACATGCCATTTTGCACTGACTGTGACCAGACAGCTGATCAGGCTGGAATCGGGCACTATCAGTATTAACATGCTTCCTAGCTAATCAGCAGCAGCAGTCAACAGGATGACTAGATGATGCTCTCTTAAAGGACCACTATAGTGCCAGGAAAACATACTCGTTTTCCTGGCACTATAGTGCCCTGAGGGTGCCCCCACCCTCAGGGTCCCCCTCCCGCCCGGCTCTGGAGAGAGGAAAGGGGTTAAAACTTACCTTTCTCCAGCGCTGGGCGGGGAGCTCTCCGCCTCCGATCCTCCTCCTCTCCTCCCTTTCAGCTGAATGCGCAGGCGCGGCAAGAGCTGCGCGCGCATTCAGCCGGTCTCATAGGAAAGCATTTACAATGCTTTCCTATGGACGCTTGCGTGTTCTCACTGTGATTTTCACAGTGAGAATCACGCAAGCGCCTCTAGCGGCTGTTAATGAGACAGCCACTAGAGGATTTGAGGGCTGGATTAACCCATTTATAAACATAGCAGTTTCTCTGAAACTGCTATGTTTATAAAAAAATGGGTTAACCCTAGCTGGACCTGGCACCCAGACCACTTCATTAAGCTGAAGTGGTCTGTGTGCCTAGAGTGGTCCTTTAATGCTACCAATATTTATAACATACACATATATGGTCCACTTTATCCATCCTACAGCATATAAATTACAGCTGTACATCATCTGCATAACTTAAAGGTCTAGGCAAGAATTCATTTTGCCACCCCCTCATGAATGCAGCTACATTCCCTCAGAGGCTTATTACTAAACTCTGAATTTCAATGAAGAGACATTTATGGAAACAGGACACACTGAGTAGACATTAAAGGGAAAATATAGTGCCAGAAAAACTTGTTTTCCTGGCACTATAGATTTTCCCTCTGTTAAGCGCCCCTACCTCGTGGTGCAAAAGGGGTTAAAAAAAAAAAAAACCTTCCGTCACTTACCCGGGCCAGTGCTGATGTCCCTCAGCGCTGGCTTGGTTCCACCTTCACTCCTCAATGGCCGCATCAGGATTTCCCCATAGGAAAGTAATATACAATGCTTTACTATGGGTTTCTACGTGACGCTGGATGTCCCCATGCATAGCCACTAGAGGTGGAGTTAACCCTGAACGGTAATTATTGCAGTTTGTTAAAAACTACAATAATTACTTTTGAAGGGTTAAGGGCCCTGTGACAGTGCATCCAGACCCCTTCAATGAACTGAAGTGGTCTGGGTGCCTATAGTGTCCCTTTAAGTGAAAGTAGATGCACAGTAGAAATTTAGAAACAGCCTGGGGAGACATTTAGGTAAAAAGTAGAAAGACTGTTGAGATATTTAGGAAACAGAGACTGGGAGACATTTAGGAGAGAGACATGGTAAGCACACATTTAGAGAAAAAAAGAGACACACTCTTACTAACACACACACTCACGGACATACACAGTGTCACTTACACACTCTCACTAACACACACACACACACTATCACTGACATACACACACAGTGTCACTTGCATATGCTTACTGACATACACAGTGTAACTAACACACTCTCACTAACACACACGCACTAACACACACACACTGTCACTTACACGCTCTCACTAACACAGTGTCGCTTGCACACACTGACATACACAGTGTAACTTGCACACTCTCACAAACACACACACACACTCTCACTAACACAAAGTGTCCCTTGCACACTCTCACTAACACACACACTGTCACTTAAACACAAGCTCACACCACTACATAAAGTCACACTTTATTTATACACAGAAATACAGCAATTTAACACACACACACACACACATACACTAATTTACAACCATGCACACAATAAACAATCCCCCTTAGTCTACCTGGGTGCTGTGAAGAGGAGAAGAGGTCCAGGCTGCAGGAAGTTGTTCTTCTTTCTCCTAGGGGAGCAGGAGAGCCGTGCACTGTGAGCACATGCTGCTTCCTATTCCCCTCAGAGTGCTTCCAGTGTCCACAGGCAGGGGGCAGCTGGGATACAGGTCAGATCCCGGCTACCCCTACCTGCAGGAAGCATTCTGCTTGGTTGTTGTGGTTACAGTAAACCCCACTCCCTGAGCAGGCAAGCGGCAGAGAAAGTCTAGCTCTCAGCGTTCCAGCTCCAGACAGCAGCAGGGCAACCCACCAGGAAACCTGCCGGTGTGCGCCCCCTGCAGGTCAGCGCCACAGGCGAATGCCTTATTTGCCTTATGGTAGCACCGACCCTGGTCCTGCTTCTATAATCCTGCCCCCGTAGCTTCATTCATGTTTTTGTATGAATAATGCCAATTGCAGCATGTACAGCTTTCATTGGAAAGCTAATTGCTAAAATATGGCTTTCTTGAACTCCATAGTGGAAAACGAAGAAACCTCAGGCCTAGAACGCAAAGGGTTCAAAGTTTAAAGGGACACTCCACTGCCCAAATACAAAATAAATAGGAGTCTGGAGTGCCCTTTTAATTCCTGCAAGAAAGTACACCACAGCTACCCCAAAATGATTACCAATAAAAAATAAAAAAATCATATTACATGAGTAACAAGTAGTCAAGGTTGAGAATATGATTTGGCACAGTTGCATGTGAATGATTCCTCATTACAAGAAAAATCATGATTAAGTTAAAATGATCTGACAAATCAGAAGCTGCCTCTCCTGTTAGAATAAAATGGACACTCCAGGCCTGCTAATCAGTTCTTTGATTTCAACTAGCTTTGTTTTCCAGAAAGGATTAGCTGTAAATTATAAACACCATAATCTGGTGTCAGCACCCAGGTCCATGATTAAAGCAGCCATTACATTCAATCAGCACTCTGTTTATTCAACACTGATTAGAAAACTATCAGCATCAGAGAAGAGCTTGGACAGCAGCCATACTTTCTGCAGCCTGTTGCCATGAATCTAAAATACCGGATAATTTCCACCATAAAAGAGTTCAGACCAAGCAGAGAATGTATGTTGTGGAGTGGAAAAATAGGACGTTCCGGGGGCTCAAACTTGACAATGATGCTATTCCACTTCTGCAATGTAGTCACAATGGTATTATGAAGTCTGTCCTTCTCACCCACTGAATTCCACTACTTGTAATAAACAGTTTGAAATGTTTAGTGGGTGTTTATAACAAGAGAAGCAGAGGAGGAAAATCCAGTCAAATGGCCAAAAGAAAAAGGGTAAAATAGCTAATCATCTTCAGAGATGTATTCAGTTATCCTTCTTTAAAAATCCATTTAAATTGTAGGAAATGTCCCGTAATCCATGCATTGTGATTTAATTTAAAGAGCGTGTCGTCTGAATTAACTTTGAATTATAATGTTGTACAAATATGACTGATATATGTAGATTAAAGTACATTTTTACCTTAAACACTAAACGGTGAAATCCAGACACTGTATCTTAATTGCCCATAGCAGCTGAGCACTGCCAACAAGCAGTCATAAAATATCTCAGTCATCCTGCATTATATTTACACCCAGTTTTGCACATAGGACCTCTCTTACTGCCCTGCATCCGCTCCGAGGTTAGAAGGGTTCTCTGCTTTACATATAATTGAATATTCAATTATTACAATTAAATGAGTACTGTAGGCACCATAACCAATTTAATGGATTGTTTATTCCTGGCCGCCAGTCGCCTAAACTACAATAACAATATGGTGGAAGCGATGCTTCGGCTTTGTGCCATACCAATTCATAATAGGAAACTTGCAATGATTGGCTGATAGCACAAAGCTGACACAATGAGCCTCTCCCAACCTGCTACTCCTGTTATAGCATGAAGTGGAGCATACTTCTACCTTAACTATATCCTCATTGGATGCCGGGCTGCCGAGGGACTGGGAAAATCTGCTAATCTCTGAGTAAACCATTTAGCATCAGCAGGGGCGTACCTAGAGCGTACCTTTGGCACCCGCCTCCAAAAAAAAACAGCTACTAAATTTTTAAAATGTGCTCTTTTTTTTAAAATGTATTGCACAAATTTGTAAACTTTTTAAAACCCCTGCCCCTTTCTACAAAGTCCCTGCACCTCCTCATCCACAGTCACATGCAGACAGTCACACATATAGTCACAGGCAGTCATGTACACAGTTACAGGTAGAGAGTTACACACACACAGTCAGTTACAAGCAGTAACACACAGTCATGCACACTGTTACAGGCGGACAGTCACATATACAGTCACACACACGATCACAGGCAGACAGTCATACACATAGTTACAGCCACACACACACAGTTACAGACAGTCACACACAGTCACAGGCAGACAGTCACACACACACACAGTTACAGGCAGCATCACACAGTTACAGGCAGTCACAGGCATGCAGTCACACACACACATAGTTACAGGCAGACAGTCACACACACACACAGTTACAGGCAGATAGTTACACACATACACACAGTTACAGAAGACAGTTACACACACACACACAGTTACAGGCAGACAGTTACACACACATACACACACACACTCTCTTACTTACAGACAGTGTGGACTGGAGGAGTGGTTTCATTGAAGTCCTTCCCTGGCTGGAGCCTGTTAGGTGGAGGAGCAGGGATTTCTTCTTGCTGCACCTCCATGTGCAGCAGTAACATCAGCGGGTAAGGACCGTGTTAAGCCCTGCCTCCGCTCGTGGGTTGGCTCCGCCCCCAAATGTATGTAGCTCCGCCCCTTCTTCCTTCTGTGCGGCCAGTTCAGCTTGCTGGTCTTTCCGTGTGACCTGTGCGACACCCCAGCTGCCATGGGGTGCAGCTCACACATCCCCCATTAGCCTTCCGACCAGGGTCATGGCACCCCCCTACCAGGTGGCACCCGGGGCGGACCGCCCCCTCCGCCCCCCCCCCTTAGTCCGCCACTGTTATCAGCACTTTAATCTGATGAAGTGATTATGGTGCCATGGTACGAGGCAGAGCTGCCCTTTGGCTCCATTACTATATGTCTTATCTATTGAGCCATTGGCTATTCTTATTAGGGAAAATAAAAATATATATGGGATCAAAACAATCGAGCGAGACCATAAAACCTTTTGCCGATGATGTGCTTCTGTCTGAAATTACGAGGGATAAATAAATTTGCAGATCTCTTTGATAATAAAAAATTGATTAGCTTTCCGGGTCTACAAGATAAATACAATACACCCTATAGGTGAAACTTTTCGCTACCTAAAGATTAAACATTTTCTAAACTCAAAATATTTTATATTCGAACACCCTATTTTTTATTATTTAGATCATAGGCGTGCACAGCCTATTGCATTAGGGTGTGCACCCTAAAGTACAAACACACGCCGCATGTATATGTGTGTGTGTATATATATATATATATATATATACATACACTGCTGTTGTTAGTGTGCTGTTAGTGTGCTGTGTGAGAGTGCTGTGTGTGTGTGCTGTTAGTGTGATGTGTGTGTGAAGGTGCTGTTAGTGTGATGTGTGGGTGAGGTTGTTTGTGTGTGTGTTTGTGAGGGTGCTGATAGTGTGTGAGGGTGCTGGTAGTGTGCTGTGTGTGTGAGGGTGTTTGTGTGTGTGTGTTTGTCCTGTGAGGGTGCTGTGTGTGTGAGGGTGCTGTTTGTGTGAGTGTCATGTATTTGTGAGGGTGCTGTTTGTGTGCTGTATGTGAGGGTGTTGTGTGTTTGTGAAGGTGCTGTGTGTGTTTGTGAGGGTGCGGTTAGTGTACTGTGTGTGTTAGAGTGCTGTGTGTGTGAGGGTTCTGTATGTGTACTGTATGTGTGAGGGTGCTGTATGTGTACTGTATGTGTGTGGGTGCTGTGTGTGTGAGGGTGCTGTGTGTGTGCTGTATTTGTGTAGGTGCTGTGTGTGTGTGCTGTATGTGTGTGTGTGCTGTATGTTTGGAGGGATTGTGGAGGTGGTGGCAGATTAGTAAATATCCCCCCTCCCTTCTGACCTTATGTAGGGAGGGGGGATCCTTGCTGCCATGTGCCATCCCTGGTGGTCCAGTGGAGAGTGAACTCTAGCCTGCTGGGCTAGAGTTAACTCTCGCGAGATCTGAGCGTTGCCGCGGCCCTGAGCGTTGCCTGGGTCCTCTCCTGCCTCCCTCCATGCTGCTGTGGGCTGGTGAGGTAGATCTTTGATCTCCCCGCCGGCCCCTGGAGGCTTAGAGCAGAGCCGGCACTCAGATAGTGCCGGCTCTGCGTGAGCTGACAGGGGAGATCCGGAGATTCCAACCCCCACCCAAAAAATAATATACACTCGTGTGTGTATGTGTATATATATATATATGTATATATATATATATATATGCGTGCACACACACACTCACAGACACATTCACAGACACACATACACTCACAGACATACAGACATACATTCACAGGCACCCACACACTGACACACATACACACACATACACACACATTCACAGACACACACACACATACAGACACATACAGACACACACACATACAGACACACACACACACACATACACACACACACACATACACACACACACACATACTCAGACACATACACACTCACAAATTATTCTTTTTTTATAAAAAAATGTCCACCCAGCCTCCCTACCTGGAGAGCTGGTGTGGACCTGTCCCTGGGGTCCAGTGGGGCGGGTGCCTGTCTCCATATCACGCGCGGCGAGGGAGCTGTGTTCTCTCTGCTCCTTCTCAACGCGCGGGCTGTCTACAGTAGCTGGGAGCCAGAATATGACATCATATTCCGGCTCCCGGCATTAGCAAACGGCGCGCGGCGAGAGGGAGCAGAGAGCACAAAGCTCCCTCGTCGCGTCTGATATGGAGAGGGGGGGGTCCATCACCTTAGCGCAACATCGCACATTTTAGAGTGGCCTTTTATTGTGGCCAGCCTAAGGCACACCTTTGCAATAATCATGATGTCTAATCAGCATCTTGATATGCCACACCTGTGAGATGGATGGATTATATCGGCAAAGGAGAAGTGTTAGCATAGATTTAGATAGATTTGTGAACAATATTTGAGAGAAATAGGCCTTTTGTGTACATAGAAAAAGTCTTAGATCTTTGAGTTCAGCTCATGAAAAATGGGGACAAAAACAAAAGTGTTGAGTTTATAATTTTGTTCAGTGTATGTGCACCTGCCTTGCGCTGTAAACCATCTCATCAGGAAGTCTGTGATTGAACATCCACAGAAAGAGGTTAGATGTAGGTCTTCGGCATACTGCATGTTGCGAGGTAATTGCCACAAAGGGGTGTGATCTGGAGGTGGTACATGTCAAAATAATATCCATTTGAATGTCAGGACCCAATGTTTCCCAGCAGAAAATTGCCCAGAGCATAACCCTGCCTCCACCAGCTTGCCTTCTTTCCTGAAATCTCTTCCAGAGGTAAACAGTGCACACGCACCTAGCCATCCATCTGATCTCAAAGAAATCATCAGACCAGGCAATCTTCTTCCATTGCTCCATGGTCCAATTCTGACGCTCACATACCCATTTGGCGGTGGAAGGGGGTCATTGTGGACACTTCACCGGTCGGCAACTACACAGCCTTATGCGAAACAAATGCAATGCACTGTGATTTTTGGCACCTTTCTATCATGGGCAGCATTAAGTTTTTCAACAGTTTGAGTTACAATTGCTCTTTTGTGTGATTGGACCTGATGGGCTAGCCTTCGCTCCCTACGTCCATCTATGAGCCTTCGGCGTCCATGACCCTGATACCAGTGTAGCGGTTGTCCTCTTTAGGTATGTGCGAACCACTGCATACCAGGGACACCACACAAGACTTTCCATTTTGCAGAGTCTCTGACCCACTCGTCTAGCCATCACTATTTGGCCATCAAAGTCACTCGGATATTTTCCCTTGCTGATTTCAAAAGAGGGATTCCCTTGATGGCCCTAAACCTAATCAAAACTCTAATCTGAACCCTAATTCCAATCCAAAAATTAATTCTAAACCATCTTAATTATAAACTAATAATAAACTGAATACTAAATACTAATCTCAATCCATAATCTTAATCCCTAATTTAATCCTAATCCCAATGATTTCCTTCTGCTAATATCAATACTGTTCAGAAACTGGTGGTCTCCCAATTACGGTATATTTCAAAAGAGCCTGCAAAAGCTGCAGTTCTCTAGTCTGCTGTATTAGTTATGTCTTGTCAAACAAATTATATTTTCAAACTTAAAGAATGAGCCAAAAATCTAGAAGATGCTAGCAGTGTTATATGATGGGAAGAGTTTGAACAATAACATACGTATATCGAATGTGAAACGTTAGTAAATCTGTAGAACTACTAGATCAAACGATAGCATCCTAGACTATGCTTAGAGTTTCAGAGTTTATCACAAATAAGCCAGTTATGTAAAGAATTGTAATTAAGCCGCATACATGTTTCAAATCAATCTACCTAAAGTATGTGTTATGTATTACACATATTATATGGATAGCATGTATTATCACCTGTCACTTTCCCTTTCAGATTGTACGTGTGCTGGTTCTCAAACTCTACTTATCGGGTTATTTCTGTTTATTTCCTCTTTACTTGACATATGCATTGATGCAGGATTTCTATTATATGTGAATGGTTATAATAGCAATAAGATGGTATTCAGTACTAATACACTTGCAGACAGTTGGCACCCACCATAAAATAAGTGAGCTGAGATAAATTTTCAGCTTAGTTTAGCAACCAACTTGTGCGGGTTAGAAATAACACAATAAGTTACTATGAAATTAATTTCCATTTCGGTATTTACCTCTGACCCTTGAGTCGTAGTTGAGTAAGTCCAAATAAATTAGTTTCAGGTTTTCAATTCAATGATATTGTAAGAAATTCAGAACTAGATCATTGAATATCCAGCCGGCAGCGTTGTTTTCAAGTTTAAAATGAGTCTTTGTAAAGTGTAATGGTTCTGAAAGGTGGTGGTGGGGGGGAATGAAGCTGAGGGCTACTTTATCATTTTAACTATTTACTGGGGGGAAATAAAGTGATGTCCACCGTCCTCTCTTACCCCATGTGGAGAGTTAAAGAAACACATCGACCTTCCAAACACCTCAGCTAAATAGAATGTTGATATTGTATATATATATATAAGGTAATTTTATCTGGGGGCAATCTTACCATCAGGGGTTAAAATGTTTCCCAATGCTTTAATACAGAAGTTGGTACTCTGGTGCCCAACACAGGCTTCCTTCCTCTCTGCACTGCAGTAAAAGTAATGGGTCTGCAGAGTGGTTGGTGGCTCTCAACCTGTCCCTGCCTGCCCATTAAGAGAAATAGTATGTGTTATTTACCCCCTGCTCCCAAAACAAATTCAATGAGCTGAAGTTGTTATAGGGCTGGGAGTGTTCATTTAGCATTACTGCATCTCTAACCTTTTTCTCTACCTTTAACATAGGTCAGTCCTTTGCCCCACTAGTTTACATGAACATAACACAAGTGTATAATGAAACATGTATATTTATAAATTATATATAGGTTAGGGTGTTTAAGATAGGTAAACTAATACTGCCACCTATCCACTATATAGCGAACTGTCAAGAATCTAATCTTAATATAAGGTGAATTTCAAATTTATGGCCATAATAGCTGAAGTAGAAATTGTTTGCTAAGTTCTTGTGAAGTGACAATTCGTTTTTAAATACAGGATTATTACTGACATCTGGCTCTAGAAATTTCAGAGACAATTATAATAACAATTTAAGGGACTCGGTAACAGATCAAAAGAAAAAAAAGTATATCCAGAATCTGAAGAGATTGTTGAGATTATCAAGGCTATTCACTGAAGTGAGAATTCAAAATGAATCTCAAATTTGAAGTCAAAATTGTCAAACTGGAAAAATTCGCAAAATAAGCCATGTTTTCAGGTTGACTAGTTTGGCCTTGTATTTGAAATTCACTTTGAATTTATTTTGCAATCTCACTTTAGTGTATAGCCCTCTGAGTATATTTTAGGATGACAATCTAGGAGGAAGAACTGACTAGGAGAGGCAGAAATGTTTATGGTAGAAGTTAGCAATATAGCTGGCTATTGGGAAACTTGAATAAGGGTGGGATAGGTTTAGCTGGGAAGAGCAGAGATCACAGTTTTTCATAGAAGTGGATTAGGGCATCCCTAAATTATTCTGCTATTTATGCTGACCCTCATGCACACACTGTTTGCTTCTGTTTTTTGAGCGGTTTAGGTGAAGAGCTGTTCCGAGAACCCAGGTTTTTTTAGAAGTGTATTACATTTTTCCTCTGTTGTTTGCTTGCCTCTGTCTCCTGTTTTCTTGTAAAAGCTATTTTATTAAAATTAGCTTGCAAAAAAAGTACAGTATGCCCATAATCACATTTTCCATTATTGAAAATCATACATATTGAACTGAAGACATTTTTTTGGCATGGAAATAGGAAATTTATCATAGGGAAGAGGATTGTTCCTTGTGTTGCTCCAATAAAAGTTAACAACCTACAATAAATATTCCAAGACACACAAAACACAGTAGTACAATCAAATCTAAGTGGCAGAGCTTGGATCCTAAACAGCAAACACAAACAAGAAGAATGCAATTATATCCTGCTGCTGACTACAGTCATTTATCAAGAGAGCAGGGTCACTCTGCAAGTTTGCATAATGTAGCTGGTCCAGGGAGAGCAGGTGGCTTAGCAAAGGAAACTCATGTCAAGTGAATATAGATATAGCTTCTCCATGCTGCATACAGATTTCATATTATTCATACAATCTCTGTACGCATTCTTTTATTCAATAGTTTTGAAATCCGCAATGTTCTACATTCAGGAGATAGACCTATAGAAATCCTGAAATGTTTTAATTGGGACACCAGTATGATGTAGAGCAGCTACTTCTGGGAAATGGGGAATTGTTCTCCCAAAATACACTTGATGGCTGCACCGTACTTATGCCAAATAAACCTGGACATTATTTTTTTATCTGCATGATTTCATCTGGAACTGTGTCTACTGAGATTTTAGCTCGGGGCAATAGTTAAAGAAAAGTTATGGAATGTACTTGTATTTTCTCACTATTCTCAATAGTTTTATTTTTATTTAAGTTATATTTAATTAACAGGGCTTGTAAAAGCATGTTATTTAAATCCCATGTTCCAAGCCATCAAAACAATGGAAGACAAGAGTCTATCAAAATTAAAAGGACCGTCCATTAAATTAAAAGGACTGATCCATTTCTTTCTAATATATTTAGACACAATGCACTTAAAGAGCAAAAACAACCAAAACAATATGGTAAAAACAAAGCAGAGAAAGAACACTGCACTTTCTGTTTGCCACAATCTCTGCAATACAAAATGCATGATTAAGGCACTTTTGAATTGAAACTTTGCATATTTTGTGTGGGATTTGCCATAATAAATTAGGATTTTTTTTAAATACACACTGCATGCTGAAGCCTTTACCATTACTACTGTGAAAATTCAAAATGTAAAAACCTGTAAAGCGCTTTAACTTGCTTTAAAGCGTTACGTGTGAAGAGTGTGCAAAAAGTGCATATTTCAATAGAAATAGTAAATGTTGTGAATTTACCTGGTAACATCCCCCTGGCTTTCAAGCAGACAACTGGTCAAGTTACTTCCTGATTTGGTTAGCTCAGTGGAGCTAAACCCAAGAGGCAGCAATTACCCAGAGCACCTGCCTTGCAAAGACTTCTCATGAAGCTGTATTGGAAAGTCTGTGATTGGACAGTCACAGAATGTCAGTGTGGTGTTAGAAGGGAAGGGCTGGCAAATGTTTCAGACAAGAGATCTGCAGCTTTTGTAAGCTGCTTTAGATATACATGCAATGAAAAAAATGCACACATAAATGTATGCATGGTTTCATTGGGAGTTAACCTACTAAACAGTGATTTTGTTTATTTATTTTGAATTTGGCTTTGAGTGTCCCTCTAAGGTCAAAATAGCCGAGCTGGAAAAATTCTCTAAATCAGTTCTGCTTTAGTTTGGACTTCATTTTGATATTTAGAAAATAACCCTGATAATGTGGTGGGTTCTGGTTAAAGGTAAAAAAAAATTACACTTTGCAGTGGTTGTGTGTGTTTCTATGGAGAAGTGTTCTTGGGTAACTTTTTATTCTTGTATTAGCATAACTGCTGAGATAGGTCAGGAATTTAAATGCACTTTGCTTCCAGGTGCATATAGCTGTTTATGTGCAGACACATTTGCATTACGTTTCTCACATATAACACTTTCTTTTTAACATCTTCTTCATAAACATTCCGTACAGGAGGAAGACAGACATATAGAAAGTATGAATGACATTTCACACTGTCACGGTTATTAACAAAAAAAATTTTTGTGCACTAAATCCGAATTGCAAAACTAGACATACATAGTCAGGTTGTGACTATGACTAGATTAGAATATATTTCCAAATCAGCAATTTTTGCCTCAATTATCCGTTCAGATTTCAGAGTTTAGTTAATAACACCGTGTGCATCTATAGCTTCGTGCACAGCAGTTACGATGATTATGATCAGTGTGACAATTTTTCTCACTAACGTTTTTGTTATATCACCAAAATGTGCTGTTGTCATATTAAAATCATTATTTAAAAAAAATCACAAATTGTATGTACTAAGATTTTCTACAAGATGTGTATATTAGTTGAAACATATTTTTAAAGTAAGTAACATGAGTAGAAGCAGTTCTAACGTGTTCAGATATCATCTACATAATCAACGGGAACAGATTTATTCAAAGACCATAAAAGATGGGTCTCAGGCGATACCAATTTCCATTCCAATTATTGGCCCTATTTTAGTGAACCTTGCTGAGTAGATTATAATAATTCTTATTAAGGTTTTTCATCTGCATGATTCTAACAAGTTCATTAAACAACTTTAAAAAAAAAATGTTTATTATTCACGAAATCCGTGTTTGCGCCTCATTACACCCATTGGAAACGGAAGGAAATGTGATCACCTAATGCAAAAAAAAAAGGAATTACTTTGTGTTAAATCTATTGTGGTGAGGGTCCTCTTCTACAGCAATGATGTTAGCCTCGTGTACTGGGAACAGTGCATCTGGACAGAGTACACCATACACGTTATTATGGAGCACACACAGTGACAGATCAAGAACTATTAATACCGACTTCAGCAGCCTGCAATCACTTTCTGGGGGCCCCGGGATTTAATTTAAGTGAGGACAGCCATGCACAGTTAGCATTCAGTGTTTCGGTGGATACTATCAGTGAAGTTCTTTCCCAGGCCTTCTACATCTGCCGCCTGGGACAACCCTATTCTTTGGGGGTAGAAAAAAAAGACAGTTCATTTGTCTGAGTCAACTATTGTCACTATAAAGGAAAATTAGCAGGCTGTTTGAAGCTACCATCTGCTCATAAAGTGCTTAGAAAGTACTTTGAAAGCAAGCACTTTGGAAACATTGCTTCCCCTGGTCCGCTGGAAATTTGTCAAGGAGTAGAGACTTTGTGAATGTTCTAAAATGATCTAGGGTGGCTTTGAGTTTAACTGTGAGCTTGCTTTACGTAAATTAAAATATTCTCTATTTAGCTTATATTTAAACAGGAGGAAAGGACTAGGTTTCCCAGTATTTCTAGAATAAATAAGTTGCAGCGATAAATGAAATATCCTAGCAATGCTAAAATTCTTTAAAAAATGCCTTTGTAATACTAAAACTAGTAATATTCTACCCTAATCTACATGAGAAGTTTAAACATATATTTTGACAGCAGATAAAACACAAATAGCCCATCTACTCTGCCAGTTCTCTGTTCATTGAAACATTTAATCTTTATCGTTAGGATACTGATATACTATTCCGATAGCCCATCAAACCGCAGAGATTATTTACCACGAGAATTTTTATTTTACAATAGACCGTGGAATAAAATACGATTAATTTTGTTATGAAATCACTCAGAAATAATATTCTTTTTCATAATTGAACAGGAAATGAATGCTGCTCTGGCAGATCCGGCAAATCTTGAACTTTGCCTTAAAAATAACAAAAATAAAACAATTAAGATAAATTGAAAATAATAATGCAGACTTTTTTAATACTATAAAAAAATTTTGGAAACACGCATACACCTCATAGAACTATGAGTTACAAAAGAGCAGATAGCAGAATATACACTCACTCCTTCAATGATTTGCTGGCGAACCCTCCAGGTGTTTCCTCATCCCCTCTGTTGCTGAACGTAGAACATGTCATTGTGGTCCTACAATAACAGGATAATGGTCCATACAGGTAATTGTGTGCTCAGAGGGTTCTCAGTTACTAGATGGGGCATCCCACGCATTGCTATATGGATGAAATAGATAGGGGTCAGAGACAGTGTTTTGCAACATTGGACTTTTTCCACATATATAGTCACTTCCTATGACCTAACTTCTCTGATAACACTCCCTTCAATAAATTTGTCATGGAGCAAGGGGTCAGGCCTTTTCTGGCCTATTGTTTCCTTAAATAAAAGCCCCAGACTGATTGCACAGCCTCTGTCCATCAATATGTAATGAAAACCTATGGATACATGCCCAAATGCAGCAATATAGTAAATAACTCCAGTCTCGAAGAAAGAAATCCAAGTGAGTGTAGATCATCTAAAGATTTCATTTTCCAATACGCCACATCTCGGACATATATACTCATGTAGTCATGGACTGCTATAGTAAATACTTTGGCTTTGTGTAGGTGTTTTCAAAACAATCAAAATCCAAATTCTCACAACCTTTTCCTGCCAGATTGCTTCAGAAGTTAGAAAATGTTATTGACGTAAAACTAAGCTTGACTTTAGTCTTTATTGCTTTTCTAAAAGCAAAGATTTAAAAAACATGCACACCAAACAACTGCCAGGGTATATTGCTTCAGAAAAACAGGATTTTAACTGTCACATGCGGAAAACAAGTAATTTGTACAACGTGTAACAGTGAGAAAAATGACTAATATTAGTGATTTAGGTGTGATTTAGCACACTAGACACACTAGTGAAATAAAATTGAAATGACGTTGAAACGCATTCCCTGTTGAGTTCAGCTTTTGAAACAAAATATATCTATAGATGTAATAAAGGTAAATGGGTGAGGAGGCAAACTTCTAACTAGTGGTCAATTGGAAATAATTTAGAGTCCCACATCAAAATTACACAAATCAGAGTAATATGAATAACAACCGTCAAGAATGTAATGTATCCTTAGCAAGTGTCCATCTGAAATATAGGCAAAATATAGGTAAATAGTCAATCCAAGATGCATAAAATACATTTTATTTAGTTACATAGTTGAAAAGAGACATGTGCCCATTAAGTTCAGCCTCACATTTGTTTTTACTGTTAATCCAAAAGAAGGGGGGAAAAACAGCCGGAAGCGCTTGCCAATCTTGCAACAAACTAGGAAAAAATTCTTTCTTGACCGCAGAATGGCAATTAGAGCTCTCTACTGCCTTTGACACCGTTGATCATGCTCTCCTTCTTCAAACTCTTCAATCGCTCGGTCTCTGTGACTCTGTCCTCTTGTTGTTTTCCTCTTATCTTTCCCAACGCTCATTCAGTGTCTCCTTTTCTAATGATACCTCCTCCCCTCGTCCTGTCTCGGTTGGAGTCCCCCAAGGCTCTGTACTTGGTCCCCTTCTATTTTCTCTTTATACTGCCTCTCTTGGCAAACTTATTACCTCTTTTGGATTCCACTACCACCTGTACGCTGATGACACCCAGATATACCTCTCCTCCCTGGACCTCTCCCCTGCCGTCCTGCAATGTGTCACTGCTTTCTTCCATCTCTGACTGGATGTCCTCCCGCTTTCTGAAAATCAATCTCTCTAAAATTGAGCCCCTTGTCTTTCCTCCTCCTTATACTGATCCTCCTCTTTTGCTCTCCCTTCAAGTTTGTGGTACCCACATCAGTCCATCCTTGCAAGCGCGCTGTCTTGGCGTCATACTTGATTCTGGCCTCACCTTTTAGCCTCACATCCAATATGTTGCCAAATCCTGTAGATTCCATCTTAAAAACATAGCCCGCATCCACCCCTTTCTTAAGCAAGATGCTACCAAGGAGCTTGTCCATGCTCTAGTAATTTCCCGCATGGATTATTGTAACCCCTTCCTGATTGGTCTTCCCAAAAGCCATACTACACCGCTACAGTCCATAATGAACGCTGCTGCCAGACTGATTTTCCTCTCTAGTTTGTTCTCTCACACCTCACCCCTCACCCCTCTGTCAGGCCTTACATTGACTTCCTGTATGCTATAGGAGTCAATTCATGGTACTAATTCACACCTATAAAGCACTGAACAACTCTAGCACCTCTTATATCTCTTCACAGATCCGTAGGAATGTCCCTTCTCGGTCTCTCCGCTCTGCCCGTGACCACCTCCTGTCCGTTGTCCGCACCCGTACGGCCAACTCACGCTTGCAGGACTTCTCATGGGCGGCTGCCTTCCTATGGAATAGCCTGCCTACCGCCATCAGACTCTCCCCTAGTCTTGCATCTTTTAAGAAGTGCCTTAAAACCCATCTCTTTAGGAAAACTTATGGCCTCCAAGACTAACCTCTACCTCACATACCTGTCTCTTGCTCTCTCCTAAAGAGCAGCCCACCTTATTTGACTGCAAATTCCTGTCCTATTGTGTTTTACACCCCACCTCCTATATAATGTAAGCTCATTTGAGCAGGGTCCTCTCCAAACTATCGTTCCTGTATGTTTTTTTTTTGTAATTGTCCTATTTATAGTTAATCCCCCTCTCATAACATTGTAAAGCGCTACGGAATCTGTTGGCGCTATATAAATGGCAATAATAATAAAATAATAATAATAGAGATCTCCTTGGATCAATAAGCTATTACACCACTAATTTAGAGTATAAAGTATATTCCTGTATACTATGTTTTTGCATGTATTCATCCAATTGGTGTTGAAACATCTGTACAGACCACCTCTTCAGGCAGAGAAAAAAAATAAAAAAAAAATAAACAACAACATTAATAGACAAACTACTAATACCAGTATTTTCAAAAAATCCACCCAGCAAAATAACTTTTCAGACCAAACTTCCATTTATGTTGGTATAGTTAGAGCAGCACTCTTCAGAGAAAAGGCAGTGTTTACATTGCCCCTAGGGACACTCCTCAGATGGCCACTGGAGGTGCTTCCTGGCTCAGTGCTGCATAGTAGACAGCACTGCCGTTAAACGTCTCCTCGCTCTGCATGGGGACGCTGAATTTTCCTCCGAGAGCATTGATTCAATGCACCTCTATGAGGAGGTGCTGATTGGCCAAAATGGCATTTGGCCCCACCCCTTGCCAATTTTAGCCAAGCCAATACTTTCCCCATGGCAAAGCATTGGATTGGCTAAAAATCAGCAATTCTAATGATGTCACCAAGGGGGCAGGAAATGGAAATAAGGTGAGTTTTAATTCCTTTTAAGGGGGCTAACGGGGGCAAGACACCTAAATGGTGGGTTTAGCACTATAGGGTCAGGAATACATGTTTGTGTTCCTGACCCTATAGTGTTCCTTAAACAAAAGGCCATAAGACTACCAGTAGGTGAAAGTAAAGTATCACCATTTCAACTCACAAGTTTACCAGTGTTATGTCTTCAAAACCTGAAGTATAACCTGGTAAGGAAATTCAAGAACAATGAAAGGCGCATGTATTCCTGACCCTATAGTGTTCCTTAAACAAAAGGCCATAAGATTACCAGTAGGTGGAAGTAAAGTATCCCCATTTCAACTCACAAGTTTTCCAGTGTTATGTCTTCAAAACCTGAAGTATGACCTGGTAAGGAAATTCAAGAACGATGAAAGGTGCAAAAGGCAGAAAATCTCACACCTTTGCTTTCAACATTATGTAGTATTATGAAATGGATACTATAGGCATCAAAACAACTTTAGCTTACCTGAACAATTTTAGTGTATAGATCAGAACTCTGCAGTCTCACTACTCAATTATCTGAAACTTTGAAGTTAAAGTTGCACTGTCTCCCCCTCACAAAATGAGTATTTCATGAAGATAAAATCTTCATGAAATACTCATACCGACTGTTGGAATTTTAGTAAATATATAAAGATATGCTGCCCCCTAGAGAAACCACTACGCAGTACAAAACCAAAACAATAAATTCTAGAGTAGAACCAAAAAACGAACTAACTTTTCACAAACATCTTACAATGTGATTGTTAATGACACTCAAGCAGACCCATTAGGAGGGAGTGCAGTATGTGATCAGTATGGTAAGTTAAATACATTTGGTTTACTGATTTTATACTTGATTAAAAAATGCATAGTTCTGACACTATTACAAGGAAATTAACATATGTTTAAGCCACATGTGTATCAAATAATAAAAGAATATAAATTATTTATAGACCATCAACATATTTAACAACACATACTTAACAAGGGTTATACATAGGACACGAGGTCACACATTTAGGCTGGAAGAAGGGAGATTTAATCTAAGGCAAAGAAAAGGTTTTTTTACAGTAAGAGCAATAAGGATATGGAATTCTCTGCCTGAAGAGGTGGTTTTGTCAGAGTCCATACAGATGTTTAAACTGCAATTGGATAAATACATGCAAAAACATAACATACAGGGATATAATTTCTAATTAGTGGGGTAATAACTGCTTGATCCAGGAGACATCTGGCTGCTATTTTGGGGTAAAGAAGGATTTTTTTTACTAGTTTTGCAAAATTAGAAGCACTTCAGACTAGGTTTTTTTGCCTTCTTTTGGATCAACAGCAAAAACATGTGTGAGGAAGGCTGAACTTGATGGATGCAAGTCTCTTTTCAGCTATGTAACTATGTAACTTTGTAACACTATACAATGGGTAAACAAAACATAAAAAGTAATTGTGACAAATCCAGTTGAAAATTGAGGTACAATAGATGTCTTGCTCATCATCATTGATATTCATTCTTATTCTTATTCTTGCTTCTCCTAGGTATGGTTGAAGAATACAAACCTCCATTTTTTGATGTTGTACCCCATGACCCAAGTTTTGAGGACATGAAGAAAGTTGTCTGTGTTGACCAGCAGAGACCAAATAGTCCTAATAATTGGAGTTCAGATATTGTAAGTAATTTCTTTATATCAATTTGTCATGACATGATCATAAGTATGTGCAAGGGTTGGGGGCTGTATTTTACCTCCCCTACTGAAATTATTGTTTTTTCATTAATTTTATTTTTTATTGAGCATTAATTTATTGAGCCTCTGTTCACTTGATGTTTAGTGTGAGACAGGAGTACAATTCAAATGTGCACATAATGTTTCTGGTGTAAACAAAACAATCTGAGGCAACCCAAATGTTAAATACAAACAAACAAACAAACACAAATAAAATGCATGAATTTGGTATTCTAGAGACCAGTATGTAGCCAGAGGGGTTAACAGAATAATCACATAATAACATTTCTAAAAAACACGCAAGATCTACAATATCTACATGACCCACTTGATGGCTTACCTTTTTGTCTATCAATTGTAATCTGAGAGGTAGGAATCGGTTGTGGAACAATTTTTTTGGGGGTAAGATGGTAAGAAGTATATGTACTGAACTAACAAAGTTGGGAACTTGGGGAGTGCAAAAAGAGAGAAATGTGGTATGAGGTCTAAAACACAATATGAATTTGCATATCCAATAATGCATTCTGGGAGCTGGACTATGTAGGCGATGTGCAGTTAATTCTAAATTTTGCTTAAAGTTAAAAAGGCAGTGTGAAAATACAAGCAGAATGTTTGGCTGCAGAGGGATAATTATTAGCAGTGTGACAGAGTAAGTAGCTTTTCTGGTTATATATTGTCTACAACAGTGTGTGTCATACATGGAATCACACGTGGCTCCTGGGTGATGATTGTGCAACAGTAGAAACCATTATGTGTTTATGTGAGAACTGATCTCTCTTTGTTCAGTGGTAGTCACGCCAAGAGTTGGTTGGATAGTTTTGCAACACGACTAGCAGAAAGAGTTAACCCTTTGCAATTTGTGGTTCTATTAATGTAATAGGACTACAAACTAACAGAGCTCAGTGCATTGTTCGTTAACCTTTAGAAGAATCCAGTTCAGCTACTCTTATTAAAATTATATATCCAAATTTGCGTGTCCTATGTGTCAATTTGTTGTGTTATGACGTGGAACACTGTGTGTAGGAACACTCTAGCGTTAATATAACAAACAGTGTTTATCTAACTGTATAGTGTTCCCCCTGCCATGTAAGGGCTCGAAATATTGTACTTACCTGTTACCCCTGGCCTATTTCCATCTAGTGGTCACACCTCCTTGGCTGAAATCCCTGAGATTTCGATGATCTCAGCCAATCCAATGTTTCCCATAGGGGAGCATTGGGAGACTAGTGCGCGTGTGCAGCAAAATGGTTTCACTCGGCTATTTCATTGGAGGCACCTCTAACTTCTGTCACTGTGACAGCCACTAGAAGCATTTATACCCAGCAATGTAAACATTGCCTTTTTGCAGAACAGCAATGTTTTAAGCTGCAGCTTTCAAATTAGAGAGGCATGGCACCCACACCACTTCTGAATAGAAGAAGGCACTGATAAGACAGGCAAGATAAATCAGCAACATATTTAGTAAAGATCTCTTGGTAAATAATTACATGTACTTTTTATATCTGTAACTGAACCCAACATGAAGAAAAACAATAAATAAAAAATCCACTTAAAGGAGAACAAAAGTAAAAATCTATTTATCCATTCATTAGTTTTCAGCTGTTCATGGTTACTCAGAAACTTTGTAGTGTTTGTTATTCTATGTTAGTTTCTCAAAGAGCTTTGTGTATGTGTGTTTTAGAAATTGCTCTATGGTTACAGCCCTGATAAATCACAGATTGTTAGCTCGCAAACAGGGCTCTCAAACCCTACTGTATCTGTTTATTTCTGTCTGTCACACAAACGTACTGCTTTTCTTTAATGTGTCTAGCGCTGCACAATTTGTTGGCGATATATAACTAAATGAAAATAATAATGTCTGCAATAGTGACTCATATGTGTTCTGGTACTTCTCATGATTCTGTGACAAGCAGACAGACCGAGTGAACAGTGATCTGCCTGCCAATTGTTAGACGCTTTCACATTAGTTAAGCAGAGAGAGAAGCTGTCTTGTGTTATTCAAGGTACCTTTTCAAAATTCTGGGCACAACATGAAATAAAAAGGCAAAAAACTCCAAATTAGTTCAACTAATGCAATTGCTTTTAATAGTGAGAATTCCTATTTGAATACATTTACCAAGAAATTCTGCCTATTTAACGGTACTTGTAAAATGCAAAAAGTAATTGTGACAAACTCTCCTTTTCAAGTGAGCTTGCCACGAGTTCCTGGAAGAGCCTGCTTGCCAGCCTCCTGCCCACAGACTATGGACCTTGTAAAATGTGATATAAAGGCTCAGTTCGTGTATTTAGACTATATAGTTCACGAACCGAATGGCCGCACGAACCGGAGACAACCCTGGAGCTTGTTAAGCCTAATTGCTACTTTGTAACAATTTCCACCGCAGGGTTCTAAGTGTTCGTCTGGTGGCCGCAATTCCAATGGACGACCACAAGATGGCGGACATCTTGTTCACATGAACGCAGGCAGCGGTATTTGGTTGTTGAGTTCATGGAACTGTTTTCGGATACTGAAACTCCCGAGCACCGCTGGACTTCCATGATCGCCTGCATTCGGTTCGACAACACTTAGAAAGACACTGTTCGGTAGAAACGTTCCCACGAACAAGGGGAATCCAGGGTAAGACTATTGACAATGTTTGGTAGTTTGTTCGTTTTTAAACTACCGAACTAGACCGACGCAAGCCTTGATTCTCTGGGCATGAGACCATGCGTGCGGTCGGTCAATCAAATTACTTCCAGGAAATTCCTGAACCCCTGAACTGATCTGGGTGATTTTTGGATATGTTGGTCACCCAGATCAGGGCTATCGGGTGATGTAACTTTTGTGGGGGGAGGGGGGGTTTACTGTATTGTTAGGGTACTTTGGGGGTGTTTGGGAAAAAGTATGTTTTTTCTATGCTTGGAAATAATTGGATTAGATTAGTACAGTTCCTGATTCAATTATCTCCCAGGCACAGAGGAGGGATTATCTGATTATGTATGGGAGTGTTCTGGATCTGAGAGCCAATGTAATTGTGTATTTGTTTCTACTGTGGTTTACTCTCAGGTGCCCCTTGCATGGGGACATGCATATTAGACCAGTTGTGGCTGCCATTAAAGTTTCCAGCTTGTACTCCCAGAGCTATGTGTCGTCTAGTTACTGGGAGAGGAAAGGCCTATTCTTTAATCACTGTTCCAGTGGGGAGGATTCAACATGGAAAGTCTTTGTAAGGACTAGAGCTCCCAGGACTGAGTGTCGTCCAGTGCCTGTGGGTGTCTAGAGCGAATTCCCCATTCGGCTCCAGGAGAGAGCGGTTCCAGGGCCCCAGTCAAGCCACGGCGACTGTGGGCAAAAGTTCTGCGGTTTGTCCCCTGTTCCAGCTAGGAAGCGGTCCTTGGCGGAGGTACCCAGCCGGGGTACAGGTAGCTCTGTTACAGTAATATAATTATTTTTTTACATCTACAAGTTTACAAATGATTATGTGATTTTTTCCTAATTCTAATTGTTCCTGTGGATTGCTAATTTCATATAAACATTTTAATCAGAGAAGCAGAGCTAAGCAGAGAAAGCTACAATCTTTAATTGTAGATTATGCTAAAGCAGTGTACCTATAACCTTAATTTTATTAAGGACAGGAGGCAAATATTTTGCATTAAACACTCTTTAATAAACTCCAGCAGCACAGATTTAACAATAAAATTTAGTGAAAAAAACATATTGCAACAGGAAAGGCCCCTCCCCTTTATCTCTTTCTTTGATGCGATACAACAAGAAACGCATCCTTTCGTCAGACCAAACGATACGAATCCCAAATGGAGGGTTTTCGTAAAGTGCGAAGACGATCCCATGTATTGATCCATGAAGGTGAATCAAACTGTAAAGAAACAAAAAGATGTGAAAGGGACTATGAAATGAACTCTTTGTTATATATACATTAATATAAACTGAAATTTTATGTGAAGTTAATCTAAATGAGTAAAATAATCACAAATCTCAATATGTGTAACAATAGTTAAAAACACAAAATAACCTAATACACACCTCAAATGTATTCAAATCTTCAGACCAGAGGATTCTGGCTGATAGAAGTGCCCTGTAGGGGAACCTGAGCCGCCGAGATAGCTGAACGCGTCACGTTGATAGAGTGATACGACTTGCCCGAAGAAAAAGATGGGATAAAAAATTCAGTACGGTGGTAACAGGTGCAGTAAAGGGATCGAGATCCCTCTCCAGACACCAATTAATTCAGCCGGTCCATGCAGCGCTGTAGCTCATTCTAGTGCTGGGGACCCATGAGTCCCATAGTATTTCCTTAGTCGATTGCAATAAGCCATTGACTGACCAGGATCCCCTGAAACCAGCCAGACCACTAGGTCCAAGTTTCTTTGGAGGACTAGTGGGTGTAATTCCTCTTAGGGGTTCGTCAACAGATGCGGTAAGGGTGGCAGTAGGAGAGGGTGATTCTGGAATAGTTCCAGAAGATCTGGAAACCACCCTTAACTTGGCCATCGGGGAGTGATGAGTGACAAAGTGATCTTGTGGATTCATATGTGGTGAAGGACTCTCACCAACATCGAGAAAGGAGTGAATGTGTAAGCTCCTTGAATCAGCCAACTGGCTGTTGGTCCAGGATGCAAATAAGTCCAACTGGAGCTGTCCCCGTATAGACCTCAGTGTGTGGAATATCGAGACATTCAGTCTCCAGATGCTGACGTCCCTCCAGTGTCAAGAGAACCAGTCCACCGTGAAATTGTTGATTCCTGGTAAGTACTCTGCTGGTATATTTCCTTTGTTGCCTCCGTAAGGTCCCGGGAACGGGCTCCACCCAAGCGGTTTGTGTATTGAACCGCCGATATGTTGTCCATGTGGTGGGATATGCAACAATTCGAGACATCTTTGGCCAGACTGCGAATCGCGAATGAACCTGCGATCATTTCCAGACTGTTTATTTAGAGATTTGTCTCCTCTTCGGCTCCCACAGTCCACCTGTGGAAGCGTGTGCATAGTGGGTACCCCATCCCCATAGACTTGCGTCTGAATCCACGATGAAATCTGTCATGAGTCCGAAAATCGCTCTGCCATTCCAGGCCTGCATGGGAAGTAACCACCAGTGGAGTTCGGTCCTTACTTTGGGTGTTACTGGTATCCAATAATCGTAAGAGTGACCTGTCCATAAATAATGGGCTTTCAGCCGTTGCATAGCTCTGTAGTTTAGTGGACCTGGAAAAATGCCTGGATGGATGAGGATAGGAGTCCCACCACTCGAACCAGGATTCGTAGAGGTATGAAGTCCTTGCGTAGAATATACCTGATTTTTTTACGAATGGCTTTGATTTTTGTGTTGGGTAAGCGAAGGACGCATTTGGTCGAGTCGATCTCGGGTGAACCAATTGTTAGCCAGTAGGAGAACTCTTAACAGATGAATACCTTGGCGGTATACTACAAAGTCATTCATGCAATGTAAATTGATGACTGGGCAGTAGTCTCCTGTCTTCTCCTTGACCATGAATATATTGCTGAAGAAACCTGTCATGTCCGGACCACTTGGACTGCTCCTTTGGTGAACCGGGCATGGATCTCTTCGTCTATGAGCGACCTGTGGGTCGCTTCCACACCCAAAGGAGGGGGACCCTTGCCAAGGTTAGGGCAAAACACTTGTCTCAATGATAACTGGGATTTGTTGAGAGTGGTGAAGAGGTTCACATGCTTTTTAAGTTCAGTGATGAAAGGTTCACCAGATAATAAACCATTTGCCAATAGTCCTAGTTCTCTCTTCCCCAGATCCAAGAGCTTGTTGTCAATCTTCAGAAGAGCGACCGTGTGTCGTTCAGTGCAAAGAGTTGCGTTTTTGTTACCCAGCATACAGATGGCTCTCTGAGCCCATTCTCGAATATCATTTGGATCCAGTGGGGTGTTGCGTGAGAGAGTAAGATCTGCATAGTATAGGATCTTTCCCATTGGACCCAACATGTCCAGGAGTTTATCCTGTGTAGCCTTCAGCCCTTTTTATATCCCCTTACGAGAGTCTCATCCCGTCCATGCCATGAAGACCACTATTGTGGTATCAAACTCCAGGGTAACACTTACTTTGTCTGGGAGGATCGGACGGGGGCATTCTGCGCAAAGGCGTGGGCGCACCTACTTCTCCAGTGGCTTTTCTAGTCAAAAATGCACGTATTGAGCAAGATGGTCCGGAAGAGACCTATTCGGAAGATCTTGGGTGTCATACCATCCATGGGCAAATAGGGGCAAACCCTGGGTATCAATGAACACATCTTCATCTATACTCGTAAGTTTGTGGCCACCCTTTCAACATGGAGAAGGCTTTACTACATATTCTTTGACGTAACGTGATTCTGTACATGGCATACCATGCCAGTCGTCTTCATCAGAGGTCGAGCTGTCTGCTTGCCATTCGTCCACAATCACCAGAGTGGGTAAAATTCGGATAAGAGCTTTTCTCCTAGGAGGATGAAAGTGGAGGTGGGGGTACATCGTGTGATTCTACACACTTAGGTCTCTTGAGAGGAGCCTTCTCTTTTGATTTCCTGGTTACAGAGCTGGAGTCCTTCCAGTGCCGTTTAGGAACAGACATGGGAACTCTGGGTACAATATAAAGATGGTTCAGGCACTCCAAGGTTCAGAAAAAATTAATTTGCCTTTTCTGAACCTTGGAGTGGCTGAACCATCTTTATATTGTATGCTATTGCCATTGGAACCTGGTGCTTGGTCCTGGTTTAGTTGCACCCTAGCTCAGATTGATGGGATTGAGTGCAGTTCCTTATGTATGTTGAAATGGATACTCTGGGTGTCTCAGAGCCCTCTGCTCCATCCGCATCATGGTTGTCCCGTGTTCTCAGGTGGGAGGGTGCGCACTCTGTAAAGCACCTTCTCCACAGATGCTGCTATGGAAGCATTTATCATGCTTTGGAAGTCTCGAGTCGGGGTCTGTGATGGGTCAGACATCTTGCCACAGTGTTCCTGTAATGGCAGAACGGAATACCTGTAAGCAACACATGTGCACCATGTAATGTTGCAGGGTATCTGGCTTCTAGTACAACTGGGGGTCACCAAAAATTTGTGCACAAAGTGGTTGGAGTACCAAATTAGAGGGGGTCACACTCTAAAGAGCGGTGCCAGTGGTCATGTATTTACGCAATGTAGTATTGGAGACATTGACAGTCTTATAAATCAATAGGGGAGCCACCCCTGTATGGTCCCGTAGGATGGGATGGGTACCATTGGAGGGGGTCACCCTCAATGAAAGCAGCCCGCCAAATGGTCAGAGGGCATGAATGTGGGGTTTACCCTAGTTATACAGCAGGCCTGTAACTCTGTGACACAAAGTAACTTGAACAGTTTCAACATACAGATATAGGCACTCCAGTACTTGGGGGAGTCACCCCACTAATAGTACGGGGGTCCCCTTTAAAGTAATGTAGCCACAGGTGGCTGGTAAAAATGTCAGGGAGGTAGCCCTGTTAAGGTGTCATGTGGTACCCTTAAATACAAATATATAGTACTAAATCCTTTCCTCGAAGTCCCAAATGTTATGGCACAGAGTAGGGGTTCCCCCCATACAATTCCAGTATCGTAGTAGCGAACTAGTATCCAGTTATGTTGAGGTTTGTATTCCTGTAGTGTCATATGCCAGAATAGTGTGTTATTGTGTGGGTCACATGGTAAGCCAGTAGGTCTCTGATGTGCATTCAACACTTATATAACAGACGTATGGATAGTGATCAAGTACTGATATTACATAGCTGGAATGGATAGGGGTTAATATAGGAGAAAAACAGTAATAAGAACAGATCAGATTGTGTGAATCACGCTCTGATCAACATAAAATAGCCACCAAAGATTTCTCGAGAATTTGCTAAATCCAAGATGGCCGCTGTTAGCGCCAAAATTACAGACAGGGAGACCGCGAAATTGCGTTCTCGTTGGCCAAAAAAATTAGTGCGTCTCGTATCCCCAACTCCCTCAGCAGGGCCGGACTTGGAAAAAAATTAGGCCCGGGCATTTTTCAATTACAGCAGCCCCCTGAGCAGCACGCTCAAAGTGAGCATGTTGGTTCAATGCGCAGAGCCCCGCTGAAGAGGGGCACAGTGTTATAGGGGATGTAGCGAGTGTGTGCATACGGGCTGTAGTGTGTGTGTCTGTGTGTGTGTGTGTATAGGTGACGTAGTGTGTGTAGGGGTTGTAGAGAGGGTGTGTTTAGAGAATGTTGTATGTGTTTGCTTACAAGGAATGTAGTGTGTGCATAGGGGATCCAGAGTTTGTATGTCAGAAATGAAGTGTGTGTAGGTGGTGCACTGTGTGTGTAGGGGACCCAGATTGTGTATAGGAGATTGTGTGTGTGTGTGTAGAGGATTAAGAGTGTATATAGGGTAAGGGATCTAGCATGTATCTGGAGTGTAATGTGTGTAGTGGCAGTTTGAGGGGTGCTGTAGTATGTATTGTATGTGTGAGGGGCGCTGTGTGTTGGGTGTGCTGTGTGTATGTGTGAAGGGTGCAGCATGTGTGTGAGGGGTGCAGTGTGTGTGTAAGAGGGGTGCTGTGTGTAAGAGGGTGTTGTTATCTGCCGTCACATTCCATGTTTCTAATTTTCGTGTCTGAGGGTGCTGTGTGTATCTGAGGGTGCTGTGTGAGTGAAGGTGCTGTCTGTCTCTGAGGGTGCTGTCTGTGTCTGAGAGTGCTGTCTGTGTGTGATGGTGCAGTGTGTGTGTGAGGGTGCTGTCTGTGTCTGAGGATGCTCTGTGTGTCTGAGGGTGCTGTGTGAGTGTGAGGGTGCTATGTGTGTGTCTGAGTGTGCTGTGTGTGTCTGAGGGTGCACTCTGTGTCTGAGTGTGTTGTGTGTGTGGGTGATGTGTGTGTCTGAGGGTGCTGTGTGAGTGAGGGTGCTGTGTGAGTGAGGGTGCTGTGTGTGTCTGAGGGTGCTGTATGTGTCTGAGGGTGCTGTGTGAGTCTGAGGGTGCTGTATGTGTGTGTCTAAGGGTGCTGTGTGCGTGATGGGGGTGTTAGTGTGAGTGTACTGTGTGTGTGTGTATATTTTTTAGTAATAAAAAAGTTATATCCATAGGCATGGGCCGGCCATGGAGATCCTGTGATCTCCCCTGCCGGCCTCGGCCCATGGCCATCGAGGCCCGGTATGCCCAATGGCCAGTCCCGGCCTGTCTGTCAGGACCCACCCAGACCCTTAAATCAGTGGGAAGAAACAAATAAAAAGCGTCGTGATCGCGGCAATGGCGGCCGCAACGCGTCAGCAATGGGAGCAGGTCTAAGGGCTATTATGAAGCCTCCTGTCACGTTATAAAATAAGACACCTAGTGTCTTGACTGCACCCATCAGTCTTTCAAATTAAATCCATTCCATCTGGCTCCTACGTGATATTCACACTACACACCACCAAAACCAACCTGACCCCACATGACATTAATATTACATGCAACAGCATTACCCACATGACAATCCTTATCAAATACAGCATCCGTATCACATGCTTATACTACACCACATACTTAAACTATACCTCGTGTGACATGCAACCCCCATATACACTTTCTCGCTAGTAACAAATGTAGCACCTATATGATGTGTAGCATCCAGATATACCACCCATGTCAAATGCAAGCACTCGCATGACACACATATAAAACATTCATCACACATGTCCTATCATGTTACTACTTTGACACAATTAAACACCTGCATAATATCATACATACTTGATCTGTAGATTTCGATTCAGTGGAACTATTGCTAGAAGAATAACATGCCATCACATTAGCAAAACTATTTGGAATAAATAAGTTCCATTAAATGCTCCATGCTCTCTACTTATATTTAAACTAATTATACTTGTATTTTTTTTGTGTGTGTTCTCAGTGGGATTTAATTGAAAACATATGTGTCTCAACCTTCCACTGTCACAAACTCTATATACATATTTCTTTGGGACACCTGGGAGATTGACAGTATACAGGAAAAAAGCAAAAAAATGTCTTCTGTGGGCAAGAGAAGGTTTACCCAAACTCTAGGTTATATGAGACATTTCTTCTCACTGTATTCTTTCTTCCTGCTTCCAGTCATACACCAAATACATCATTGTTTGATTTAACGTGCTCCTAATTTTATATGTATATTTGCTAGCCGAAATGGCTCGCACATACAGTGCCCCTATATGTCCACTAATATAGGCTGTGAAGAATTGCCTTTATTGTTTAACCTTTTGTTCAAAATAAACACAAAAAACTGCTCTGCTATCATGTCTATCAAACAATTGTAACTTTTCAGAAAAGTTAAAAAAAAAAGTTTTTTTGAATTGTGAAATGTGTGGCACAATTATTAGTATTGTATTTGCAATTGTTTGAACATCATTAAAGCATTGTATTTTGTGTGTTTTTTGTACAAAAGGTGAAGAATAAAGACAATATTCACAGCCTCCTTTGCTCATATTTACCAAGGGTGCCTATTATAGTTGTGGGCACTGTATATAAATATAGTTTTATTAAAGACCACCCTTCTCCCCGTGAAAAATATAAGAATTTCATAAAGATAGAATCTGCATGAAATACTCATGCTGACTGTGTTGGAATTTCCAATCAAGAGATATACAAAGTAGAAACTACTATGTCTGAATATTTCCTCCGCTTGACTTTCTTAGTTTCAGGGCAGAGTCTAAGTATCAATCCCGACAGCTGTCACCAGTGACAGCTGCAGGGAATTGGCTGTGTCTATGGACCTGTAGACCTCAATGCACAAGAGTACAGCAGTGACATCAGCTCTAAAGAGGACCAGCAGGATCAAGATGGAAGAACCCACGAGGGGAAGGTTCAGGTAAGTAAATTTCACCTTTACCTGCCCTCTGACCACCGTACCCCCAGCGGTGATGTTGCCTTCGGGGGTCTTTGCGAATTTGACAAAGTCCCCAGACTGTAACAGGGCCACTTTAACCCCTTAAGGACACATGACATGTGTGACATGTCATGATTCCCTTTTATTCCAGAAGTTTGGTCCTTAAAAGGTTAAACTTACCAATATACTTTTGGCAGTGTGCAAAACTCATGCGCTGTTTCCCTGTGGGAAATTAAAATCCACCTATGTAGGATATAAGCACATACACCTGTCCCGAAATTACAGCCTTGGTAAACCACAAATATCAAGTATGTTCCCCCATGCTAAGTATATTTGTGATGTAATAGAACATACATTTATCTACTGCCATGGCAACTTTAAAGAGGGTAGAAAAGATCACTGGGTAATTCCATCTATGAATCTACATATATTGTGGTGATTTCAGAAAAGGTAGAATAAAGCTGTGTATATATATATATATATATATATATATATATATATATAGCAATTGTACTATATGTAAGAATTAGTCGTCACAGTTTTCTATATAGCCCATAAAGTAAAGTAAGAAAAAAGAAATTGTTTTGGTAGACATTCCTTTTATATATTTTGTATACTGTATATATGTAAAAAAAAAAAAAAGGATTGATGTTTTTATTTGTTGTTTTCTTCTTGTTAGGTTTTGTCAACTTTATCTAAAATCATGAAAGAAACCTGGTTCCAGAATCCTTCAGCCAGACTTACTGCTCTGAGGATCAAGAAGACTCTAAACAAGCTGAAATGCTCTTTCAATATAACGAAGGAAGAATGTTGATGGAGAAAAAAACTGATTCAACAATTCCTTGCACTTCACTTGAGACTTCCTAACAAACAAACAAAAAGTTTCTACATTACAAGAAGCCATAAGAGAAAATGTGTTTTCAAACTTATGCTGCCTGATTTTAGTGACAGTTTTAAGATGATCCAGAACTTCGACCTGACTTAAACAATCCTCATGACAGTTCAATGTCAAATACATAATGTGCAGGAAGACTGCTGTGTATATTTATATCATATGATTGTGCCATTGTCTGCCCAGTCACCTTTCGGGCTGTGTAAGAAAATGCCTTCATATTTACCTGTATTGCAAAGGCTAAGATATAAATCACAGATTTATATTGTAAATTTCCACTTAAAAGCTCTCTATACATATCAAAATTCTAACTGTATAGATCGTATGGGTCAGATGGCATCTTATGGCTTATACGAGGCTGTCAAAGTGGGTTATATCTTGTTTGGCACCCATTCTGCCTGATATTCTGCCAAATTAATTTTAATACATGTGTGTTTGAAACATGTGTGGGTGGTGCTTTGGACGAGAAACTGTGAGTTGTTACTGCACCAACAATCAGTACCATTCAGTGACAAAAAGACTAAAATTTAGAATTCACGTTTTCAAAACATCAATAGAATTAGTGATAAGGATCCTTAGGAGCACGGCTATTTTATATCTTTTCCCACTGTTACATATGGACAATGTGAACTCTTCCATGACTGTCATTTCTAATCCTAACCTGTGACTTAAATGAATGGCAAAGTCACAGTAGTGGAAATAAAAAATTAATGACGGATAGGTGATATTGAAAGTTTATCGTTTGAATTTTTTAGCTTTAACTAAGAGGGTGAATTTCATACTAAGCTCAATCTAACGTGACCTTAAGGATACATAAGTTCTGAGATATATATATATATATATATATATACACAAAAAATTGTCACCCTGCTGAATTGTGGGAATGTGGCATATTCTTTCATTAAGAAATGACAGCTTTATGCAATTGAATTAATTTAATTTAATTTAATTTAATTAATTGTCATGGAGAACAAGAGCATTTAATCCCCTGTCCTATCTGCCAATCTCAGGATTAAGGGTTTAGAGTCTGGAATCTAAATAATTCGAGGTGCATGATTCTGTAAATATCACCCCACAAAGGAGAATTAGGGATCAAATTAAGGTCCATAGTGATTTCTCACATGTGTTTAAAATGTGTCCTATACCTGGTCCAGCATAAACAAAATCTGGGTAGAAGAGATGGGCAGGTCTGAGAAATAGAATTACTTCTGATTACAAGGTATGCACATATTTTAAATAGAGCAATTAGAAATGAAGGTGCCTGTGATATGTCACTGCAAATTGTAATCCACCATGCTTTTATCCCGCTCAATGTCATGGGTTAAGCAAAATATTAACAAACTTTTTTTTTTTTATGGCAAAATTCAATGGCAGTCTGAAACAAACTATAACTGTGTAGCATCATTTTTTGTTCTTTAGAAATCAACACTGTTAATTTACTGAAGGGCGGACGTGATCCTGTAAAAAAAATTAACTGAATGAGAACTTCTATCTTTGTTTGGTCGTAGATGTGTTAAGGCAGACTCCTATATATATATATCCAACCACTTACGCCATCCTTGATCATATTTTATCAAATTGACACACCAGACATGAGGTTAGCATATAAGAGAGTTAGGTTTACCTTAGTCATCCAAATGCAATGATTCCTTGCAATGCATTGAATATCATCCTAAAAATATTTGTGTTTAAGTGTGATTTATAGAGTTACAGATAACAAATTGTGTGGTTTTGTGTGCCAAAGCTATGAAGCCATATTATTCGACGTTGTAATTCAATTTCCACATTGATTGCAAAACAATATATTCAAATAATTCAATTTTGGCGCTTGTCATGCACTTAGATAAAACTGCCCTCGGTCACACAAGTAAATGGATGTATAAATCTATTACAAGTCATTAAGTCAATCATTTACCCTTTTGCATTGTTATTATATAGGGCACTGTGTAATAACGTAAATTTGCATTCATCCATTCACATTATGAGTATTTTTAAAGCCCCACAAGTCAGTGTTAAGTATTATCAATAGTAGTGAATATGATGCATATAGTATTAACTTTAAATTCACAAAACATCTGTACTGTCCACCATTTGGAACAGACTTTCTCAGTGTGACAATATTAATCTGCCAGAGTTATTCAATTAATTGTGAATTTAAAGTGAAGATTTCACTGTTGGCCAATTACAAAGCTTAAAGAGTTTGTGTCCTTTTTGGCTATTTCGCCTTAAAATCGGAAATTAACTTTCATGTCACTTTAAATTTCCAACAATTCACCCTCTAGTGAATACTGTGGTGTGAAAAGTTCCAAAGGTTCCTTATAAAGTTTGTTTTAATAGGTTTCCTGATAAATAAGAATAAGCTAAAAGACACTATATACAACTGTCCTCAAAAAGTCCAACAACTTAACAATTTTGTTCATGGAGAAATTCAAATGCCTAGATTTACAATTTTGTATTGTTACACACCAATATCTACTATTATTAGACAGACACCCTGTAATTGAGTTTTTATTGACAACGATAACAATGTTCCATACCAACTAAATTGAAATTCCTAAGATACTGAAGATCATTTTATGTTTCAAGTACATTTCAAAAGTAACTTTCACAGGAATTAAGTTTTAAAATTAGAGTTCCCAAAACTATTCAATGTCACAAATTGTGAATTTTGATGAAAAAAATAAACATATTTATAGCTATGTTGTAAATAAACAAGTGTTAATCAATGTATACATTGTAATATTATGGCTTAAATTATTTAATATATACCAACTTTAATGATAAAGTTTTATACCAATTGTCATACAAATGTGATGCTTGTTTTCTATATGGTTAAATATAATGCATTGCGATTAAAATCTATATTGGAAAAAGTACATTTGTTCAACTTAGTTGACTTACGTAATAACTAGATATGAGCAAGTGAATGTATGTATGTATGAAAGACCACTGGATCAGCCCTCTAAAGTTGGTTAAATATTTAGTTTCCTGATCAAAATATGGCAGCATTAAAGGGTTACTCCAACCACCACATTAGTGATTTGAAGTGGTCATAGTTGTAGGAGTCAGTATGTGACATGCTTCATCTTGAAACACTACACATACTGAGATATTTATAATTGTGTGCTGGGGGCTAGTCGTACCCACAGCACAAATTATTTTGGCAGCCCAGAACTCTGACCGGGTCCCCTGGAAATTCACTGCTATTGGGTGGCCCTAACAGCATGGGCCACCCAAAGTGCTACTTCAATGCAGCCCCGGTGGTTATGCCGCATGGGCCGAAGCCACATTACATGGCTGGTGGGCACTGCGGTCACAGGGGTCAACAGGGCTGTCGGGCTCCCTGGTGTGATAGGCCCAGTCGCAGCTGCGACTCCGGTACTTCCGCCACTGGTGGTTCCTAGTGCATAATGTTATGAACTAAATATGTTTTCTTTTATATTTTAGGTTTAGGTTTGTTTGTTTTAAATATTTTTTTGTAAAAGGTACACTTCTATGAGGAGCTGGCATTGTGTCTGATCCCTAGGATTTGAAGGTTTATCCCACTGTGTGCCCAAAGTTGGATTGTGGTGGCTCTATTTATACTAATAACAGAGTTCTGTTTCCTGATCTTCCTGCTGAGAGGGGAGGAGATAACCCATTAGTTAATTTTGATTGATTAAGGAAGAGAACATTATGGTAAGTATGGAAACAATTTTCCTTAATCATTCATCTATGGGTACTGCTAATGGAAGTATTTGCTAATCATCTGATCACTGAATTCTTTTTTTTATTTATTTATAAAATATTTTACCAGGAAGGATACATTGAGATTTCTCTCATTTTTAAGTATGCCTTGGGTCCATAAAACAATGAATGTATTGGATATGAGCCCAAGATGTAAGGATTAGAGTTACAAGTACCAGATTTCAGTATAATGAAGACGACAGAATAAACAAACCATAGAGAAGGCCTGGAGGTACAAAGAACACTAGGACTAGAACACATTAAGTTACTGGCGCAAACATCCTCACACTGCAAAGATTATATTGATAGAGGTTGCTGGGATACATGGTGCCACCATATGTCATGTTCATATGGGAAGCATGTGTGAGCAGGAATATCCACATAGTGATCTTTGAGGTTTTTTTATTTATTCTTTATTTTTAATTTTTTTATTTCTTTATTTTTGCTTTGACAAAGATAACGTCATTACAGTGTTCTCAGTACTCAGTGCATACAAAAGCGTGTGGTACATTGTTCTGCCTTACAGTAGTTGTACAGTGCTTTGTCAAATGTTATGTTTTATACAAAAAGTGAAAAGTTAACGAGGGTATTAAAGCATAATAAATTGTGTCTTTGCTTTTTATATCCATTAGTAGAGCATGGTTGTGGTCAGCATGTTTTTTTAGCAAAAAGATGCAGATTATTGTTGTGAAGGTGAATGTCTGTACCCCAGCCGGTGTGGTGTCCTCATGGGCAGACGGACATTGTATATAACGTGTATTGGAAGAGGGCCCTGGGCCCCATTCCTGTCTCCACGGGGCCTGTCTCGGGTGTGGTGGTGTAGCGTGTGAGGAGCCCCCGTGGTCTGCCGATAGCAGTTTCGTTGGGGTATTACTGGGGCAGCGTCCCCGTCAGCAGGGCATCCCTTTGCTGTTTGAGCCTGTTTCTGGGGTCTCGCCCTCCGTCGTGTTGTAGAGAGACTACATCTCTCCTGTAGGAGGTGGTTTCTGGTGTCTGCTTGGTTGTGGTGTTGCGTAGTGAAGGTTGGGGAGGCAGGAGGGGAGGAGGAGAGAAGAAAAGAAAGAAAAAAAAGGGGGGGGAGGGGGAGGGAAGGCCCTGCGGAGTTCCCCCAGCGGCCTGCGGGGGGCGGGGGGGAGGCGCGCGGCAGGCCCTGTCTCTCGCTCTCGTCAAGTGCTGTAGGTCTTAGTCTCCTATGTATTCCTCCCAGGGTTGCCAGACTGTATGGAACTTTTTTTCTGTGTTTCTTATTTGGGCTGTGAGTTTGTCCATTAAGTATGTGTCTTTAATTTTCATGAGGACGTCGGTGTTTGTCGGGACTGAGGGTGTCAGCTACGCCTGGGCTAGCGCCCGCCTGGCCACCTGGGTGATTTTGTTACATAGGAGTTGTTCTTGTCTGGGTAGGCCAACTATTGGCCTAGATAACAAGACGGACCAAGGGTCCATTTCCACCTGTCTACCCAGGACATCCGTTAATAGAGTCTGTACTTGTTTCCAATATCCGCCTATAACTGGGCATTCCCACCACATATGCACTAAGGTACCCTTATGGTAAGGTACCCTTATGCGGTATGTCCCAGCCCTTCCAGCACGTGTCTGTCGTGGTTTTCCCCATTCTGTGTAATTGTACTGGTGTGGTATACCATCTCATTAACATTTTATATGATTGTTCCTGGTAGAGAACACAGATCGACGTCTTTGCTGTCGCCTCCCATATATCCACCAGGTCCTCACCCTCCAAGTCACCACCCAGATCGGTCTCCCACTGTCTAATGTATCTGGGGTCCGGAGTGTTTCTGTCTGGGGCACTGAGGTGTGCGTAGAGGAGTGTAATCAGTCCTTTCTGTTCGGTCTCGGTGTTGCACAGTCGTTCAAAAAACGTCATGGGCATGTGCGCTGCCCGTTTGATCTCTGGGCTGTTGGCGAAGTCCTTAAGCTGGATATATCGTAATACATCTTTTGTGGTCAGGGGGGCTAGGGTTTTCAGGTGGTCAAACGTTTTGAAATTCCCCTTGTCAAATAGGTGGGCATATCTCTGTACCCCTGTGTTCTCAATGTCCCGGAAATCTCGTGCGCTCAGCCCTGGCTGAAATGCCCAGTTGTGGAGGTTTGGGGTCATCGGAGATGGAGTGTGTTTGAGAATGTATTTGTCTCCCGTGAGGTCCCATATTCGGATTGTGTTAAGTATCGCTGGGTACGGAGTGCGAATGGGTGGTCTATCTTGTTTGGGTACCCAAATCCAAAATTGTGGCAGGTCCGTGCACATCAGACGTGATTCTAGGTCTACCCACCTGTGGGAACCCACCCGGGAGTGCCACGCCACCACCTGGACCAGCTGCGCCACCAGGTAGTAACAGTAGAGACTCGGGAGCCCCAGCCCCCCCCTGGTTTTTGGCCTGTACGTCACCTGTCTGGCTATACGGTGGCGTTTGTGAGCCCAGATAAACTTGTCAATGCCTCGTTGTAATGTACTTAGGTCTGACTTGGTAACTTTTACGGGCAAAGCCTGGAACAAAAATAGCAAGCGGGGAAGGAGCGTCATCTTTATAGCGTGGAGTCTGCCTATCCAGGAAATTGGCTTTTCCTGCCACTTTTCTAGATCGCGGCACAATGATTGTATCTTAGGGCTGTAGTTCGCAGCATATAGGCTATCCGTGTCCGCAGTGAGCGTGATGCCCAGGTATTTAATGTTGGTTTTCGCAATGGTGAGCAGATGTGCGGTTCGAAGGCCTTAAATTTCCTTCGGGTCCATTCCCAGTGGCATAGCCACTGATTTTCCCATATTGAGTTTGTATACCGAGACATACGCGTAGTCGTCTAAGAGCGACAGAAGTCGGGGGAGCGATTGGCCAGGGGTGGACATCGTGATCAGGACGTCGTCCGCATATGCGGAGACTTTGTACTCGTCCTCTACGACCCGAATCCCCGCTATGCCTGCCTCCCCATGAATTTGATGTAGTAGGGGCTCTAATGCGATGATGAACAGCAGGGGGGGCAAGGGGCATCCCTGCCTGGTACCGTTGTGGGGTCGGAAGGGGGTTGGGGGTGCCCCCGGCACCATAGTCTGCGCTCTGGGGTTTGCGTAGAGAGCCTCTATCCCTCGAACAAAGGGCTCTGGCATTTGCAGGTGTTTCAATAGGGTGAAGAGGTAGTGCCATAGTATCCTATCAAACGCCTTCTCCGCATCCAATGACAGGATCAGAGAAGGCGTCTTGGCTCTGTTCGCCCACCAGATAATATCTGCGCCCCTCCTCGTGTTCTCGTATAGTTGTCTCGTTGGAACGAATCCGACCTGGTCGGCGTGTATCAAGGTCGTCAACAGGGGGTTTAACCGAGTCGCCAGTATCTTCGCGAAAACCTTGACGTCAAAGTTGATTAGGGAGATGGGACGGAAATTGGCCGCTGCGGTCGGGTCCCTCCCTGGTTTAGGGATAAGTGTTATGTCTGCCGTAAGCATGTCTGGGTTTGGCGGCCTACCCTCCATCCATTCCACGTATACCTGCGCAAGCCGGGGAGTCAATGCCTCCCGTAGGGCTTTGTAGTAGGAGCCCCCGAAGCCGTCTGGTCCCGGGGCCTTGTTCCCTTTCAGTTCTGTGATCGCCCTATCGATTTCCTCTTCTGTTATGGGCAGTCCCAGCGAAGACATGACTTCGGGGGCAGGCTTGGGTATATTAGTTTTAGTGACAAAATCCCTCACCGCCAGGTCGAATGTCCCATTCTTCCCGTTTAACTCCGGGGAGTGATTGTAAATCTTAGAGAAAAACTCAGTGAAGATCTGATTGATCTCCACAGGATCGTGTGTTACCCGCCCTCCCCCGTCTTGGAGCGCTGGTATGTTGTGGAATTTTGATTTAGGGGTCAGAGCCCTAGCCAACAGGGTGTCCATTTTGTTTGACCGTTCGTAGTAAAGGCGTCTTTTACGGACCAACTCCCTACCTAGATCTTCAATGGCCATGTTTCTTATCTTGTGTCGCAAGTCCCTGAGCGCTTTGAGACCCTGATCCGTGGGCGCCTGTTTGTGTTTGGTTTCCGCCCGTCGCAGCTCTTTCTGGAGTTCGAAGAGGGTCTCCGCTCTCAGTTTGTTACGTCTAGTTGCTATTTTAATTAGGGTCCCCCTTATCACCGCCTTGTGGGCGGCCCATAAC